AAAGAACCGGTATATGGCATTTTATCTAGTTCTTGAAAATTTAGGAATCTGTATATTTGACCTTTGACCCTGATTTATCAGAAATTGACCGTACGACTTTTGGATGAGCAAACCAAAGTGCACAGATATTAAGCTTTCGAACTGTGTATTATATAGGTGTATGTTAGAAAGGTTCACTAATTCAAAGTTGTTAACTAAGACTCTTTGAAAAAAAATGCCACTCGCCTATTAGCGTATCAAATTTTCAGCGGTTCGCTGCATAAAGGAACATCAAGAGAGGCGAAAGATGCCAAAGAAACTTTCAAACTCATAAGTAGAAAATAAATTGACAACGCCATAGTAAAAAACGAAAATAAAACAAAAGACAAACGACAGTATACAAAACAAAAGTTTTTACATAGAAAACTAAAGAGTGAGCAACTCGAACCCCACCAAAAACCGGGTGATCTTAGGTGTTCCAGAAGGGTAAGCAGATCTTGATCCATATGTGACACCCGTCGTGTTACTCCTATAAAATATGTTAATACGTTATATCAAGTGATCAAGCATCACGCAATAGTGGGGTTGGTAAATGACTCTAAATTAACCTTTATACCATCGGTCATGTATTTTTTGTTTTTAAATCTGAAACTTAACCGAATGTGATATTTTGAAACTGAAACAACGTTTTTATATTAAAGGACAGACAACACTGTTACCGGTATACACATCACATCCATTAAAAATACAAAAAAGCAAAAAAAAAACACAACACTAAAAGCTAAAGCAAGAGCAAGAGCAACACGACCTTTTAAAACAAAACTAGAGGTAAAATCAATTGCTTCGGAAGGGTAGGCAGATCCTTCTCCACACATGGCACCAGCATTGTCGCTCGTCTAAGAAGAAACCGGTGAAAAGTCCAATTCGGCAGGAAAGAGGACGGGATTGTGGTAACGACAATTAGTATATATTCGTCGTCATCTGTGAAACAGATATTCCATAACGGTCAACCAACTCCAACTGGCGTCCGTAAAATTTTCGATGGGGTTTGATTCAATTTTCTTAATTCGAACTCTTGGTTTAATAGCTTCCTTGTGAGCAGCAACCTTCTATCAAGAAAATTATGATAAGAAATGCATGCCATGGAATATCGTATCAACTGCGAGATATATACTCCATATGCAGGCGCTGCAAGAATGTTGCTACATAGAAATCGAATGTTCACAATTGGGAAGCTGAAATCATCTCTTTTGTCGTAAAGAGTTGTTTTCAACCGACCTTCATTATTAATTAAAAAGAAATAAATCAGAACTGGAAATAAGAGTTCATGGGATTTCTTCCGTTTTTTTTGTTTGTTACCCCGATTTGTCTTCTTGGTGGATTAATGGGATTTGAACATCGATAAAATATTGTTGGTTAAATGTGCACATGATACACTTCTTCGTAGACAGGAGTTTCTGGGTTGTGCAATATAAGTGTTAAAAAACTATAAAATTCCCATGTCTAACCGCCAATTATAACCAAAAAAGGAAAACAAATAGCACATTGAACTATTCTAATAAAAACACAGACACATTTATAAACGATGTAGAGTTAAATTTAATTAAGTTTGTATGTGGTCCATCCAGCCTTGTTACAAGTATGGGCTAACAATTTACTGATAGCGGTCAGTTCATCATGTGACATGGTACTGTATGTCATAGTTGTGTCGTCTACCATGGTAATAAGTTTCGTCTGAAATTAATGCATGAATTGTGTATTAAGGATGTTCGCTCCTCTGTTTCAAAAATAAAAAGCTGTAAGAAAAACTGATATAAATTGATAGTATATAACTAATGGAACTTATTTAGTATGGTAAGTAGAAAGAAGACAGGTTCGTGTCCTTGCTTTTGAGATATAAACAATTGAAAATTTGGTGGGAAATGATTCTCGCATACATTTAAAATTGGGCCCTTTTTCTTTGGTCAAAAACTATGAAAAAATAACTTGGATTTAATAAGATTTTCAAAAATGTTTTTTTAAACTATATGTGATACAATTGTGAAAAGAAAAGTAAGGGTTAGCGGGCAACTTTTTATTGGTACTACATTGATAAAACTAGAGAATTCCAATTATCTGCCAAAAAGTCAAAACAATAAAAGAGTAATAAACATCCTTTACTTGTTAAAGGGATACATAAACTATCATATTCGAAAATAGGTAAAGAGGGACCACATATTTAGTTATTGATTTTTTGAAATGATGATATACCAGCGTGTCACATAAAGATTTTTCTACTATATAACTTAAACTTATAGAGTCAAGAAACCTGTAATAGTCTATACGACAATAGACCTTTTTCATATTACCGACTTTTGACTCCGGAGTTTATATTTTTTCGATAGGTTACTTAATCTGTGACCGGGTCGGTCAAGTAAGAGCAACGTAAAAAAGTAAAATCAAGCTTTTAATCGATACAATTTATGGGGGAAATTAACTGCTTTATATTTTCTTAACGCGATAAAATCATGAGAAAACAGAAATTTTCCCCTCAAATTGCACGGATTATGTGTTTGATTTTTCTTCTTTTGGTTGCTCTTACTTGACCGAGTACCAGGATGTCTAACCACAGAAAAGGTAACCTGTCGAAAAATTATATAATCCGGAGTCAAAAGTTGGTAATATGAAAATAGTCTATTGCCGATTTGATTGTGTTATTACACACTTTTAACACAAGTTGTTTCCCTTTGGTGATTGAAGATTGCTTCTAAACCATTGAAGCTGTGCTGCTGCACATACAAAGCATGATAAGTTGATATATGTATAAATTTTATATATAGGTGTTTTAACCAATTTTCATTGAAAAACAACTATTGAAATCACAAAAAAAAAATTAGATAAAATTATAAAAAAATATAAGATTTCAAGATATACAGATTACGCCCATATATATTTACTCTTTCGGCTTGATTTTCGTTGGCAATGGAAATGTATGGCTTTCTTAAGGGAAAGAATTCGTACAAATGAAACTCTAATTAGAGGTTCAATTACGGAATAGATAAATAGATTTGTATTTAAAAGTATGACCATCGTCTATTCAATAATCTACTTGCCAATTACCGATTTGATTCTGTCATTACACACTTTAAACACAAATTGATTCCTTTTCCAATTGTAGCTGGTTCTATATCGGACATAATGGGCTTTTGTCCATGCAAAACATGAAAAGTTGAGGTGATAATTAGGAGTTTTATCCAACTTTTATTGAAAAATAACTACTGATATCAATATTTTTACACACATAACAAGTGCGGATCTAGGATTTTGAAAAAGGGGCCACCTGGCAAGCCAACGTTTTGAGTGATACTTGTAAAAAAACACGGTCTATTAAGCTCTATACGGGGGCCGAGTCCCCTGTCCCGTCCTAAATCCGCCTCTGCATTACGCACATAATTTAATTTTCTTTCCTTTATCTCCTCATTTTCAATGAAAATGTATGTCTCTTCTAAGGGAGAATAGTTAAAAAAAAACTGGGTCTCCCATTAAAAGGTCAATTACAGCATTGGTTAATAGGTTATGCGTACATGTACTTCTAAAGGTTAAAAGCACTTATATGTTTTAAATATTTCCTTTCGACTAAAACAATTTCATTAATTGCAAATATGAAATATTATGAAAATATCATAGTTCGTTATGGTAAACTTCAAGCTTGTGTTCGAGAAGGTAGTTATATTACATAGTTAACACGAGCTGCTGATGAGGAGAAGGCCAACTTGAAGGATGTATCTATTCTTAAATACTTGAGGAGGTACAAAACCAAACCTTATATCAAAATAGCAAAATACATGCATAATGGAATTGAAACTTCTTCATAATTTCTTAATATATCAACGGAGAATGTAAAAAAGGTCTTTTATAAATCGATAATTTGAAAATGGACTATTGCCAATAATCATACCTCAAGTAAATGAAGACCGTGAGTTGTATGTACATCAGCTGACTCTGTGCCAGCCATGGTGTAAAGATAACATTTATGATGTGTCATGGCGGCCATAATATGCTGTAAAATATATAAATTATAACATATAAATGTGGAAACAAGCTTTTTCTTTGGTATTCGTTATCTCATTTTTGTTGTTGTTCATTTTGGGAATTCAAATGATTCGATATTATTTTAATTGTTATACGAGATTTCAATTCAGGCAACTATACATCTGTTATAACCGCTTATTTTTTTTAATCATATTTTTAATTTCTTCAAATATGTCGACTGCGATGTCAATGTTGAATTCAAACCATTCTGCTTCTGTCATGTACTATTTAACAGATCAAAGATTTAACATGCAATACAGTTTTGTACAACATACTTTTAGTCTAGGAAATATGATTTACAGTATTTATTAGTTATATTTTGCTTTGGGTTAGCTTTCCGTTACTAAGAGTACTCTTAGGACGGTACGTTGTGTCTTTAGTCTGTGTAAGTTATATTGTATGCTTTGTGTTGATCTGGTGAGCCAAGCCTTTATCAACTGACTTTGTTCAGCTTTTTATTATGTTGTGCATTTACACCACTGTCCAGTTTAGGGTAGGATTGTGTTCTCAGTAACATATTTAGCACCGCAATATTCTGTATATGCCTGCCAGGAACTTGTTATTCAGTGGTTCCCATTGGTAATTGGCAGTCCTAATTGGTTTTCATTTATTGTTTTGTACATAAATAAGGCCGTTGAATTTCTCGTTTAGGTTGTTTTACATTTTGTCATGTCGGGGCCTTTGATAGTTTCCTTTTCGGAATTGGATTTGCTCATTGTTGCAGGCCGTGGTCACCTATAGTTGCGTAGATCTACATCATTTGGTCTTTTGTGAAAAGTTGTGTTATTGGCAATCAAACCACATAAAAAAAGCGAGGGTCGTCGAAACTTTATTTCCTGTTTCGTAGTAAGTACTAACAAAAAAAAACGTATTTTATCCTGCAATTTAACCTTGACTCTTAACTGTTTTTAGTCGTTGTGTATTAAGTTCATGGTTAGATAAACACTTACAGAATGAGGATCATATTTGAAACCAAAGGCCTCTACCACTACAGGTTCGTGTGTTGGACGTGTTCCATGGTGATGATGATGCTTAGTACTATGTGGTGCCATTGTTGTAGCGGCAAGAGACTGAAATTAGATATACAACAAAACATTTTATGATTCATTTAACCATTAACGTATCGTAGATGGATGGTTGGATTTACATGTTCAGTTGCAAATTAAATGCTTATTCCGGACGGGAATGATCATAATTATGACAACAGCCTTGTAGTAGACCGACACGCTAAGCCAAATTTTTAACTTTTAACGTGTAAATTCTCAATGTAACAATCTGCATTAAGAAATGTCACTCTATCTAGAAACATTATTCTGACTCCGACTCGACCAGTCTTTGCAATTACTCCTTAATGCCGGGTGCACAGCGGAGAAGGGGCAAATGCCAATTTTAAAACCTTTGGTTTGATCCGGCCGGGGTTTTGACTTCTACAAAAGTTGACATGAGAAAAGCAATAGAGTATTTTTAAATGTATTCAAGGATTAGTACAATACTTTCAAAATTAAACAAGAACATGTGACCATAAGACGCCATGCTCCGCTTAAACTGTTATATTGTTTATGTTGAGTGAATAGCAAAATCTGAGTCATTAATGGTATAAAATGTATTGACAAAATTACAAAACGCCAATGTAAATTCAAAAAGGTGAAGTCCATACAAACTGACAAAACTAAACGCTCGACTATATTAACCAATGGAACGACTGGAAAACAACTTTTACATTTCTGACTTCCGAAGAAAATGGTGGGTCAAACCTGATTTTACAGCTACCTCAACTTCCCACTCGTATGAAAGTTGACTATTGTTCCGTTATATTGACAAAAATAGTGTGGGCAAAACAAATAGATATAATTAGTTAACGTGAAAATAATTGGGATCGAGCAGCCATAATTGTGCAACCATTCATCATAGATATAAATAAACTCATCATTAGTGACGCTCGAATCAACATAAACGGGCGTCAACTTTCTTAACCAACAACTGCCACCCGATACTGGACGGACTAATGATCGGACGGCCGCACATACAGGAAAATATAGTATACTGTACTTTTGTAGTTGGAGTATATACTAAATGAATCAAACCAATCTTTACTAACTAAAGCAAAACAAAACTTCCTTGCGAAATTGCCAAAATAAGTATTCTTACCTGTCCGACAAAGAAACAAATCAACAGTACAAGCATCATTGTGTTCAATTTTCAAAACTCAATTACTACATGAAATGGTTTGTAAGGACAATACTATATATAGGTTGTTCTATATTCATATCTTGATCGTTAACAAGATAACTGTAAGTTGAATAACTTTTACTATGTACCAAACATTCCGATAACCGTGAAAGATCCATGCGGTCGATTTACTTAAATACCTTTTCTCGCTTATAAGTTCTATTTACTCTGTTACTTTTAAGCCGAGTTGCGACGTACTTGGTCTATAAAATGACACATGCTGCCCGCAAAATCCGGACACTAACATTTCGGGTTCCGTAGAACATCTTTTGGGTCATAAATATATTGTTGAGGGAAATGAAACGCATTTGGGATATGAGAAACAGTGGGCGAAAAAGGTGTGGATGTGGAATATAGGGGATAAAAAAAGTAGGGGTGTAGGATATAAGGGGTAAAAACAGTGGGGATTTGGAAAAAAGACCAAAAAAAAAGCAAGCTGGATTTAGAAATTTAAGCACCTTTATGTCACCACCCTCTGTCGTTATTAAATTTGGTGTGAAGCCCCATTATGTTTGAAAGAACCCTATAATTTTGGGGTCAAAACATCAGATATCAAGATCACTGCATCTATTGACAGACTAAAATTCGGGAAAAAATTGGTGTTTAAGTCAATATTTGAATCGTATGTCCAACATTAAAAAAACTTAGCTTGAGAATATCCCATTTGATTATGATAATGACAATTAAAAGACGGAGCAATCTTAAATGCTGTTTTTTTTTCAAAATTCCTTATCAACGGGTTTTTTTTATCATGAAATGATATTTTTGGAGTTTAATGGCCCCGACATGACAAAATGTGAAACAATTTAAACGAAAAACTTAAACCTGATGTATGATCAGATAATTATCGAAAAACAAATTTGACAGACAGCAACCAAAGACAACAACGTTGCACTGATTTACAGCCTTCTGACATGGGACAGGCTTACTCAAAATGGTCAGGGTTAAACATGTTTCTGGGACCTCAATCCTCTCCTTAACCTGGGACAATGGAGAAACCGCAGATCATAAGAACAACTGTAAGAATCAGTTAGAAAAGGTCTAACTCATTAGTTTGTCACGTGGCACACAAACAAATAACATAATACGACAAAAGACACCAAGTACCGATCTTAGAGTTGTCGCAGTTACTGAAAGCTAGTTCAAAGCTAGTTACAGCTAATGAATAAATCATGTTCTCTTAAACTAAAGTTTCAATCAGTACACACACAACGGATTTAATGTCCAAAAAAAATCTGAGAAAAGCTTCACCTTATGCAATGCCATAGTATATGTAGATAATATCGACATTTTAAATGTACTGGAAAGGGACCACTTTTTCTGCAAAATCAGATAATAGGCTAATTTGTCGCATCCACTTCTATTCAATGCACTTGTCATCTTCAAAATTTGCATGCATTGATGTCTACTTCAAGGACAGGGATAACTGACTATGTAAGTAAAAAAAAGTCATTGGAACAATATTGATAGTCGTAATTGCACCCTTAACCAAAAAGGGAAAGTCTTGCTTACGTATTACGTAAAAAAATCTTTTATCAGTAAAAACATCACTTGTAGTTGATTTTTACACTTTATTCTTTTCACCATGCCAAATATTTCATTTGAAATAATATATATATATATATATATATATATATATATATATAGAAGTCTAAATTGAAAACAACGTTCAAACCTATGATTGCGTTGGATAAAAACCGCAATTTTTATACGTGTGCATGCAAAACAAATTTCTTTGTAGAGGGGTCTAAATACAGCACAAACAACATTTTCCAAAAGACAAAAAAAGTGAAAAAGTATATTTTAACAAAACGCATTTGACTAGCAGGTCGAACAACGGATGTTCTTAAACCCTGCTGACTGCCATGGCGATTGCCAAATAAACGGATCACAGATGTAACACAATGGATCTTAATTATATTAATTTAATACCAAACAGAAAACAATAAACTTGCGGAAAAGATGGTATACCGCAAACATGAGGTGCAAAAATTTGTACACCATATCCGGATTTCGACAAGTAATGTCTCTTCAGTGATGTTAGGAATCGAAACGGTATTTGGAAGGCCATATAATTTACCTCAATTTGGGATTGACTCTTGAATTTTGAAGACTCGAAATAGGATGAACGGATCATATAAACCCGAAGGCAAATATAATACAAGCCCAAACGAAAAAATATAAAGAAGTCTAAATTGAAAACAACGTTCAAACCTATGATTGCGTTGGATAAAAACCGCAATTTTTATACGTGTGCATGCAAAACAAATTTCTTTGTAGAGGGGTCTAAATACAGCACAAACAACATTTTCCAAAAGACCAAAAAAGTGAAAAAGTATATTTTAACAAAACGCATTTGACTAGCAGGTCGAACAACGGATGTTCTTAAACCCTGCTGACTGCCATGGCGATTGCCAAATAAACGGATCACAGATGTAACACAATGGATCTTAATTATATTAATTTAATACCAAACAGAAAACAATAAACTTGCGGAAAAGATGGTATACCGCAAACATGAGGTGCAAAAATTTGTACACCATATCCGGATTTCGACAAGTAATGTCTCTTCAGTGATGTTAGGAATCGAAACGGTATTTGGAAGGCCATATAATTTACCTCAATTTGGGATTGACTCTTGAATTTTGAAGAGTCGAAATAGGATGAACGGATCATATAAACCCGAAGGCAAATATAATACAAGCCCAAACGAAAAAATATAAAGAAGTCTAAATTGAAAACAACGTTCAAACCTATGATTGCGTTGGATAAAAACCGCAATTTTTATACGTGTGCATGCAAAACAAATTTCTTTGTAGAGGGGTCTAAATACAGCACAAACAACATTTTCCAAAAGACCAAAAAAGTGAAAAAGTGTATTTTAACAAAACGCATTTGACTAGCAGGTCGAACAACGGATGTTCTTAAACCCTGCTGACTGCCATGGCGATTGCCAAATAAACGGATCACAGATGTAACACAATGGATCTTAATTATATTAATTTAATACCAAACAGAAAACAATAAACTTGCGGAAAAGATGGTATACCGCAAACATGAGGTGCAAAAATTTGTACACCATATCCGGATTTCGACAAGTAATGTCTCTTCAGTGATGTTAGGAATCGAAACGGTATTTGGAAGGCCATATAATTTACCTCAATTTGGGATTGACTCTTGAATTTTGAAGAGTCGAAATAGGATGAACGGATCATATAAACCCGAAGGCAAATATAATACAAGCCCAAACGAAAAAATATAAAGAAGTCTAAATTGAAAACAACGTTCAAACCTATGATTGCGTTGGATAAAAACCGCAATTTTTATACGTGTGCATGCAAAACAAATTTCTTTGTAGAGGGGTCTAAATACAGCACAAACAACATTTTCCAAAAGACCAAAAAAGTGAAAAAGTGTATTTTAACAAAACGCATTTGACTAGCAGGTCGAACAACGGATGTTCTTAAACCCTGCTGACTGCCATGGCGATTGCCAAATAAACGGATCACAGATGTAACACAATGGATCTTAATTATATTAATTTAATACCAAACAGAAAACAATAAACTTGCGGAAAAGATGGTATACCGCAAACATGAGGTGCAAAAATTTGTACACCATATCCGGATTTCGACAAGTAATGTCTCTTCAGTGATGTTAGGAATCGAAACGGTATTTGGAAGGCCATATAATTTACCTCAATTTGGGATTGACTCTTGAATTTTGAAGACTCGAAATAGGATGAACGGATCATATAAACCCGAAGGCAAATATAATACAAGCCCAAACGAAAAAATATAAAGAAGTCTAAATTGAAAACAACGTTCAAACCTATGATTGCGTTGGATAAAAACCGCAATTTTTATACGTGTGCATGCAAAACAAATTTCTTTGTAGAGGGGTCTAAATACAGCACAAACAACATTTTCCAAAAGACAAAAAAAGTGAAAAAGTATATTTTAACAAAACGCATTTGACTAGCAGGTCGAACAACGGATGTTCTTAAACCCTGCTGACTGCCATGGCGATTGCCAAATAAACGGATCACAGATGTAACACAATGGATCTTAATTATATTAATTTAATACCAAACAGAAAACAATAAACTTGCGGAAAAGATGGTATACCGCAAACATGAGGTGCAAAAATTTGTACACCATATCCGGATTTCGACAAGTAATGTCTCTTCAGTGATGTTAGGAATCGAAACGGTATTTGGAAGGCCATATAATTTACCTCAATTTGGGATTGACTCTTGAATTTTGAAGAGTCGAAATAGGATGAACGGATCATATAAACCCGAAGGCAAATATAATACAAGCCCAAACGAAAAAATATAAAGAAGTCTAAATTGAAAACAACGTTCAAACCTATGATTGTGTTGGATAAAAACCGCAATTTTTATACGTGTGCATGCAAAACAAATTTCTTTGTAGAGGGGTCTAAATACAGCACAAACAACATTTTCCAAAAGACCAAAAAAGTGAAAAAGTATATTTTAACAAAACGCATTTGACTAGCAGGTCGAACAACGGATGTTCTTAAACCCTGCTGACTGCCATGGCTATTGCCAAATAAACGGATCACAGATGTAACACAATGGATCTTAATTATATTAATTTAATACCAAACAGAAAACAATAAACTTGCGGAAAAGATGGTATACCGCAAACGCGAACACCATATCCGGATTTCGACAAGTAATGTCTCTTCAGTGATGTTAGGAATCGAAACGGTATTTGGAAGGCCATATAATTTACCTCAATTTGGGATTGACTCTTGAATTTTGAAGAGTCATATATCAACTGCGTCACATAAGCCGACTCATTTCTTCAAAAATAAATAGAGGACCATTAATGGTCCAATATTAATTGTTCAGCCTTTTACCTTTTTTTATAAACTATATTTTTCTTTTTGTTCCTAATTGAATCTGGTGAAGGCATTTATTGACAAATCATTTGAAAAGAAAGAAAGAGAAGATACAACAAGAACTCCTAAGATCAATAAAAACAGACACAATGTAATGATTTTTCTCTGACTGTTTATGGTGTCTTTACACTAAATCAGTTGGGTGTTGGATGTCGACTGATTGATTTTTTGTCTAAGTAACATGCTTTTTTTTTTTAGTTATTGGTTTGAACTAGCTTTCATTAACTGCAAGTTTTCTCAGTTCTGTGCTTTGTGATTTTTGTGTTTCTGTTCGTTGTTTTTGTGCTTTGTAACGATCTGATAAGTTAAGCCCTTTGTGATTAACTGATTTTTATACTTTGTTCTTATGTTGTGCTGATACACTACTGTAACAGATTAGAGGAATGTTATGCGTCACAAACATGTTAAACCCCGCCATATTATGTAAGTGCCTGTCCAAAGTCAGGAGCAAGTATTTCAGAGTTTGTCGTTTGTTGCTGCATGTCATTCTTGATTTTTGTTTTTTTTTTTTTAGCATAAATCAGACTATTAGTTTTCTCGTTTGAATTATTTTACATATGTCATTCCGAGGCCTTTTATTATATATTTATTTATTTATTGATATAGCTTGCTGTGCTGTATAGGTTTTGTTCGTTTGCTTACTTCTACGTCATTTTGGTCTCTGGTGGGGAGTTGTCTAATTGTCAATAATACCATATATTTTTATTTCATTATATAAACACAATTAACATTAGAAAAGAAAACCGAACAAAAGACAAACAATAATGACAAACCACTACACAGGGAATTAAAAGATTGAGCAATTTAAACCTCACAAAACAACAGGGAGGAAATTAAGGTGCTCTTGAAGGGTCAGCTTGTTTCGTCTACATTAATTATGCATTACACGCATTAGAGAGATCATGAATCATTTCAAAGCCGGTGCTGTAACGAGTTCAGGAAATTTAAGATCGGTAAGACAGGTGCTTCCTCGAATAATAGTTCCATGAACTAAATACCGAAATAGAAAGAAAGAGATGAAATACGAAACTCTGAGAAAGTTCAATGTGCAACCTTTAAGTAGACTTGTACTATTGGACACACTATGAAATCAAATTTTCAATATTTTACACTCGTCCAAAGATAAGGAAAACTTTGACGTCTTTGTCCTACTTTACGAACCTTCTTGACCTTTTACATGAACTCATGCTTTCTCGGTTGTTTTTATGGTTGATTTACCCATTATGATATGAATAAACAGAAGTTTGAGGTATTCTGCAAATAAACAGCAAATATCAACACATTATGTTCTAAAAAATGACATTTATACGTCCACATACGCTATTCGATGCTAAACAACTCTTACTGTGGTTTTCTTGTTGAAATTATTTCACATTTTGTCATGCCTTTTAGGCTTTTATACATGTAGCTAACTATACGGTATGGGTTTTGTTCATTGTTAATGGCCTACAATGATCGAAGTTTACTTGCATTCACGTAATGGTGGATTATAAGTTGTGTAGGGTAAGTTTACGCCAGCAAAAAACCGAATGAAATATTACAAAATATAAACAAAAGAGTTTTAATTTTCACCAATCTAACACCGATTACCTTCTTGTTCAAATGTTTAAAAGTTTAAATAAGTTTGATTTTGTTTAAATTACTTTTATTTTATTGGTTTTTATTTTTTCACTTTTTATTGGGACTATGATTCCAGCTTTATTATTCTTCGTTGTGCATATAATTATCTTTCGTTTTTGGCAAATTGAAAACCACCAGGGATATGCGAATCGTTTATACTTTTGGACAGGTTGAGTGTGACTGTTTAATGAATGTGAAGGTCTATTGCAGATGTATTTAGTGCTAAGTGCTTCGGTGACTTCAAGTACAAAATAGAGATATAAATATTGTACTAGATTAAGAGATAGTTCGTTCATCTAAGAGCATAAAGTGGCTTTGTAATACGTAAACACCCACATTTGTTCGATCGAGGATGATCGAGGGAATTGCAGAAAAAGAACAAAGAATAAACAGAGTTTAGGAGAGTTTTAAGATCAAAGGCCAATTTTACTGTTTGTATATTATACTCTGATAGAAAAGTATATGTCACCGAATTAGTTGACAAGCTATAGTCATCTTCAAAGACGTACATTAAAGAATTAAAGGTATATATCAAAAGTCAAAGCCATACATTTCTACTGTTTTTTTTTCTTTTCTCGCTTTAATTTATATTAGAGATGATGAGAATAATGGACCTGTCCTAAAAATATTCATGCTATATGCAATAGCTGAAAATTTGGTATGAGTAAGAACTAAATTATTGATATTACCGCCGTGAAGGTGAAACAAAGTCTGTGACTAAAATAATCGAGAATGGAATTACTATTGAATTTCTAGTATTCCTGGCTGAAGTTTTATAGTAAGTCTACTTGTTACGACTGATGCGGTATTTTTTTAAAAAGCAGTGGCTTTTTTACAGGCGCCGGAAAAATAGAAATATGCTATTTTGCAGGCTCTAGATAAACGGATTTTGTTCACAGATATGCAATTAAAAGAACTAATTATTATTTCATAAGCAAATTTAATTTAAACACATTTTTGATTTCGAAGCTATGCGATTGATTTTGTAAGATGTTATAATGTTTTATCAAATTTATATGCAATGAGATTTTTCACTTTTATCTTTTTATGACATAGTTAAAAAATCTGAAATTTTTTTCTTATGCATACTTGTAGCATTATACTGTGACTGATTTTAGTAGTAATTTCGACATCATGTTTTGAGATGATTTTCAAAGCAACAAATGGATGCTCGATATTTTTATTTTTATTTCTTTTTACAAATTATTATTTTCACTTTGACTGATAAATGTATTTAAACGACTATATGTACATGTATCTCAAATATTGTTACTGTTATATTATTAACTATATTAGTAATAGTTTGATTCTTTTATGATCACAATGCACATTTTCGTAGCACTTTTTAAGAGTAAATATTAAAATTCACTCTTTACAAAGAACCGGCAAAATAACAAATTCACTGTATTGCCGGAGCCGGTAAAATAGCCATTGCTATAGAAATATGCTATTTTGCAGGCTTTAATTAAGATATTTTAGGTAGAGCCGGCAAAATAGCCATCGCCTTTTTAAACCTAAGCGCTTTTCTACCTGCATATACACTACGTTTGGTGTCCGTATCAAAATTTGAACCCCTTCTTATTTTCAGGCCTAGGTGATCATGTCTGTTGAAACAGGGGTTGTGTACTGAAAAATACGACCAGAGCTTTGAAAATGATACTAAGACCATATGGTTCCTCTAATCGCAGTTGTGAAAAATAGAGAAAGAAAAACCAGAGCACGCTACAATTTTTAGCTCAGCGGTTCTATTGCCATCAAGTGGCGTCTTTTGTCGTTAATTATCTTTAGGGTGTCTACTTAAGAAATTGTGGTATCACTTGTATATATATGTTTGCCTAACGCACCGAAAACTTGGCAATCGTGGTTAAAATAGTACATAGGGGTAAAATGCAAGTAGTTTCCATCCATTGAAACTAAACTTGTCAAATGACTCCTTATATGAGAAAGATTTACAAACAAGTCTTCATAAACGAAATCATCAGTTGGCTTCTTAAAGAAGTTATTGTCTTTAAGTGGCGATCTTTGCTACCTGTTTTTTGGCTATGATCTTAAATACTTTTTAATTAATAGATAAGAGAAAAACTTTAAGCAGCAAACATGATCTTTTATACAAGGTTTATAACCAAGTCAAGATGATATAGCTGAGTGATTGCCTTCAATGACCGTTTTACACATTTTTGTGTTTGAGGGGGAAAGTATAGCAAATAGAGGGAACTGTAATAGCAAAAATAATCATTAAAATAAAAGCTACAAATAAGTCAAAATTCCGAAATTGCCAAGAGGACCCAATAAACGAGCCATTGTCATTAAATGACGATGTTTACAATTTTATTTTATTTTGGCGATTTTGCTGTCATTTGGAACATCGTCTACATGTACATTATCACCTACACAAACGTGTATTCAATCATTCAACTGTTCTTCATCAGATTGTTTCCCTTGTCCTAAAGATGTAATTACCATACAATATGCCATTTCCATCATGATGACATATATCTCTGGTCATCACATTGTAAGTTGAGGTCATTTGGACATCATTTGTAGACAGGAGTTACCAAGTTTTGCAATATAAGTGTTAAAAAACTATAAAATTTCCATGTTTGACCGCCAACTATAACCAAAAAAGGAAATCAAATAGCACATTGAACTTAATAGAATTCTAATAAAAACACAGACACATTTATAAACGATGTAGAGTTAAATTTAATTAAGTTTGTATGTGGTCCATCCAGCCTTGTTACAGGTACGGGCTAACAATTTACTGATAGCGGTGAGTTCATCATGTGACATTGTACTGTATGTCATAGTTGTGTCGTCTACCATGGTAATAAGTTTCGTCTGAAATTAATGCATGAATTGTGTATTAAGGATGTTCGCTCCTCTGTTTCAAAAAAGCTTAAAGAAAAACTGATATAAATAGATAGTATATAACTAATGGAACTTATTTATTATGTCGGAATTCCAATGGGAACCAATTGTGCCCCTCTTCTTGCCGACTTGTTTCTTAATTATTATGAGGCTGACTTCATACAGGAACTTCTTAGGAAGAAAGATAAGAAGTTAGCAATATCCTTTAACTTTACGTTCCGCTATATAGATGATGTTCTCTCACTAAATAATACAAAATTTGGTGACTATGTTGAACGAATCTATCCCATCGAACTAGAGATAAAGGATACTACAGATACAGTTAAGTCTGCCTCATATCTTGACTTACATCTAGAAATTGACAATGAGGATCGGTTGAAAACAAAACTTTACGACAAAAGAGATTATTTCAGCTTCCCAATTGTGAACTTTCCATTTCTATGTAGCAACATTTCAGCAGCGCCTGCATACGGAGTATATATCTCCCAATAGATACGATATTCCCGGGCTTGTATTTCCTATCATGATTTCCTTGATAGAGGATTTCTGCTCACGAGGAAGCTATTAAACCAAGAGTTCCAAATGGTAAAGATGAAATCATCCCTTCGTAAATTTTACGGACGCCATCACGAGTTGCTTGGCCGTTATGGAATAACCGTTTCACAGATGATATCGGATATGTTCCTTGTGTCGTAACTACAATACCCTTCCCTTTTCACGAATGTGACCTACCGAATTAGACTATTTACAGGATTTGTAATAACATAAGCAACACGACGGGTGCCAGGTGCACAGGTGGAGCAGGATCTGCTTACCCTTCCGGAGCACCTGAGATCACCCCCAGTTTTGGTGGGGTTCGTGTTGCCTAATCCTTAAGTTTTCTATGTTGTGTCATCTGTACTATTATTTGTCTGTTTGTCTTTTTATTTTTGGCCATGGCGTTGTCAGTTTGTTTTCGATCTATGAGTTTGACTGTCCCTCTGGTATCTTTCGTCTCTCTTTTATGATAAGTAGAAAGAATGACAGGTTCGTGTTCTTGCTTTTGAGATAAAAAGCACTTATATGTTTTAAATATTTCCTTTTGACTAAACATTTTTTATTAATTGCAAATATGAAATATTATAGCACGTTATGGTAAACTTCAAGCTTGTGTCCGATAAGGTAGTTATACTACATAGTTTACACGAGCTGCAAAAGGTGTAGCAGTCTTCTTTTTCATGTAACGAAAAATGTGTTTAATCAGAAAGAAATATGTAATGCTTCACTTAATTAATTGTCAATTATATCACTCACACTAACGTGTCAGAAAAAAGTCTGCTTTATTGGAAAGGAAGACCCTATTTCAGGAGAGAGCAGACTGTGTATCCGTTTCATTGAAAAAAATATTGAAGGATCGTGTTTTCGTGTACGTAAGTTGTTAAGAGCTTTTAACAATAAATGTGTTATGCAATTTTTGTCAGAAACCGTGCAATCCATAATGTTCAATGTTATTTGCTTTAAATAGGCATGGAACCAGACTGTCCTAACTAAGAGTTGTGTCCCTTTGCAAAACAATCTAAAAATAAAACTTTATAAATTGATGTATCCGAAGAATTTTTCTGGATTTCCATTCCTCAGATGCCATCGAAACAAAATTAGAAAACCAACTTGAAGGATGCAACAATTATTAAGTACTTGAGGAGGTAAACAACCTTATATCAAAATAACGATATACATGCATAAAGGAATTGGAACTTCTTCATTATTTCTTAAAATTTCAACGTAAAATTTAAAAAAGGTCTTTTATGAATCGATAATTTGAAAATGGATTATTGCCAATAATCATACCTCAAGTAAATGAAGACCGTGAGTTGTATGTACATCAGCTGACTCTGTGCCAGCCATGGTGTAAAGATAACATTTGTGATGTGTCATGGCGGCCATAATATGCTGTAAAATACATAAATTATAACAAATGTTGAAACAAGCTTTGTCTTTGGTATTCGTTGTCTCATTTTTGTTGTTGTTCATTTTTGGAATTCAAATGATTGCGATGTTATTTTGATTGTTATACGAGATTTCAATTCAGGCAAATATACATCTGTTATAACCACTTGTTTTTTTTTAATTATATTTTTTTTTCAAATATGTCGACTGCAATGTCAGTGTTGAATTAAAACCATTCTGCTTCTGTCATGTGCTATTTAACAGATCAAAGATTTAACATGCAATACAGTTTTATACAACAGACTTTTAGTCTAGGAAATATAATTTACAGTATTTATTAGTTATATTATGCTTTGGGTTAACTTTCCGTTACTAAGAGTACTCTTAGGACGGTACGTTGTGTCTTTAGTCTGTTTAAGTTATATTGTATGTTTTGTGTTGATCTGGTGAGCTCATTGTTGCAGGCCGTGGTCACCTATAGTTGAATACATTTACGTCATTTGGTCTTTGGTGAAACGTTGTGCCATTGGCAATCAAACCACATCTTACTATTTTCATATTTAAAAAGCGAGGCTCGTAAAGATTTTATTTCCTGTTTCGTATAGTGTGTACAAATAATAAAATTCGTATTTTCGGACAATGTAATAGTATTATTTTTATCCGGCAATTTAACCTTGACTCTTAAACGTTCTTAGTCGTTGTGTATAAATTGTATGGTTAAATAAATCGACATTGCTTAAAATCGGACCTCGAAAGAGGATCCCAAAATGAATTGTGTTGGTAACCAATCTAATTAAGATATAGATCTCTGAATTCGTTATACGCAAGTTACGATAGACCGACATTTTAATTAGATTTAGTTGTTAACAGATTTGTTTTGTAAATTTTACCGTTTGTTAAGAACGGAAACAGGATATATACCAGCTAGTGGACGCGTTTTGTATACTATGAAAAGAAAGCAAAGTTGTTTTTCTATGCCTGCTGTTTGTATAATTTTAGTTGGTTGATTGCAGGATAAGAAACAAATATGTCCTAACGTTTGTTAGCATATTCTTTCAAACATTAGATTCACTTACAGAATGAGGATCATATTTGAAACCGAAGGCCTCTGTTACTGCTGGTTCATGTGTTGGACCTGTTCCATGGTGATGATGATGATGATGCTTAGTACTATGTGGTGCCATTGTTGTTGCGGCAAGAGACTGAAATTAGATATACAACTAAGTATTGTATGATTTTTTTTTACCATTAACATATCGTAGATGGATGGATGGATGGATTTAAACATTCAGTGGCATATTAAATGCATATTCAGGATAGGAATTATCATAGTTATGAACTCTGCCTTGTAGGAGACTGACACGCTGAGCCGGATTATTAATGTGCTAGTTTACATGGTAACAGTCCGCATTAAGAAATGTCGCCCTATCCGGAAACATTATTCTGACTCAGATTCGAACAGACCAGGTGCACAGCGGAAAAGCAGCAAATACCAATTTTAAATTCTTAGGTGTGATCCGGCCGGGGTTTTGCCTTATACAAATGTTGACCTGAGAAAATGAATACATTTTTTTAAAATTAATACAAATATACTTTTAAAAATAAACAAGAACGTGTAACCATAAGACACCATGCTCCTTTAAAACTATCATATTGTTTATGTTCAGCAAACATCAAAATCTAGGTCAAAATGCTAATTTGGCTTTTTTTTATAGCTTACATCATAATCAACATGTGTATTAAGTTGCAAATTGATATGACCACAACTTGACCACAACTTAATTCTATAAAATGTATTAACAAAATTATCGAACGCTAAGGTAAATTAAAAAAAAAAGTGAAGTCCATAAAAACTGACAAAACTAAACGCACGACTATATTAGCCAACGGAACGACTAGAAATCAATTTTACATTTCTGACTTCCGAAGAAATTGGTGGGTTAAATCTCGTTTTACAGCTACCTAAACTTCCCACTCGTATGACAGTTGACTATAGTGAAGCCATATTGACAAAAAAAGTGTGAACAACACAAATAAACAAATTAAGTTAACGTGAAAAAATTGGGATTCGGCTGCCATAATTGTGCAACAGTACATCATAGATATAAACATAAACTGGCGTCAGCTATCTTAACCAAAAAATTCCACCTGATACTGGACGGACGAATGGGCGAATAGACATTAGAATATAATATCCCATATTTTTGTAGGTGGAGTATATAAATGAATAAAACCAACCTTTACTTACTAAAGCAAGACAGACCGTCCTTGCGAAATTGCAAAAATAAGTAATCTTACCTGTCCGACAGACAAACAGATCAACAGTACAAGCATCATTGTGTTCTATTTTCAAAACTCAATTACTACATGAAATGGTTTGTAATAACAAGACTATTTATATAGGTTGCTCTAAATTCATATCTTGATCGTGAACAAGATAACTGTGGGTTGTATAACTTAAATATGTACCAAACATTCCGATAAGACGTGAAAGGAAAGATCCATGCGGTCGATTTACTTAAACACCTTTTGTCACTTTAGGTTCTATTGACACTGTTACCTTTAAGCCGAGTTGTGACGTACTGGCGCCTATAACATGATACATGCTGCCCGCAAAATCCGGACATTAACATTTCGGGTTCCGGAGATAGAGAGTACCACGCTTTATGCACATTAAGAACCTTGAAACAACTGTTTTAGGGGTCCGTAGGTAACCCGTTACATGGCAAAATTACTGTCCCTATCCAATAAACTTCATTTTCAAATGGCGTTCCAAATTTCTCCGACCTTCATCCAGGACGGCCTCTTGTATTTATTGTTGATTTGTTCTCGTCCTAAACATGCATGAAATATATGCCACTGGACGTTAAGCAACCAACAATCAAGCAATTAACCTCTTTGATCAAGACCCGTGTAAAGTTTGGGTCATGATGTCAAAGGTCACTATACCAATGTTCCATCATATGATATTACAAAAATAGATAGTAAAGACTTTACATTATTTATTTCCAACAGATAGAAAATAAGTATCCGACTCAAAAATCTGTTTCTTTTACGAAAATCCTTAAAAATTGCACACTTGTGAAATCTTTGGTCAATTGTCGTAAAGTATCAAATAGCAATTAGGTATACAATTCATCTTTAACTTGTCTTCTCAAACAACGTATGTCTTGCTTCAAGATATGCATTTTGAATGTAGCGTAACATAATGACTATTTTATTTTCTTACAATGGTCAAAATCTTTGTTGATTGATTTGTGTTCCTCGAAAGTATCATCTATCACAACCTCAGCACTGTGTGTTTTGTCTAATACATAAGTTCTGATCACTCATACGGTAAAAAGAAATTCTAAGCTACTTAAACAAAGAGACTGCTCTTTTACATCCTGATCCATGATGATAATAAAATTGAGAATGGAAATGGGGAATGTGTCAAGGAGACAACAACCCGACCATAGAGCAGACAACAGCCGAAGGCCACCAATGGGTCTTCAATACAGCGAGAAACTCCCGCACCCGGAGGCGTCCTTCAGCTGGCCCCTAAACAAATATGTATACTAGTTCAGTGATAATGGACGTCATACTAAACTCCAAATTATACACAAGAAACTAAAATTAAAAATGATACAAGACTAACAAAGGCCAGAGGCTCCTGACTTGGGACAGGCGCAAAAATGCGGCGGGGTTAAACATGTTTTTTGAGATCTCAACCCTCTCCCTATACCTCTAGCCAATGTAGAAAAAACAAACGTACAACAGTACGCACAGTAAAACTCAGTTTAAGAGAAGTCCGAGTCCGATGTCAGAATAGGAAACAAAAGAAAATAAACAAAATGACAATAATACATAAATAACAACAGACTACTAGCAGTTACTGACATGCCAGCTCCAGACCTCAATTAAACTGATTGAAAGATTATGTCTTCATCATATGAATATCAGGCACAATCCCTCCTGTTAGGGGTTTAGTATTATGAGTTTATTTACAAGAACTGATTCAAAAGTTCGTGTAAAAGTTGTATTTTTTACACTTTTTTTAAATTAAGGAATGACTGTATTATTTTTTCTGTCTATGAAGAAATAACATAAAAAATGTGGTGCAAACTGAATAACCCGCGTAGCGGATTATTTTATAGTGTGCATCACATTTTTTATGTTAATTCGAATAGACAGAAAAAATATTACAGTCATTTCTTATAATTTAATTCTAAATTCCATTTTAAACCGGAGTAAACCATGAAAAAACGTTGATGACGTCACGGTCACATGACAAAATTATTGTCTATGAGCTGATAAACAAAACAACGTCAGCCAATCAGAAGACGCGTTACATCCAAAATTAAATTATTAACTTATAATACTTTAATTGTAAAAATAAGGAGATGTGGTGTGATTGCCAATGTGACAAGTCTCCATTAGAGACCAAAAGACACAGAAATTAACAACTATAGGTCACCATACGGCCTTCAACAATGAGTTAAACCCATACGCATAGTCAGCTATAAAAGGCACCGAAATGACAAATGTAAAACAATTCAAATGTGAAAACGTGAAAACTAACTGACTTATGTACAAAATGATGAACGAAAAACAAATATGATATACATCAACAAATGACAACCACTGAATTACAGGCTCCTGACTTGGGACAGGCACATACAGTATGTGGCGGGGTTAAACTAGTTTGAAGGCGCGCCGACCCTCCCCTAACCTGGGACAGCGATGCAACAGTACAACATTACACCACAACTTGTTATGGATGGCAATGGAAAATACTTCCTTATTCTATTTGATCATTATAAAAGTCTACCCATGAACATAAGGTACAATGTATGATCGCACTATTGCTTTTATATAAATCACTACAAAATTACGTTAAACATTTCGTAGGCTTTTGTTGGCATATAGCAAGAAATTGTTTCTGGATAACATTGTTGTATACGACTGAGGAATAAGAAGGAGATAGTATATGAGGTACAAGCTCTGGGGGAAGTAAATATCATACAATACAAAAAATGAAATAACAAGTTTTTTGCGTCCTAATCAGTATATACAGCAAAATCTATATTACTACTTGTAGGTTCCGCCTACGATTGCTGCTGTCAGTGCAAAAGTGTAATGTTGACTTAAAAAATGAGTCCATTTAAATACAGAATTTTGAAAAAAAAATCCAAACTTTTTCTTTAGATGCAATGTCTTAGTAATGTAAATTAGCTTCTGTCCTAGTTTCATAACAATCGATGGAGGTTTACAAATTTATCATGTCTAAAACATTTAATCCCAGACTGTCTGTTAATGTTAACTGTAAAAAACTAAGTCCATCTATTAGAAAAATACAGAAAATGAAAATATATTTTCAGAAGTTTGCTTCACCCATTATCTCTTCATCATAAAAAAGCTTCTGCCAAAGTTTCATAAAATTCTATGAATTTTTTACAAAGTAATTGATGTGTAACAAATTTTAACCCCAGACTGAATCTACTTGTTAACTGTAAAAAAAACTAAGTACCTTTATCAGTAAAATATGGGAACATTAAAAAAAATCAAAATTTTGCTCTGGATACTGTATTTTGGTCATTAACAAGCTTTTGTCCAAATTTCATCCAGTTCTATGAAGGTTTGACAAAGTTATTGATGTCTAAAAAAACTTTAACCACAAACTTAATCTAAAGTTTGACACCGCCGACGCCGACGACGGAAAAAAAGGATCCCTACGTCTCGTTTTCGCGACATTAATGTCGCAGACTCGACAAAAACTACATGTTGTAAAGATATTCAAGTAGCATTTTATGATGTAGACAAAAAAAAACTTAACATAACAAGTCAAAAGACACCAAGTACCGCTTGCTGTGTGGTATGGTTTTTGATCATTTTTAAAGGTCGTACGATGACCTAAAGTTGCTTACTTCTACGTCATATTGGTCTCTGGTAGAGAGTTGTCTTATTGGCAATCATATCATATCTTTTTATTTTTATATAAACTAAACATCATGACAAAATAAAAGAAAAACCCCACAAAAAACAGGGGGGTGGGGGGGGGGGGGGGGGTTGTAACTAATGATCAACTGTTTCCCCTCCATTAGATATATATTACGCTCAATTCGAAAGAACATGTACTATTGCAAAGCAAGAGCAGCCATGTATTCAGGTATTTTAAAATCGGTAAGACCGGTGCTTCCGCGATTAATAGTTCCATGAACTAAATACCGAAATGGGACGAAAAGATGAAATAAGTAAATGTGAGAATATACAATGTGCCACCTTTTAGAAGTGTACTAGTGGACGAACTATGAAATCAAATTTTCTATTTTTAACACTCGTCCAAAGATAAGGACAACTTTGACGTCTTTGTCCTACTTTACGGACCTTCTTGACCTCTTACATGAAACACATACTTTCTCGTTTTTATGGTTGATTTACCCATTATGATATGAATATGTAGAAATGTGACGTTTTCTGTAAATAAACAAGCAAGTATCAACACCATATTTTCTAAAACAAAATGATATCTATAGGTCCACACACGGAATTAAATGATAAATAACACTTGTGTTGGTTTTCTTGATGAAATTGTTTCACATTTTGTCATGTCTTTTATACATGTAGCTGACTATACGGTATGGGTTTTGTTTATTGTTAATGGTCTACAATGATCTAAGTTTGCTTACATTCAAGTACTCTGGACTCTGGTGGATTATAAATTGTCTATTGTAAGTTTCCGCCAGCAACCCTAATGAAATATTACAAAATATAAATAAAAGAGTTTTAATGTTCACCAATCTATTAAACTCCGATTACCTTCTTGTTCAAATAGTTAAAAGACTAAACTGATGTGATTTTAATTAAATTACTTCTATTTTATTCGTTTTTATTTTTTTCACCATTTGTTGGGACTATAATTCCACCCTTTTTTTATACCACATTGTTCATTTAACTATCTTTCGTAATTGACAAGGTTAAACAACCATATTGGTATGTGAATCGGTTATACTTTTAGACAGGTTGTGTGTGACTGTGAATTTAAGGTACATTCTTATCTTCCTTTGTTTCTCCTATGGCAGATGTATTTATTGCTTCGGCGACTTCAAGTACAAAATAGAGATATAAACATTGTACTACATTTAGAGCTAGTTCATCTAAGAGCATATGGTGACTTTGTAGTACGTATATAACCGCTTTTGTTCGATCGACTACAGGGATTTTGAGAATAAGGATAAAAAAAAACAGTTTTTTTTTTGCGAAGACCATTAAATTTTTGTCCTTTTATTTATTTTATATTGCACTCGAATAGATATTGAAATATTTTAGGAAACTGTAAAAAAAAGTATACGTCACCGACTTAGCTTACACGCTATTTATGGTAATTTTCAAAAATGTACATTAAAGCTATATATTAAAAGTCAAAGCCATTACTTTCTACTTCGTTTTAATTTATATCTGAGATGCTGAGAATAATGAACCAGTGCTAAAAATATACATTCTATATGTAATAGCTGAAAAATTTGGTATGTATAAGAACTAAATGCCGTGAACGTGATAAGATTCATTGCCTATTAGGTTCGCAAATGAATTCACAGTGATTTGAAATGTCATAACCAAATTAGATATTATTTTATACAGTAAAATGTATTGTGGAGTGTGTTATATGTGTGGTTTTGCTCACAATTTGTGTGTGAATGTGTTTTTATTGCATTGTGGCAACTTGGCTGTCATTTGAAACACCGTCTACATGTACACTATCACCTATATGAAAGTCTACTAAATCATTCAACTGTTATTGATCAGATTTATTCCGGGTCCATACATGCCAACTGTCACTATTTGCGGGGGTTTTGCCCCATGGAGGCTCCCAATTGGAAAGATTGAAAGAGCAATTTTGTCCAGAATTTAAAACAAAACAATCAATTCAACCATGGGTACGAGATTGTAAAAGTATGGAGAAGCAAATAAATATCATAAAAATAAATTTTAAGGTCCCTGTAAAGGTTTTGTAGAACGGTGAGAGCCATCTTGCACGTAAAACCCCCATTGGCATTTTAAAATGTTGGCAGGTATGCGGGTCCTAGAGATGTAATGACCATAACATTTGCCATTTTCATCATGATGACATATATATCTGGTCATCACATTGTAGTTGAGGTCATTTGGACATCAATCGTACAAAACGTTTATTTTAACGTTTTATTAAGGTTAAATTATAATAACACCTTGATAATGTTGGTCATTAAATTTTAGTTTAAATGTATTTTCACTTTACCCAAGGGTAATATTAAAGCTACAAGAAAATTCCTTTATGCTAATATGTAGCAACATTCGAGCAGCACCTGCATATGGAGTATATACCTCTCAGTTGAAACTATATTCCAGGGCTTGTATTTTCTATCATGATTTCCTTTATAGAGAGTTGCTGCTCACAAGGAAGCTATTAAACCATGAGTTCCAAGTGGTGAAGTTGATATCATCCCTTGGTGAATTTTTCGGACGCCATTACGAGTTGGTTGACCGTTATGGAAAATCAGTTTCACAGATGACGAGATATTTTCTAATTGTCGTAACTACAAACCCGTTCTCTTTCTCCCGAATGTGACCTTCCGAATTGGACTTATCATCGGGTTTGTACTTATATGAGCAACACGGCGGGTGTCACATATGTGGTGCAGGATCTGTTTACCCTTCCGGAGCACCTGAGATCACCCCCAGTTTTTTGCTAATTCGTGTTTGCTCAGTCTTTAGTTTTCTATGATGTGTTTTGTGTTTTCTTGTTTGTCTTTTTTTTTTTTTTGCTTGTCGCCACTCTTTTACCTGTACAATTTTGCTAATTTTCTTTTTTTTTTGGTTCTTTTTGTTGTCTTTAATCTTCTTTAAAAAAAACCAAACTCAAGAAGTATAATTAGATAATTCGAGGACCAGTATTTTGCTAATTTTCTTTATTTTGGTTCTTTTTGTTGTCTTTAATTTTCTTTAAAAAAAACAAACTCAAGAAGTATAATTAGATAATTCGAGGACAAGAATACAAAACTTCCATAGTAGCTACACTGGTAAATACAGTTATCCGACTATAGTAAGAATTGTAAATTTTATTGTTTTGTATATTTTAGTTTTGGAGTTTACCTTTTATATACAATGGTTATTCCCTTGGACCCTTTAGTTTTTTTCTTTCCATATTTCTTGTTATGGATTAACCAAAGATCATGGTAAATATGAAAACAATGACAAAAGTAATTCTGTATAAGTAACATAAACAATTTTAAGGGAACCATGACCAAGTATTTGAAAGAAATGCAAGATGATTATGATGGTAATGAGTCACACTGAAATACTGTGGATTCATTTATTTTCGTGGGTAACAATTTTCATGGATTGAGGAAGAAATGCATACTTACCCTTTATAGCTTGCTGTTCGGTGTGAGCCAAGGCTCCGTGTTGAAGGCCACATGTACTTTGACCTATGATTGTTTACTTTTTACAAATTCTGACTTGGATGGATAGTTGTCTCATTGGCACTCATACCACATCTTCTTATTTATATTGTGGATAATTGATTTCGTGGTTTGTCCAAAGTCTGCATATATTGCAATAGAAAATTTGTAATTCGGAGAAAATTTAAATATGCGGTTCCCCTGTACCCTCAAAATACATTAAAATTGGTATCCGAGGAATAATAAGGAATCGACAGTAGTCACTTTAATTTGAATCAAATTTCATTGGGGAATGCGTTTTTTTATTTGCCTTCATTTGCAATAGATGTCCATGATCTCTTGGGTTAGGTTTGTTTCCATTTAGGGTTAGGTTAGGGTTGGTTTTATGTTAAGGTTAGATTTTAAGGTTTAGGTTAAGGTTCAGTTAAATATAACCCAAAGTAGGTAATGATGGGTTGAGACCCCCAATTAAAGTAAAAAAAGACAGTTTTAATCATGCATAAGATTTATTGTCTATTAAGTTCATAAATAAATTCTTAGTGATTTAAACTATCATAACCAAATTAGATATTACTTTACACAGTAAATTTATTGTGAAGTATGTTGTACACGTGGTACTGTTAACAATGTGTGTGTATATGTACTTTATCTCAAACTGTATCCACTAGATATTAGTATACCATTATTTGTCATTTTCTATTCAAATATATCACTAAATAGAAATATGCTTGATGGATATATAGACAAATGGATATTGGTATTGAAATACCGGTAATACACCAAGCCTTTGTTGTTATATGAAAAAGGCTGATTGCAAACACTTAAGGCATCAGAAAAATTAACAGCTTTGCTTGAAAGCCATTTATCAATAACATACAGGGGTTAATTACTATCTTCATACAACAAGAAAACTGCCGATCTGAAATATTAGTTGTGTATCAACTACCTCAACATTAGTGTCTTATATATACTTATAAAGACTGCAAGCAAACAACAAAACACCCAAAAGACATCTTGCCTACTTTAATTATATAAATTTTTTTTTTTTCATTTACAACTCCAGATATTACAAGGCGGAAAAATAAAGCTAAAGTCTCTTTGAAAATAAAAATTTATTCTTTCATTCAATATATTAAATCAACAATTAAAATTGCACATAATTTGATTATAACAATTAATTACAAGATACAAACAGCAGTTCATAAAATAATAAATAAAGGATAAAATTAAAGTTGCATGTGCACCATCAAATTACATTTCAACATAATCAGGAAACATATTGTTGAATATACTGATCAGACAAACAAATGCATCAACCTGATAAAATTATAGAAAATAATGATCTGATTTTTCAAAAAAAAAAACATTTGGATGCATTAAATTTTTCATTTTTTTCTACATTCTAAATACACAATTTTTTTGACTAAAAATGAGAACTGGATGATTTGAACAAATTTTAGACATTGTTTATATATACAAACATTTGTTAAACTGATTGAAAGTTCATTGCCTTAGGTTAGAAGTGTGGCACATTTTTTTTTCTCAGTAAATCTAAAACTTTATTTATGCATGAAAGCAGGTCACAGTAAACAAAATTTAAAAATTTCTTTGATGACCTATTGACAAAATACCAGTCTTTTCAACCTTGTAGTTGTGATAAAATTTTGATGATTTTACTATGACGATATAATAGATATGTTGCTTTTAAAATGTTCAGATAATATTAAAGCACTCATTTGACAAAAATGAAATTCACAAAATTTTGAAAGAATGTACCCGTAAGAGTTAAAATGTCATTTTGAAATTAAGGGACAAAGGTAATCACTGTAACATGTGTCTACATTTTTTTGTCAGGTGCTTTCGCCTCCAATAGTATTGTCAGTTTTCCTACCGAAGGTCATGGTTCTATCCGGGCACTCAAGCTTCCTCCACCAACAAATGCTGACTGCGACAAAATAGTGCAAAAGTACTGAAAGTGGCATTAAATGCCAATCAATCAATCAATTTTTCTGCAATTTTTGAACTTTATCAGAAAGGCCAAAATTCATTTATATATTATTGTTAAGATAAAAAGCAATAAAATTGATAAATCCAATTTTAGATCTATCATTTATTTAAATGAAAATAGTTGCAGATCTAGAAGACAACATCCTTTTTAAGAATTACTTCATAAAAATCTTTTTGTTCATTCTTCTTATCAAACAGGACTTAGATATCTTTTATATATGTATATACTACTATATATAAATAGACTGAAGATCAGTATCAAGAGTATTACAAATCATAATTATTTATTTTTTTGGCAATGCATTCTCTACAAGTCTTTTAAAATACCCTTGTTAGTACTTAGTGAATCACAGTCATTACTAGTGATTTTAAGTTTTAAGAAGGATCTGCCTTCCCTTCAAGAGCACCTGAGATCACCAACAGTGTTTATTGGGGCTCAGGTTCATGTAATGTATTGTAGATTTTTTTTTAACTTTTTGTTGTTTTCCAATTCTGTCATGATTTTCTCTGTCTCTCTTTGATTTATAAATTTTGATTTTTTCATTTTGTATCCTCCTCTATTTTCTTTTTTACACTCAGATTTACAACCCTGTAATTGAATATATTTTGAATATACCAACAAACCTGCCAACTTTCACAACTGAAGGGATATTTCTTCAATGAGAGGTATTGACCTCAATTTTTGAAATCTTTATTGTAATGACTGGACACCTCAAAGCAGGCATTCAAATGAGTTAAAAGGGTATTTAGGCACATACATACTCATTCAAACAACATAGTAGTAGATTACCAATTTTTATGACAATATAAGAGGAGAATTAGGTCCTCTTCCACTTAAAATCAAATTTTGAAAAGTTAGCAGGTATGTATAAAGAAAAAATAAAGAATAAAAACTAAATCCTATCAACAAAGTTTATCACAGTCATGAGGTCACTTTGGCACTTGTATCTTGGTCTTTCTCACTGACCAAAATCAATGGTCTGTCATGGAATGGAAGCCATGCTTCAACTTCTACATTAAGGCGAATCTCCTAATTATAATCTGTGTAGCTGGCATGGATGTATATTTCTGGTAAAAGGCCTTGGTGGAATCCCTGAAAAATTAAGATGCATTATAAAAAATATGTCTTATAGATAAGTTCTATAGTAGTGAATTATCCTGATTTTTTGAATATATAAAAATTAGAAGATGTGGTATGATTGCCAATGAGACAACTCTCCACCAGAAACCAAATGATACAGAGATTAACAACTATAGGTCACCATACGGACTTCAACAATGAGCAAAACCCATACTGCATAGTCATGCTAGAACATCATATACTTTTTTAATTCCAGCTTCACTGATGAGTCTTTTGTAGAGGACACTCATGTCTGGTATACAGAATTATAAGCCTGGTATCTTCAATGAGTTTTTTTTATACCACTTATGATTTTTATGAACATTAGTTTTGGCTAAAATAAATTCACCGAACAAGAAACAAGTAGCATCAAAATAGTTAAAAAAAGAAATTAAATAATTATAAACTTATTAAAAATTTATCAGAAAAAATGTTGCTTTAATAATACTACAGATTTATTTTTCGTGTTTTCAGATACTGTGGATTTATTATTATTTGTGGGGTACTCATTTTTGTGGTATCAGCTATATGGAAAAGGGGGGTTCCTATTCCCACAGAACACCATGAAACGTTCTCATAATTAAATTAAGAAATAATTCATGGCAGCCGTAGATTTGTTTTTATTTAACCATGGGTTGGGCATTTATATTCGATTATTTTACCCTGAGCGTTAGCGAGGGGTAAAATACGAATATAAATGCCCAACCCATGGTTAAATGAAAACAAATCTACGGCTGCCATGAATTATTTCGATTCTAATAGGACAAATTCGGTAATTTTGTTAACCGTGAAAGCCCTATACATACGATATTGTTTTGGCTGTTCCGTTTTACCCAATTTTGATAATATTAGTAATATTTTATAATTCAATAATTTTTTTTTTTTTAATCGGATTTTTCACTTATATATTTTCTTCCAATGTAATTTTATTTGTTCTGAGGCGTACAAGAAGCTTTAAAACGCCCGGTATTTACATTTGATTTTTTGTTTACGAAAACATACTTGTGAAGTCACCTTGTTTCGTTGCCATGCCAAGACAATAACATCATTTCGCGGAATTTTCGTTTTATGAAATTTTACCATGAAAAATAAATTGAAATGGACTGATTTGTTTATTTTGCTGTAGAATAGAGATAAATATATTGTATCTGAAGCTTGGCCTACGTAAACTTGGGGTTTTGATGTAGAAAATTGAGAATATCTGGTAGTATAAATAAGTTGGTAGTAACGCGGAACAGCCGTTTTTGTGTATTACTGCGTTTGCACTAAAGGTAGATATATTGTGATTATACTGGTTGACAATAATAGGACGTCATATTAGAATAAAACATTAAAAATATGAAACAAAAAATGGAGAAAAAAAAGTAGGGTGGGTGGGAGGATTTCAACCCCTAGAACACCCCCTCCCCTCTTGATCCGCCAATGCTGAGTATAGGAAACAATTTAAGTATACATTAAATTCAGATAGTATTGCAATACTCACCCAGTCACATTAATAAAAATCTGCTATAATTTCTTAATTAACAGTAAAACAAATTTCAAATATAAATTTGTATGCAAACCCAAGAAATCAAGTATCCATGAAAATGCAATCTTTCCTCTATCCATGAAAATTGGTACCCACAAAAATAAATGAATACAAAGAATTTTTTTAAAATGGAACTTCAACATTTAATCATTTAGTAATACCTATTCACAACTCTAATTTAAACTATAAGTATACCTGTTGTGTTTAAACTCTTGTAATGATCTTCTATGTGCTGATACTTCACCAGTTCTGTAAGATACTGAAAAAAAATCATCATAGTCACAGTTTATAATGAATGCTTAGAATAAGACTATGTACATGTATTAACAAGCTTTAATTTTTTTTTAAATTTTGAGACCATACGTCTATTTGAAATTATCAGATTAACTGAGAATCTACTTAGAATATAGACTATGGAACAGCATGATACAACCGTTTTTCCTACCCACCCCCTCCCCCCTCCCCTAAGAAAAAAAAACTGAAAAAAAACCACCTTGAAAATAGATGTCAATTTCACAGGCATAACCTTTCTGCCATTGGCCTCTCAGATATTATAAACAAACCAATCAGCAGTATCTTTCATTGTTACAACCTTCTGCCCTATACTACATGTACTATATATGACTTAGATAAATTGTCTAGCCTTATCATTACCTCCATAATATCAATATCACAGTCTTGTATTCCAAGTTTACTGAGGAAAGCTGTTGCAGTCTTCTTCGCAGAATCACTTTCACTAATAATACTTCCTCTATTGCTAAAATTAATGTAAAATAAATGTAAAATTAGGTTATTAATATCTTTAATATTTTTTTATTAAGGTGGTACATAACACTACAGGGAGATAACTCTGTAAAAATCAGCTGAATGTTTTAATTACATTCTATTGTTAAGGAAATATTAAGCTTCTCAGTGATAAAAATAAGTGTTAGTCAAACTGCTATATATCCAATGAAATTTTTCCAATAAAGTGTTTTGAAATTTTTATATTTGTGTCAAAAGGTCAAAGTAAATATGTTGTCAAAACTTTATGAAAATAAAACGAGCCAAATTAATTTTAGTCAAGGTGTTTGGTACCACCTTAACTAGCACTTTATCTTAAATCATTTTACATTCTATTATACACTGCATATAAATATACCACTGAAAAAGTAATATCTGAATACATAAATCTATATGTGTTGTGATAAAATTAGCTAATTTTTCTCATCAGGTATGATCCAAAAACTTTTTAAATAAAAATAGGAAAATGTGGTATGATTGCCAATTGCAATGAGACATCTATCCACTGAGTCCAAATGATGTGCAAGTAAGCAGCTATAGGACAGCGGACATCATTCAACAATGAGCAAAACTCATACTATATAGCCAGCTATTAGAGACCGCTACATGACAAAATATGAAACATTTTAACCATGAAGCCAAACAGCCTGTTTTGTGATTAAACAAGAGGCTGCAAAATGAGTGCAAACTGGGTTTGTTACATTTATTAGTGTCATTTAGGGGGGTCATAAAGGAACAACCATTTAATTTCAAGGGGTGGGTTTATCGTTTTTTGTCTAAGTCAGAAATTTTTTTTCATGCAAAGCGCAACATTTTTTTATTAGTTTTTCGATGCTATCAATCAAATTATTTTTTACTTTACAAAATTGGGGCCTCAGTGGCCGAGTGGTCTAAGTAGTTACTACTGTAATCACTAGCCAGTCAACACTGAGGTTGTGAGTTCGAATCCCGCTCGTGCGGGTGCACTCGACTCCAATCTTAATTGACTAGGATTGTCAGTTTTCCTATCTAAGGTCAGTGGTTTTCTTCGGGCACTCCGGCTTCCTCCACCAATAAAAACTGACCGCCATGAAATAGTCCAAAAGCGGTGCTTAAAAGTGGCATTAAAACAACAAAAATCAAATCAAATCAAATTTACTTTAGAAAATTAAACACTATAAGGTATGCGATTTTTTTTTTTTTAGGAAAAAACCCATACTCCCCCCCTTGAAGTTAAATGGTCGTTCCCTAACTCCTGAATGGCAGAAGTGAAATTTGTCATGATCCCAAATTTGTACAACCCCACATCAATAACCTAAAAATAAGGTTAACAACAAAATCTAAATAATGATAAGCAACAACAAATGAGAACCACTGAATAACAGGCTCCTGACTTGGTACAAGCACAAAATATGGTGGGGTCGTACATGTTTGTGATTGTTCTTTTGTCACTTATTACTTAATCAGTGTTGTTTGATGACATGGTATGGCTGGAGATTTTTTCTGGTTTAATAGAATACCTGTCGCTTAATTAGATAAAAAAAAAAAGAAACTAGTTCAATCATGTCATATTTACATGCAAGTATAAACAGGTATTAAAATTTCAATGGTATCTTTAAGGTGGTACATAACCCTACAGGGAGATAACTCTGTAAGAATCAGCTGAACGTTTAAATCACGTTCTATTGTTAAGGAAATATTAAGCTTCTCAATGATCAAAATTAGTGTTTGACAAACTGCTATATATCCAATGAAATTTTTCCAATAAAGTTTGTGGTTCAAGTTTTTTTAAATTTTTATATTTTTGTCAAAGGGTCGTCAAAATCTAATGAAAATTAAACAAGCCAAATTAATTTTAGTCAAGGTGTTGGGTACCACCTTAAGTTTGGAAACTCAAGAAATCCATAAATTATGTAAGATTACCTGTCCAACGCTTTAATTTGCCACATTTCTTAATAATTAATTTTGGATGTAACACATCTTCTGATTGGCTGAAAGTTTTTTGTCTATCAGCTCATAGACATAATTTTGTCATGTGTTCGTGACGTAAAAGTTTTTTCCTGATTAACTCCTTAAAAATGGAATTTAGAATCAAATTATTAGGAATGACTGTAATATTTTTTCTGTCTATTCGAAATAACCTAAAAAATGTGGTGCACACTTTTAAATAACCCGGGCCCCTATGCGGGTAATTCAGCGTGCACCACATTTTTGATGTTATTTCTTCATAGACAGAGAAAATATTACAACCATCCCTTAATGAAAATAAGTAGTTGTGGTGTAAACTTTAAGACACAAAAACCAATAACACAAATTACAAAAGACATGTTGTTGCATACTCATTTCAATTTTTGGCAGTCTGGCTGTATAAAACGTCCACAAATGGGGGAATACAAGTTTTCCAATGAAGTTGATATCCAATATTGGTTTCTCCTAGGTATGAACACCAGTAGTATGGGTACTGTTGATTCATTAATACTCGTTGGATACCAATTTTCGTGGATTTTGTGGGTACGGGGGAACCATGAATTTAAATATTCATGAAATACAAGCATTTTAAAGGAATGTCTGCTGACTAAACCAAAACAACAAAATTAAATATCCAAGAAAATGCTAGTTTTCCTCAATCCACGAAAATTGGTACCCACGAAAATAAATGAATCCACAGTATTTGATAAATTAATATTTGTTTTCTCATTCATACCTACCTCGTTAGTGTTCCAACTGTACCAAGACAAAATGAATGGAAAAATATAAATGCTTTTGATGAAAATTCACAAAGTGATCTGAAAAATAAATTGTAGTTATTTGTAATGGCAAGAACTGTGTTCTTCAAATTTCTTAATCACCATACAGTTTGAAACAACCAAAGGAGTAGGTCTGGTAAGGGCCGATTTTGGCCTCAAAATTCAGGTTCATCTGATGAAAGATTTTGGACACTTTTTAAACACTTAAGTGTCTACTTCAGTCGATTCAATTAGTTTATGTGAAAGATTTTAACTGATTTAGTCATTAAAGACGCTCAAATTCAAGCTTAAATATGAAAAATCTATCAAATATGCCATAATATGTCACTTTTCAGATGGTTTTTGTCAAAAATGAAAGTGGCGGCATCTGTGTTCATTCTCAACCTTTATATATGTTATGTATTATCATCAAATACAACTTACATTTAAATATTAAGAAAGAACACAAATGAGGCCACTTCCATTTCAGATGGAAAACTGCTAAAAATTAACCAAAATGCTAAAATTTCGAAGATTTCAGTAATTTAGCATGACTTAATGATGCTAGTACCCGATACATGTGCATTGTATTGTCAAAAACAGCCCATATTTATGTAACACAAGTATTCTTCTTTCCAATAAATAGCTAAAAATTTACATTTTAACAATTTTGTAAAACTGCTATATTTTGGGGCCAATAAGGGGTCTTACTGGGCCTACTCCTTTTCAAGCTTTTGAGTACTTTTCAATGTAAACAAAGGATTATACATTTCTGTTTCCATGTTTTTTTCACAAATTGGTGTTTATGTCAAATATACTGATTACATTCCGACTTGTAAATAATGTTTGTCATATTTAGTTCTCGACATTTGGCTTAATGATCTTTTTATAATGGAAAGAACTAATGATATTAGGCCAAAAAGAAATATATATATATATATACTTGTTTCTGGTCTCCTGACAAATACAGTAGGTACTAGGTAGGTAGCAAAAATGATTTAAAATTAATTTTTTATGAAAGATTTTACATAGACTATATAAGGATATGTTGACTGTAATGGTGCATATCCAAAAAGGTCCAATAAATGGGTTAGAAGGAGGAGTTGAACTTTATCAAAATAAAGTCATACAACCAACTGTGTCTTACTTTTCAATAAATTCTACAAACATATTCTGAATACTTTGGAAACTTACACTTTAATAAACTGGATATAACTTTCTTCTGTCTTAAATGACTTTTTTCTTGATAAAATTGTTGTGATTAAACTTCCCTAAAATACAAATTAAAAGATAAACTTCAAATTTCCTCAGACAAAAATTATCTCTGGACAGTTTCTCCTATTTTAAATAGCATCTAAGGAAATTTTGTCTCCTCTTGACTGAAATGTTTAGCAAATAATCCTCTAGAACATGATATATCTAGAGATTGTTAAGTTACACATTGTCAATTTAATTTTTCTATTCTTTACTATTGAGATGTTAGAAAAAACTACTGAACTATATATTCAAGACAATTTTTCTAATATTACCATGATGATCTTTGGCTTAAAAGTGTTGAAATTTATTGAAATACATGGTAGCTTTGTTTGATTAATATTTTTTATTTTTCAACACTTAAATATAAAAATAAACATTTCTTGTTCCTAGCTATAAGTTTTTAACCAAAAAAAAAATACAGTGACACCTTAAATAATTAAAAAAATTTAAAAATTGGTGAAAAAACTTTTCTGATCAATTGTCGTTGCTTAACTGAAAATCTTAATTAAAAAAAGATGTCAAAATCTCCATGTTCTTACTAATAACAGAACCTACCTGATATACAGGTGAAATAATTATCCTTCTTTCTACATCAAACAGAGTTATGTATTTCTGAAACAATTCAAAAGAAGTTACAAATTTTAAGGATGTTCGCTACTCTGTTTCAAAATAATAAGCTCTAGATTTTTCATACATTTAACCTTTTTTCTGTCTAAAAGTATGAAAAAATAACAAGGATTTAATAAAATTTTCAAAAATGGCATTTTAAACTATATTTAATCAAATTATGAAAAGAAAAGTAGGGGTCAGTGGGCAAAAATTTTTAATGGCAATACATGGATAAAACCAAAGGATTCTGAATATCTGGCAAAAATTCAAAAACAAAAGGAGCAAACATCCTTAAGTAAAAAAGGAATAACATACAGTAACTAAATACATATCTGCGCTTTTCTTTGTCATTGTTTATTCATTTTTTTTATCAAAATTAAAACCAGGATTGCCTTTATAATTCCCTAGGCTTAGGTGTGCAGAAAGCTACTGAAATAGCAGTCTTATCAATACTTTATTTTTTTTAATATTATTGCTAATCTTCAATAAAATTTTAAATAAACTGGACAGTTAAAAGAAAACTAGTAACCGATCGTGTAAGACCCTCATTGGTAATCAAGGTCCTTAAACACCCCCTAGTAGTAGAATACTGGTTAGCAATGGAATGGTTTCTACGATTACCAGAGGGGAAGAGTGAAAATCTCATAAAAACTATTTTTAAATCATCACATGTTAATGTGCCTGTCCCAAGTCAGGACCCTTGTTAGTGCTTGTCTTATGTCATGTCAAATCATGATCATGACCTGCTTATTTTTAATTACTGTGAATTCATTGTTTTTCATGGGATACCAATTTTCGTTGATTTTGTGGGTAAAGATGAACCACGAATTCAAATGTTTAACAAATTTCAAACTTCCTATAGACTTGTATGCTGATTTGGGCAAAACCACAAAATCAAATGTGCAGGAACAATACAATTTTATTCCAATCCATGAAAATAAGGGCTATTCCATTAAAATGTATGTGGGAGGGTAGGAAGGGAAGTTTAATTATTGAATGTGGGTCATGGGTCTTTTTTCAGTATGCATCTATTACCATTATGCAAAATTATCTAAAAAATGGTTCTTGGTTGTAGGGATATTTTAAAAGTCCCTTCCTACCCAACCACATACATTTTAATGGAATAGCCCTAAATGAATCAACACTTTTTGGAAAATTAATTGCTAATGGCAGATCTTCGATAGTCTCTGATAATTTATTCACAACTTCTTAGAATCAGGAAGATTTAGAACTTGACATATTGTACAAACAATGAAGATAATATGTTTACCTCTCGGTGCCTTATGGCTATTGTTGACAAAGGGTTGCTGTCTGATTGACGAGCATCCCTCGTCTCCTTTTATTCATCACTCTTCTGATTTATTGAACTTCTTAACTGTTTGTTTTATTTTACCTGAACTGCTTTAGGAACCATTCTGTCTACCGATTTCTTTTCGTGTCTACAAATGCCAATCAGTTTTATGTCTGTCAGGTCTGTTACTGCTATTGCTTTGGATGACCACTGCATACAACTTGTTTGACATCTATGAAGAAATGGACAATAACATTCTTAAGGCCACAGAAGTATAATAATGAAAAGGTCAATTTTATCGTGGATACTTGGTTTCATGGTTTTGACAAAATCTGCATACAATCCTATCGCAAATATATACTTGGTTGAACACCTAAATTTGAGGTTCAGCTATACAAATGAAATCCGTGAAAATTTGAACTCGATGAAAAAATAAATTAAATAACAGTAATATTACACATATCATAAATGACTTTTTTGTTATCTTTTATTTTTTTATGTTTTCATTCAAATGGCAATGAGTCAGAAATATTTACCTGTGACATCCAGGTAGAAATAGTTTCAGTGCAGTCACCAGATTTTTTACTTCCTCTTCATACTGTGCTGAACCAATTACTACAACAGTCCTCCCCGTTAACATACTATATATCACGTTCTGGATATGGTTATAAGTCTGTAGTATTTTAGTGATTCCAAACCCTACAAGATATAAAAGATATTGAAACTTAATAGACACTCATTTAATGACCCGTAAAGTCAGAATGTAACATTTTTATTCATAAATATGAATCTGCAAAAAACTGACAATGGTATATAATTTTCAATGACTTTCATGATTTTCAATGAAAAATTTGGTACCTTGATTTGAATGTAGAATTTCCCAGAGATCCTAAAAATCAATCAGACCTACATTTATGTCAATTAATCAACTCTGAAAAAATAGCTGAATTATTAGTACAACTTAAACCCTTTAAGAATAGTGTTAACGAATTTTCTTGCCCTTGGTTAGTTTTATTCAATTTTTTTAAATGCAATTTTAGAAAAGATGAATTTTGAAACCAAAATCTCTTAGAAGGAACTTCTGTAAATCAGTAAACCAAAGAAAAAGTCACTGAAAGCAAGCTCTTTTACTTGTGCAAAGTTGATTTCAATATCATTCAAATTTTTAATAGCACTATATATACAAAGTTAAAATTGAAACTAGCCAATGCCATGTAACATAAATGTGTACATACCTGGAGTTAAAGTTTCACTTTGCGTACTAAATCTAAATAGATCTGTTTTGCAGCACTGCTCCATTTCTGTCTTGGATCTAAATGTGAATTCATAAAAAAGAAAATATAAAAATTAAAATTTAAAAAAATTGAAGACTTGGAAAAAAAGTTCATGTTTAAAACTGAAAAGAGGAATGAGATATCTTTAAAACTAAAAAGAGGAATGAGAAATTTTTCAAAGTCATAAAAATCATAAAAACAACTAATAATCTGTCCAAATTCCTATCTATTGCATCTAAAATGACTATATAATCTCTCTAATGATTTACTCATGCTTAAAGTGAGATTAGTTAAAATTGTCTTACCTCTTTCAGGTAAAATTGAAAAAGCAATTGGATAGTTTGCATAATCATGATCATACTTGTATTGCATATAAACTGCATGCATATTTTTTTTAGGTATTTTCGCTTGTCAAGCATATAGTCAAGAATTCCTCAAAATGTACACCAAATATTACTAACTTATCCAATGTCATTACTTGTGCACTGATCAGAACACAACCCTTTAAACTATATACTATGCAAAAATTTAAAAGTTGATGAACCATTACTGAAGGGCCAAAGGGCTTTTCTTATTTTAATCCACTTACACACCAAGTACATAATCAGTTACTTATCATGTATAACTCATGTTAAATGGACAGAATCATAAATTTGACCATGCAAACTACAAATATAAATAAATTACAAATTCAAAAGCCATATTATTTAAGGAACAGGTCCAATAACCACAATGAAAATGATCTGATGTTAAAAGTTGTTGTCAATGTAAACACATAAAAATGTATTGCTTTCTGCAACTTTTTATTGCAATTGTGAAAAAATTTATGATTTTTTGAAGATTTCTGAAAATTATTTCTGAAAGTATAGGTTACAACAGTCACCAGTTCGAGTACAACATACCCTCTTCTGCTTATGTCCTCTTTTTGTTGAACTGTAATTTCATCTTCTGAAACAAATCAAACGATCAAATTATAATTAGCTTCTATATTGTTTTGGTTATATATTAATGCACCAGATGTTAATTTTGAGAGATAGTAAGATTTTTTTATATGAAGGCATGATAAGTTTTTTGTGTGTAAGCAAACATATAAATATTTGTATGTTTGCTTGTGTGCTAAATAGTTTATTGGAGTGTAACTGCAAAACTAGTTTCATATTTTTTCATATCATATTAAACAATGCGATATCATTCAAAACTTGTTTTCTTTAAAGAAGCCATGTCATAAAATTCGTATAATTTTTAGTGCTACTTTTTCCATAGTTTTCAATGGGTGGTGTTTTGCTCTCTATTTTTCATTTTGATGCTTTATCTAGGTGATTGGAATTGTATTTTGTTTCTGTGCTTTATCTTACATGTATATGATTTAAGATTGACTGTCGTTTGGTTAAGGTCCAATGGCCAGGGTTTTAGCTAGGATTTTGAGGGCATTAGTCACTTTTCCACGAAATGAAAATCAACCTTATTTTGGGTAACAGCAAGGGACCAAAGACATGTATTACTAGCTATACATCTTTGAAGGACTTAGGCATGCTCAGGCAGTTATTGCATAATTTGATTGGTGTTTAAATATGAAGATTAAAATAAGATCTAATAAAGATCCAGACTTCTAGTGTACAATTTCACTCAGTTATTTTTAGGGAAAAAAGTAAAGTTTGTTTTTTTTAAACCAGGAATCACAGTATAAATGAACAAACTGTAATGACTTTATCTATGCATAATAATTATCCTTGTTAAAACGGTTAAATCAATATTTGGAATTGATTCCTATATATAAACTTGGAACCAAGGATTTACTTGTTGGAACGATTCTTATCAAGAATAGATCATGTTTACTTTCGATTTTTAAATGAAATGAAAACGGGAAGTGACATGAGGATGACAAATATATTTCTTACTAAGCAACTTGATTTAGAAATATGATAATTTCCTGCCTTTTGTTAAACACAAACCAATCCTCACCCAGAGGCGGCTTCAGCTGGCCCCTTAACAAAAATGTGTACTAGCATGTATAGAAAATGTTTACTTTGTTGAACATTTAAAATTCGTGGTTCACACATACCGCGATTACCCAAGAAATCCTTGATCATAGTTTCCCCACGAATGGTTATTTATGATATCCACAATCGAAAACATATCCAACAAACCTGATTGTAGAGATTGTGATACTTTCGAATGACATCCACTGCAAGATGACACCCCAGAACTACTATCCACATCAGCGTGGGGACAATTATCACAGTCTAAATGACCTTTTGTTATCATTTGACCTAAATTTTCAATAGCTTTTATATCAGCAAATTTTTTGCCAACGTCTTTCTTCTCATCTGTATTTCCAACATTTGCAAATTCAGCATTTCCAATTTCTGCTGATTCAGCTAATTCATTTCTTGTTGATTTATCAATTCTATTATTAGTCAATTCCCCTTTTCTATTTTTTGTTGATTCATCCATTCCGTTATTTACAGATTCAATATATAAATTAGTCATAGATTCAGTATTTATACTATTTACTGATTCATTTTTTCTTATATTTTCTGATAAATTACTTAAATCACTTGCTATTTCACTTTCTTCATTTATAAAAGTTATATCTCTTTCGGCCTTAACGTCTTTTTTCAAATTCTTTGACAAAACAACATCCGTGTTAGTTAATGTCATTAACCTGTCTCTTGGCTCAGAGATGCTATTATTACTTGAGCAACTACTTTCCCCACTTCGTTGAATTTCATCCGAAGTATCATTATTTTGAGAGGCTTCATTTACAATTGTTGTTGACCTTTCCCTGTGTTCAAAATCTACCTCAACAACATTTATAGACGCTTCTGGGTTATCAAACTCTTCCAAAGAATCAGTTGTTGACCTTTCTCTGTTTTCAAAATCAACCTCAACAACATTTATAGAATCTCTGTGATTATCAATTTCTTCCAAAGAATCAGTCATCAAGTTTTTCAAACTTTCATTTCTATCAATATTTCCTGTATTCTTAATAGTATCTTCTTTATTTAGACATAGCGTTTTTTCAGGGTCTCCTTTACCCATATCACTTAAAGTTACCTGGGTTGTATTTTTATTTTCTGATCCTTGAATTTCATTGGATACAGTCTTTTCTAATCCTTGAATTTCATTGGATAAAGTCTTTTCTAATCCTTGAATTTCATTGGATACAGTCTTTTCTAATCCTTGAATTTCATTGGATAAAGTCTTTTCTAATCCTTGAATTTCATTGGATAAAGTCTTTTCTAATCCTGGAATTTCATTGGATAAAGTCTTTTCTAAAGGATCATCTGAAGCAGGAAGTTCATCCTGTAATGAGGATCTATTACTATCTGGAAGGAATCCATCCTTTGGAGGTGTCATGGAATTTCTGAAACTATCAAAGGAACCTACTAACTGGAATGATCCTAAACTGTTGGTCCTCCTAAAAAATGTAGATTCAATTTAAAAATTAAATTTATTTCTGTACCGTTTTACTGTTATTCTAATGAATGTTGTGTAAATTAGAAAGTTTTAACAGAATCTGGTCACGTAACACTAAATTCCTTCTTAAAATAGTTGAGGTATATATTACTTTCTTACAGAATTTTGATTTTCATGGATACAAATTTTCGTGGATTGAGAATTATCGTGGATATCTGATTTGTGATTTTGGCAAAGTCTGCCTATAAGTCTATCAAAAATTTGTACTTTGTCAGACATTGAAACTCGTGGTTCACCTATACCATGAAATCCATTATAGATACTTAAGATAAATATCCCCCGAATAATAATGAATCTACAGTAGTTGAAATCTGTACATCAACCTATTAGCCATGTATGTTCATGTGTTGTTGGATTGCTCCTCTTTTTCATGTGAATACTACATCTCATTTTAATTTTATTCATGACACAATTTTATTGAGTCATAATTAGTTTTACAGTTCCGATATCACTTGGATAACTTACTGCAAGTAAAATCCTAGATCACTTGTAGCTGATAGCATGGAATCTGAGTCTGAGTCGTCATTTATAACTGATTGGAAAGAACTTGGTACTGACTTGAAACTGGACAGAGTGTCTGTCTATAAATTGAGAAAGAAACTTTTATTAGCAAGTAAACACTGAAGTCAGTAAAACTGCTCTTTCATTATTTCTACACATTATTGAATTTTTTCAATATACATTCATGTAGCAGTAATTTGTAAAGGAAAATACTGTGACAAAAAAAAAACCATCATTGTACATAAATTATCTGAATTTAAACTTAGGCTGTGTGATGTATATTTTGGCCACAAGGTCAAACAAGATGTATTGTGAGCTATTGCAATGCCCAAACTCAATAAAAGAAAATGACCAAAATTGCATATAACTATGTGCATCATGTGCATGGCAGTTTATAAAAACAATCTTTCAGCAAACAGGAAGTAGAACACTGTATAAACTGAAAATGTGTCATATCATATTGCACCAAAAAATTAACTGTTACAAAGCTTTGAATTGTTTGAAATACTAAGGATATTTTACCCTAAGAATAGAATACCTAACCTGTATTTGGCAAAACCTTTCAGAAATGTGAGTTATCAATGCTCCTTAACTTCTCACTTTATTTGGCCTTTTAATGATTTTGATTTGAGCATCACTGACAAGACTTTTGAAGCCATAACACTTTTTTGGCGTACTAAATAACATGCCTTATTTTGAGAACTATAATAAAATCTTGTTCTGTTGATATTTAACCAGATAAATCTTTCAATAACACTTTCAAACATGGTATAGAAAAACAATCATTATAACACTACCCTCAAACAATAACTCTAGCAGCGAAGATACTTTACTCTTGGAGAACATGATTCATTGATTAGTTGTAATTGGCTTTGAACTAGCTTTCATTAACTGCAAGTTCACTAATACATGTATGTGCTTTGTGTCTATTGCTTTTATGTTAGTTGTTTTTCAGTCAGTCATATTTATTTTTTTGTAAATTGTTTTTTTATAAATTAGGCCTTTAGTAGATATAAGAAGCTGTGGTATGAGTGCCAATGAGACAACTCTCCATCCAAGTCACAATTTGTAAAAGTAAACCATTATAGGTCAAAGTACAGCATGAATAGTTCCACAATTTTCGTGTCAGGGCCTTTTATAACTGGCTATTCAGAATGGATTTTTTCTCATTGTTAAAGGTAGTGCAGTGATATATAATTGCTTATATCCATGTCATTTGAATTCTGGTAGATAGTTGTCTCATTGATAATCATATAACATCTCCTTATTCTTATATACCGGTACTATTATAAGATAGATATTAGATACTAATGTGTGCATTTATTATTGTGAACCCTTGACCTCTAGCAAAATAGTAATGGTTATCTTCACATTGAAAAAATAAACCTACAGATGACCAGCTGTGTCCCAACATGTTCCAAGATTCCATATTAGTTCTGGTCCCAGGTACTCTCATAAAACAACATGTACTGATACAGATTCTGTAACAAATTGTTTACATAATTAATTTCACCTGTTTGGGATTGACTAAAACAGCTACATGTACATACAGTACAGATACAGTAATTCGGTCACACTTGCTGATATTGACTGAATCAAAGTAAAACAGGGTGATTGAATCCAGAGTTCTCGATAAATGGTGGGCCGAAGGTTTAAACCACCAAAATTTTCCAAAGAACAGACACAATTTTTGTATTTTGCGATAGAAATAATAGTGAGGACAAGCAGATTTTCTTCAAGGACCATCAGGGAATTTTTTTTTCAAGAACTGAAAGTGGCAACAGATCCAAAAAGTGCTCACACATTACAACTCATCATTGTAAAGTTGCTGATCAAATATATAGTTCAGATGTACTGTAACTGAAAGAAGTATGAAAAATATGTTTGTTTGTTTGACAGACAGACAGACAGACAGACAGACAGACAATTGAATGCAATAAAGCCCACAAACTATGAAACAATATCCAATCTTACATGCACATCCTTAATAGTCATGTTAGTCTTTCGTGGATATATAGTTGTCTCCTTATTTGACAATCATACCACATCGCCTTATCTTATTTATAGTTATATATATATGTAACTTACTTATCAATATTTGTCATGAAATTAGAACCTATGAACTTGTTCCCAAAGGTCACCAAACCAGCTGGTGGATCTGGAAAATTAATGAATACTGTAAATTCAGAAATTATTGGGATGTTTTAATTAATGCAAAACCTGCGACAATATTATATTCGTAAAAATAAAAACTCACATTCAAAATTTCAGTAGTGATTTACCTTTACAAAATATTTGCAGTCACAGTAATTAGATCTCGCATTCAAGTAATTAATTAGCGAATTATGAAATCTTTGAATTTACAGTAGACTTAGGCATAATTAGAATATTCGTGATTTGATGATACGAGTCAGTGTTCTCCCCAGGCCCTTAAAGGACCGCGGGCCTGTGATGTATAATTTTTTACTGTGGCGGTATCGTTCTTACCGCGATGTATAATTTTTCTCCGTGGTGCTAAAATTTTCAGTTAAAAAATCGTAAATCGGTAAAGTTTTAAACGACTTGTTTTAAAATCTTTTCCGTGAGGTATAAAATTCAAGGTGAAATTTGACCACTTGTCCAGTTCAAACCAGTTCAACACAGATTGTTTACACCACTTGATCGATTTACCTTATGAGGTTAACCTTGTTGATTGGATTTAATCGATGTAATTAACACTTGTAACATGATTCTTTTGTGTTTTAATTAAGAGTTCATAACTTTATTATCACTGATAACTATTTTATGGCTTCACTCACCACCCAAGCACTGACCTGTGACAAGTTGGCAAATACTTTGTACACAAACAGTGTCTTGACCCGATAGGTACATTTTTTGTACATCATAAAGGTGGCTCATTACGTATAATTGACAATTATACATTTCTCAATTCTTATATTATAGTATTATATGTCTCTGATTAAACCATGGCCAATATGATTTTTAATTATGACATAGTTATTGCATGATAGTCGGGTTTCAAACTGTAGTATCTGTCTGTACATATCACATGACCCAGTTAGTTCACGTAGAATATTCAAGTTTATTCACAATTAATTGCAATCTATTCTATTTTATAAATAAAATGCATGACTGTACCTTCAAACTGGATATCTGTATCCATAATTAATGAATAACAGAAGTAATCTTGCAAATTTTATCCATAAGCACATGTTAAATCTATTTATATCTACTTCCTATCATTTAGGTGGGAAAATAGGGAGACTTAGTTGTTGACATTGAATATGGTTACTTATAGATCTATAGGCCAAAGATAAATTTATAGATTTAGGAATTCTTTTTAAATGGTTCATGACAAATAAAGATATAGATTTCAGTGCAGTATTAAGTCTGTATCTATGTTTGATTATCACCAAAGACAAGAAAAGTTAATATTAACATGAAATCTATGGCAAAATGTTCTAAAATTTATGAAAAATTTCTTTTTATTAAAATCTAAGATAGAAACTGGTTAAAATAATAAAACAATATTTGCAATTGTTCTTGTTAATTTTATATCTTCTTATGACAGGAATCCTTTCACATACAACAACTTTCTTTCTAGAAACTAGAAAGTTATTTAAATTGAACATTTTTGTTCTCTTTTGAATGATATTTTATTTTTATTGATTTTGGATTTTATAAAAGATTTAATTACTTTAAATTCAGATGAATATTTTATTATGAATCATAATTTATTTATTTTTAAAAAATATTAAAGTATACAAACTTTTTTTTGACTTACTTCTTTTTTACCAATATTTTTCTGACAATGTCTACATAACACAGTACCACAGTATTAAAACAAAACAAGAGACATAAAAACTACAGTAACTAGAAATAGAGCTAAGCAACGCGACACGAAGACACAACTGATTGTATGCAATATTTCACCAAGCTGTCCACACGCGTTAATCTGGTGCTATCCAAAAATCCTGGGGAGAACACTGAGAGTTTACTGGACAGGTATATATAAGTACCTTAAACTTTTTACAGTTCACAGATTTTGAAGATGGTGCAAAATTAAAATGTGAAAATACTGTGGATTCATTATCATTCATGGAATATCAACTTTGGTAAAGTTGAACCATCAATTTAAATGCTCAACATAGTACAAATTTTCTATAGGATTGTATGCATGCAGACTTTGGAAAAACCATTAAATCAAATATCCAGGAAAACACAACTTTTCATCAATCCACAAAAATTGGTACCCACCAAAATAAATTACTCCACAGAAGCTAAATATGTAACTTCTTATATGTGTAACATTAATTTTACTATCTCATACAAGTGCAGATTAATCTGACATTTGTGGGTAAAATGAGAATTTTTAATCTGTTCCAAGGTAGTAATACCTAACAACAGAAACTTGGGTTCTGCATTTATAAATGAAAGTCTTTTCTGGGGTTTATGGAAAACAGTAACTGCTTTGAGAATTCATGAATTTTATGAATATTTCTCTTATTCATCTTAAGTCTGTGGTTTTCATTGAGCAACAATTTATGACAATTATTAACACACTTGTAATATTTCATGAAAAACATAATTTTTTTTTAACAGTTGACAATTTTTCAAAAAAAGGTCATTTTCAAGGACATGTTTTAGAAATTATACCAAAATTGCTCTTGAACAGCAATAAATCTCTTACCTAACAAAGACAGGTCTCTTTTCTCCATCTGAAGAACTGCAATGTCCTGTTTGAAATACTAGAAAAAATAAAGGTAAAAGTTCAATGAAAAGCTTTAATATTTTAAAAGCCTTTCTTGGTTGATACAAAAAGGTTAAAAGGTGCCTATTTGGTGGCAAAGAAGTTAAACTACTGTACCACTAGCCTGTCAACACTGAGGTTGTGAGTTTGAAACCTGCAAATGGCAGGCCCATTTGACTCAAATCTTTATTGACCAGGATTGTCAGTTTTGCTGCTAAGGTTAGTAGTTCTCTCTGTACACTCTGGCTTCCTGCATCCCTTAAAACTGACCACCATTATATAGCTAATAGTGCTGGAAGTGGCATTTAAAACCAATAATCAATTAAATAGGTTAAGATAAAAGATAATGCATTTTGTGTAAAAAAATATATCTTTCCCTGAAAAAGACATTTCTGTATAATTAGTTTGGGCATTGCTAAAGATCATATCTCCCTGCACTATTTTTGACATTGCTGTATGAAATCTTCAATGAAGTACAACAACTGTTATTACTGTGGATTAATGATCATTCCTGGAATACAAATTTTGGTGTATTTCGTGGGTATCAATATACCACAGATTTAAATTTTCAACGAAATACATATTTTCTATAGGCTCATATGCAGACTTTGGCAAAATCACAAAATCAAATATACACAAAAATACAATTTTCCCTCAATCCACAAAAATTGGTATCCACGAAAATAAATGAATACATGCAAGTGAAGGACAGCATGGTTTCTTATCAGCAGGTTTTGAACTTTGAGCTTGTTTTTTGTAGCTGTGAGCATTTTTACGCAGTTAAAATTGTGATCCATTTTGTGTGTTTTTTTAAATTTTTTTATAATTCCATTTAATACTTTTTAAGTGCTTTTCTGGTACTACTTTTTATCATATGTTCTCTTGTGACGTTTTGTTAATGTACTGATAAGAGATTAAATACCAGGATGGTTGAGATTTAAAAAATCTCGTACAACCTCCCAATGTTTAATGACCCAGTCCTAAGTCAGGAACCTCATCAGTAGTTGTTATTAATGACATACCATAATGCTTCTTTCATAATTTTAAGAGTACCGTGTTGATGGCAGATATTTGATTGTTTCTGTTAAATTTTCTATATAGTTAGGTTGCTGACTCTTATGGGTTGCTATCTTATTTTTCTAATTGATCAATGTTGAAATGCATTTGCATACAGTATAAAAAAGTCTGATTCATATTTTCAACTTTTTAAATATGAATATTTAAAAGTGTCGGCTAAATTTTAATAAGACAGCAATCAACAGCACAGTAAAAAACCCAAATAAGATAGTAAAACAAAAATGTCAATTACATATATTTATATCAAGCACAAAATTTCCCTGATTTCTAGCCAAACTGCAAATAAAGTGCACAGACTAATAAATTTCTGCTATATTTATCAATAATCAAAACAGATCTGTTTTGAATACGTCATTGAATAATGCAATTTGCTTACACATCATGTACAGTTGGACAACAAACCTCGAGTTTTAAAATGTTACCATTGGATTCCAAAAGTTGTGTCTTTTGCAAAATTGTATTTTAAAAAAAAGTATGGTACAATTTCATCGCCACGGCAAATCAAAGTTGTTAAACAAACCTGGTATATGTGTCTCAGCCTCTGGAGTCCTTCTTTGGCACCCCAGGAACATAATTCGTGTAATCCTCTTAAATGCAAATCAAATTTCCTTCCTTTTGTGATTTCTACCAATTTAGGCTACAAAAAATACATTTTCTTAAAATAGAACTGTATGAAAGATACAGGAAAGATATTCATTCTTTTTAATTTTAATCCATAAATGAAAATATTAAAAAAAATATGGTTGACTTTAGTTAAAGTCCACTAATATATGTCCTACGATTTAAGGATTTACCTTGCAATAGGTATACATGTGATGGTATATATATACAATATTAGGTCAATGTCAGAAAATTTCAACCTTTTTTGTATGAGGCTTATATTTAACTAGACAGGGGAGAGGTTTACCAAGTCCTTCAACTGTTTGCAATTGGTGTCGACTATATTTTCTGACATTGACCTAAAATTGTTTTTATACTGATGCTAAAAATTGCTACAATTATAGTTATGAAAATGTTAACCCAAAAATAAGGCATACTTTCCATCTCTAAACGAACTCTAAAATTGTGAAGAAAGTGATGTGACACGAAATCGACATTGCACAAAATATCACTGTGTTACTATATTTGGTAGATAGACAGGAAGTGTTCTAGCTGCAGCAAAATTAATTTACCTTGTAATGATTGGTTTCAAAAAACAATAAGTTATCTGTGTCTGCTGTACTACCAAGGGAGAGAACTGAAAAATAATAATGCAAGTGAAACAAAAGTCATAAAAAGGGGACAATGTGAATAGTTCATTCCTCAGGAAATTTTAATGTGTTCGTTTCAGTAACCTCTCAAATCATCTGTTGGTCTTATCTTTTAGAGTAAAACTAAGATTAAAAAATCAACTTACATCATTTGTCAAATTTTAGAACCTGAATTGAAAAGGTAAGGTATATTATATGATTTTTATGAATGTTTTAATCTTTGAATAAAATGTAGTTTAAATATTGATTTTTGTTTTGGTCACATCCAGTGGCAAATATTTCATAAATATTCTAGATAATCTCCTTATTATAGGTATAATCTTACACTGTATTTGGTTTTCTGGTGTTTCAATACTTTCCCAGTCACAGAGACTTAAGTTATCATGCTTCGGTTTTCCTTTATTAGCTTGAGCTCTTTCTTCTATCTTTGAAAATCTCTGTTCCAATCTTTTGTCGTTCTGCAAAAAATTATTTCATAAATGTTATGAAATTATTTATTGTTTAGGGTCCAGTCTTTTGAAAATTAAATGTTCATCTAATGGGTTTGACAAATTACAATATCTTTCTCTATTTTCCCCAAAAATTGCAATCTTTAATTTCCTAAAACGGCAAATCTCTCAACTTGGTAATTGTTCAGAAATGGTAATTAATTATATATATATATTTCATTACATTAATAACAAGAATGTGTCAATAGTACACGGATGCCCCACTCGCACTATCATTTTCTATGTTCAGTGGACCGTGAAATTGGGGTAAAAACTCTAATTTGGCATTAAAATTAGAAAGATTATATCATAGGGAACATGTGTACTAAGTTTCAATTTGATTGAACTTCAACTTCATCAAAAACTACCTTGACCAAAAACTTTAACCTGAAGCGGGATAGACGGACGAAAGCACAGACCGAAAAACATAATGCCCTAGGTGGGGCATAAACATGATAAAAATTCTATTCAAATTCTATTTGAGTTTTTGAGTGTATCTAGTTTTGCATGTGAAATTTTTTTAAGTTACATTTTGATTTCCTTATTTTTTTTCTTTTTTCAGGTCTAGAACATATAGAGTTTTTATAGACCATATGTATTATTTATCCAATATTACAGATAAATTCAAATTACCTTCTTTATATATCAATACCCACTTGTAAACAACTTTCAAAAAATTGAATAGAGAAAATACAAAAGCATCCAGATTAGAGTATATACTAAACCCCTAATAGTACACATACCAATGTAGGGTTAAGTTGACTAAGGACGCCCTGTACTTCTGAGATCTGTGATTCAAGTATTTTAAGAGACTGTAGTAGTTTGTTATCCTGGTCGGTCTGTCCTGGTTGAATTGTAGTTCTGTATCTGTTTACCATCTGGTCTGTAATACATTTCATTATAGGACTTAAAACATTTTTTCTCGAGGTGTACAGTGTACTTGGCAGCTGACCTACAAACTATGCGTTATTCAATTTGTGAGTTAATCCTTATAATTCTCAACTCAAATATGTTATTTTCTCTTTCAATTTCAACTGTGGATTATTTATATTGTTTACTTATACAAGTTTCAAAAGTAGTTTTGGCAACATGGTCTATCAAAATGTAAACAAAGGAAACAAATTCTAGTGGACCAACCACATTCAAGTATTTTGTAGATAAGCAAATTATATAACTGTTTCGGTTCTTATACATCATTGGCTTCCAATATTCCGCTTTGAGCGTTTCTGATGAAGGTAAATCCAGAAAAGTGCTTTGGACGCATGAAATTATTAACGTGTTGTTTTCATTTTTTATATAGGAGTTATGACAGAATAAATACATTGTGTAAGTCAACCAGCAAATGATTATTGTAAATAAATGAAAAGAATTTATAGTTGCTATACAGCACTATAGCTAGTGGTATTAAACTACCTTTTGTGTATTGTAAATCCATCATAAATTTATCCAGGTCATTCTTGAATACCAATTTGTTACCATACTTAAGATATCTGGCAATCTAAAAGAAAGCAAATATTAAAAAGTTCCTCAAAGAAAATATTATTACATCTGCTTAAACCAGTATCTGCGGCGGTCTTGAACTTGCAGTGAGGTATGAACTTTTGCTCTGTACTGTAGGCCAACTTAATTTCCCCGATTGTTTTTTTTTTATTCCTTTGGCCATTTTTATTCTACTGTTTATTGTCTTGCTTTTTTACTTTGCTGATGTTTTCATAACAGGCAAAATCCAAGTTTGACATATTGCTGAACAGTACTTTAGTAAATAAATTAAACTGCCTTCAAAACTTATCTTGATTGTTTACGGTATCATTTTACTTTGACTTGGGAGAACTTAAAGACAGCAGACGGCAAACAGTACTATATGTATATGACAGAACAGTTATTTAGACAAATCTTTCTTTAATTTGCATACATAAATACCTTTTTAAAATTGCAGCTGATCTCTTCATAAAAGTTCAATAACTTTCTAAAAGACAAAAGAAGTTTAATTTGCATAATGTTAAATGGCTCTAGTTGTAAAATGACAACACTTATAGAAAATGTCAGGTCATAAGGCGTACAAACTTTTTCGGTCCAATTTTAGTATTGAGATTGATTGATTGTTGGTGTTTTAATGCCACTTTTGGGCTATTTCGTGGCGGCCAGTTTTTATTGGTGGAGGAAGCCGGAGAGCCAGGGAAAACCACCGACCTTCAATAGAAAAACTGACAATCCTCGTCAATTTAGATTGGAGTCGAGTGCACCCGCACGAGCGGGGTTCGAACAAACAACCTCAGTGTTGACTGGCTAGCGATCACAGTAGTAGAACTACTTAGACCACTTGGCCACCGAGGCCCCTTTTTAGTATTGAGATTTCTTTTATATACGATAACATATACATGTACCACTGAGTTTCCTAAAAATTACTTTTTTATTTGTTAAGTATATGAATATTTATCATTAATTAAATATCTTTCTAAAGCAATGCCCTTTTATTGTTTTATTCACACTAGTTTACTTCTTCTTATTAATGAGTGTCATAAACCCCAGCTATACATGTAATTAGAAATCAATATTATAGCTTATGTGCTCCTATACACAGGAGGATTATAAATAGAAAGAAATTTGTGTGTTTCCTTTCAGTGTAATATCTAGAGCATATGGATTTGATTTAAAGCTTTTACATTTAAGTGATAACAAAATTATTCTCTCCACCAGAAATGTGTTAAAAGGTTCAAGTTGTTTTAAAATGATTTCTACAGGATATTTGATATTTGCAAAAGTAAACTCTTTTAATCAGGACATAGAATTGTATGTCAAGCTTGACTGGCTTCAACTTTCTGTGGTACAATTAACAAACAATCCTCAAATTGTTACTTTTCAATCAAGTACAGTGTTTTGATAGCTGCCATTTGCACGGTAAATAAGCAATTGTTTACCTTTTCAAAGGAAAAACGCCGAGAAAATCGAAAGTATATTTGACTTCTAAATACTGGAAACAATACTGGTCAGAAATACGGGTGAAAACGGGTCATTTTCTGATATCCGGGGTTGTTGTAGCCACCCGGCGGGTATTTTAAAAAACCCGGGTAAGGGGTCAATTCTCGGGTGTGACTCAGAGGATACGGGTCAGTTGACAGGTATGCCTCTTTTGAAGTTTACTACATTTTTTTTTCACAACTTCACAGTACTTCTTCTGTCTTCCATTCTTATGATTATTCTACTTTTTTGTCTTTTTTTCATGTTGCTCATATTTCTCATGTCTTATAATTAAAAAATAAATCATGCAAGCCATAGATTTATTGGAAAATTTCTAATTTCCTGGCCTTTATATCCGAATTATATCCCAAGAGTGAGCATAACAAAACATGTGGATTTACATTGAAGGTAAATTGTAACAGCCATTAGTATGTTCATCTCTGAGTCTGCTCTAAGTATAGATATATTAAGAATTTTATCACACTGATGTTTACAAAGCAAAACAAGTACGTCATATTAGAATTTCTCTAATTCTATGGTAATTTATCCCTTTCCGAACCCATTCTATAAAAAAATTTAATCAACGTGTGGTTGCTGGTGATCTCAGAAGATGATTGGATGAATTTAAGGGTCATAACCTTAATCAGCTAACTGAATGAATCAAAATATGCTAACAGGTGTTAATGAAATTGACAACTTTGTGGAATAAGGAAGGCACTCGAAGGGGATTTTCATTTAACAAAAAATGAAAATTTATTTTTTAATCATTAGAGAAACAGATTCTTACACAGTTACTCGTGGATTATCGGATTTTAAAATTGATAATTTAACTATCTCGATTGGATAAATCCGATAATCCACTGGTATCAATGTAAGAATCTATATGTACCTTTGATCTGGAGTGACATAACTGATAGCAAATGGTCTTGAATAACCTCTAGCTTGTTTATCCAACAGGAAAAAATGATGAACCTGTGAAAAAAGTTAAGATGAAGAAAACATGGTTTCATTTCACATATATACTGTGGTTATCATTCTTTCTCATGTGTGTCTTAAAAACATTAAAAACATTGCAACAGTTCATGCAAGGGGATTAGTATTTCTGCATGGGCATGCAAAGGTATATTGTAACAGCCCTCTGATAAGGCATTTGTAACCTGAAACATTTATTGGGGGAAAAACTACTGGGGATTTATTCATTTTCGTGTCTACCAATTTCGTGGATTGAGGAAAAATTGTATTTTTCATGGATATTTGCTTTTGTGGTTTTGCAAAAGTCTGTATACAAGACTATTGAAAGTTTGTACTTCTTTGAGCATTTAAATTTGTGGTTCAACTGTACAATGTACTAAAAATATTGGTATCCCACAAATAATAATTAATCCACAGTATGTATCTTAGGAACCAGAGCAACAACCAAAAATTAATTTTTGATGGTGACATGTTGCAAGACTATATTCATATAATATTCAGCATTTCTATCTGAAACCTAGATACCTTGCCAGATAGACTCATTTACTGCATTTTTCAAGAGTGTATTTGTACAAGATTTTTTTTTTCTGTTGCTAATGTGTCTCTTGTTTATTCTGATTCTAACTTACTTCTTGTTTATTTTGACTCTAACATGTTTAATGTCGTTCTTATTTATCTAATGCCGTTCTTATCTATTCTGATTTTAATGTCGCTTTCATTTAACTAATTATGTCTTTCTTGTTTAACCTGATTCAAATGTCTCTCTTAGTTATTTGTATTTCTCTTGTTTAACTTATGTTAATTTAGATTCTACTGTATCTTATGTTTGTTCTAATTCTGATATTGCTCTTGTCTATTCTGATCATTCTAATATCACATTTGTTTAACTAATGTCTCTATTGTTTATCTGAAATATCTCTTATTTGTTCTGATTCTAATGTGTGTCTTGTTTATTCTGATTCTAATGTGTGTCTTGTTTATTCTGATTCTAATGTGTGTCTTATTTATTCTGATTCTAATGTGTGTCTTGCCTATGCTGATTCTAATGTGTGTCTTGTTTGTTCTGATTCTTATGTGTGTCTTGTTTATTCTGATTCTAATGTGTGTCTTATTTATTCTGATTCTAATGTTTGTCTTGTTGATGCTGAATCTAATGTGTGTCTTGTTCACTCTAATTTAATGTATATCTTGTTTATCTAAATTCTAATAGCTATTTTGCCTATCTACAGTCTAATGTCACACTATGTTACCATGGTTACCACATTTTTAATTTTTTCTAAGGTTTGTCATATCTCTCCTTTTTTTGTACAACAGTAAATTGTGTGCATGTGTGAAAAATATTGTGCTATTCATAGAACAATTTTATTAACATACTAAAAACAGCATATCATATCATTGCTGATTACTAAGTATCCAATTGGTCACTACTGATAACCAAGATTAACTATAATTGAAAAATAATACCAGAATATAAATAAGAAGATGTGGTATGAATGCCAATGAGACAACTCTCCATCCAAGTCACAATATATAAGAAGTATATAAAAAGTTAACAATTATAGGTCAAAGTACGGCCTTCAACACTGAGCCTTGGCTCACAACAAACAAAAAACTATAAAGGGCCCCAAAATGACTAGTGTAAAACAATTCAAACAGGAAAACCAACGGTCTAATCTACATAAAAAAACAAGAAACGAGATTCACTTCTGAAGCACACCAACAAACCACAACCACTGTACAAGAGGCTCCTGACTAGATATAACATGGTTTATTATGGATTAAATGATAATCTAGGATCCTATAAAGGGCACCATAAAAGCATGTACTTACAAATGCATACACATTCTCTTTTGTGTCTGACATCATGACCTGTGAATCTTCTGGCATGTTGAAACCTCTAAAATTGTGAAAATATGAGATGATTATTAATATGTATATAAGTATATTCTTATTTGTTTGACCCAAAGCATTTACCACAAGACTACTGAGGAATTTCAAATAAGATTACAAACTTGAAGTTGTCAGTTGTACTACATTGAAAACACTATTTCATAATTAAATTGGTAAAATCCAAAAGGCACTACAGATAAATATATGAAGGAAATAAGAATATTTCTTACTGTTGTGATATGAATTATTTTTCCCTGGACTTAAATTTCACAATTACAATGTACCAAGGTCAAATTTAAAAAAAAGTTGTTTTTTTTAATTTTGCTTCATATTTTCTGAGAGAAAACATTTTGTGATTAAAAAGTTCTGTTATAGGTTTAAAACAAGAATTTGTATCCATAGGACATCATGCCCCACTCACACTTTTTTCTATGTTCAGCGAACCATGAAATCTAGGCCAAAACCTTGATTTAACATATAATTTTGAAACTTCACATCATTATCATAATAATGAACAAATGTACTAAATTATAGGTTGATGTTACTACTTAGACCACAAGGCCACTGAGGCCCCCTACAAATCAAGGTAAAAACAAAAAATGATGGAATCGCATTAACGCCAAAAGGAGCAAAACCAGAGAGTTGACAGAGTAATTGTCTCCTCCTATGCTTTAACAAAACCTTTTACCTGATACAAGATGGATGAATGGATAGAGGCATAGGCCGGAAAACACAATGACCAACCATTGGAGGTAGCGCATTAAAATTGAAAGTTACAACATAATACATACTGTTGTCCAGATGACCCAAGATCTACTGACATAATCCTCACTGTAAAATCATTAATGTTGAAATGTATGTCTCTGTCATTTGGAATGGTTATCTGAAATATAATTGTTGAAAATATTGTATGGTAATGAACTTGACTAACAGCATTCTTAGATATAGGGCTGTTCCATTAAAGCATAACTGTTACCCATGGAAGACATCTTGAAAACACAGTTACTTCCTAAAGAAGTTATTTGGAGACCTGCATACAAACTTATATATATGTGAATTATAGTCAATTCAAGTTACCTCCCATAGATCCCATGTAATTTTTTACCCTTGAACTGTCCTCAATGAAAGGCTTGATTTATTTATTGCTACAAAATAAACAAATAACACAATTATTCCCTTTGCATCAAGACTAGTTTACAAACTGTATGAAATTAAAAGGGAGATAACTCTATTAAAAAACCTAGTTGAGACAAATCAAAAATGTAAGTTTGATAAGCAGTAGAGTTATCTCCCATTATTTATTAAAACCTCTGTTTTGTCATAAGGAAAATAATGAAAGGTAAATATTCTAAATAGCCTGGGACCCTGGCCCAATCTCTGTTTCATGTAAATAAGGCTAGGTGTGGGGGAATAATTGTAACAATTTTTCAGCGCTATTGAGAAAATGATTTATATTTTTTGGTTTTTAAAATTTTTGTTTTTCTTCTGCTTATAGTTTCTGATTGCCCTTTTGAATCTTCTGTCTTTTTTCCCCCTATGTATTGGCAAACTCCTAAAAATAAATACATGCTGTATCAATTCAAAAACCTGTACTTTCATTGACTCTTAAAGTTCTATTTTTGCAAGAGTTAAAAATTTGTCTACGAATACTTCAAAGGCCAAACCTTTTCACTAGGATTTATTTTCGTGATTGTCTTTATCTCCGTGATTGTCTTTATCTCCGTGATTGTCTTTATTTTCGTGTTTGTTTTGTTTTTATTTTCATGTTTGTCTTGTCTTTATTTCTGATCTGCCATAAAGATCAAATTTATGTACAGAGTATTTGACAAGTTTATCTTAATTGTGAAATTAGCATTGATAATCAGCTTGATAAAAATCTCCTGTTTTACAGAATATCTATGAGGGTCAGGATGAGATTTACAGAATACAGAATAACGGGCAAAAAGTGCAAAATAAAGGGCAAACAAAATAAAGAATAGAGAAATATTGTCAGTCAGGGGACTTATTGAAATAAGTGATTTTTAATTCACTTATTTAAGTAGCAAATTCGAAGTTTTGTCACAAATCGTGATTTTGTAGTTTTACCAAAATTTTAAACACATAGGTTTAGATAATATCTTTTCATTAGTAAAATTGAAAAAAGAGAACTTTTTGCTTCTTTTAAGCAGCAAGGTTTATACCTTTGATGCAATCATTTAGCTGCAAATTCTATTTTAGTTAAAAAAAATGCTATAAAAATGGCTTTACATAATGAACTGATACTTTCTTAACAGATTTTTTCCAGCAGTGGGAGTATTTTTCCTGTAAAATTCAAGGTTTCATGTTATAGATTATCAAAATTTCACTGTTGGGGGGTGTTGAAATTAGTGGGGGTTATTAAAATAATGATACTTAAAGAAGCGATTTTTTGGAAGGAAATTGAGGTATGATTTAAACAAGTGATGTTTATGTCATTATCCTAGATTTAGTGCAAGGTTATCACCTAACATGACCCGGTCATCCTATCAACACAGATGTTGGTTCTGATAATTTTAGCAACATAATTAGTCCCTGGATCATTAGTATTCTATATTTAAAGCTACAATAAAATTAAATCACTTAGTGTAGTGATTAATTTGTACTACTTAAATAGGTGATTATTAAAGAAAGACAACTCTTACTTCCAACCTTTATGGACATAATGTTACTTGAATTAGTGATTTAGAAAATCACTCATTTAAGTAAGTCCCCTGACTGATTGTCAAAAAAGTAAAATATAGGGGATAAGGGGGGTGCTTAACTATAAAAGATAATGGACATAATGAATAAAGAATAAAGAATAGAGAAAATTGGTCTAAAAAATAAAAAAATCAAGAAAGTAGGACCCCCTTCCAGACCCTAATAAATGCTTTCAAATAATTTTGTTTACCACTGGTTTTGGTCCCTCTAATTCTGAGAATTCAGCAATGACAATGATGTCAGTGTCTAACTGTGTTATATCAGGCTGCCTATGCCATGGATTAGGTAATCTGAATGCAGGGTACAGATATTCAGGTAAGAAGGAGTCTGTGAAAGACTCATCTTCCATACAACCTTCCATGTAAGCAATGTCTGCCCCAAACATGGCTGATGGTGATCTGAAAATAGAGTTTATTCATTAAACAGTATCATATGTCAAACAGACCTTATATAAATATGTTTCCATTGTACAGGAAAAAGAAAGTGATTCAGTTTATCCTGCTATTTGTACAGTGAATTTGTGATTTAAGGGAGATAAGTCTCTTATTACATGTATATGAACTCATCTTCTCACTTTTCTTATTGAATGAAGACCTAATAGTTATATTCTGTGGTAAATGTTAATGTCTACCTCATGCTATACATGCTATATGTTGCTTCATTATTATATATCTTCATATGGCATCATCAAAGGTTGCTATTCAATATTATTGATTGATTGATTGTTGGTTGCTTAAAAGTTAACGTCCAGTGGCAAAAATTTCATGCATGTTCAGGAAGATCAATATTTTTTATTAAGTAATAACATACAATGGAGTAAATATTTGTCCATAGGCTGGAAGGAAATACAAATCAGGATCTTGTGACAGTTACATTTATCTAGACTAATATGCCATTTTTTTATATATGTATTTTTGTGAGCATGGGTTTAATTTTATATATTAAGTTTTAATGGCTGAATTACATGTACATTTGTACATGTGAGGGATTACATCAAGGTGTAATGTACAGAATGGCGGTCATATTTTAACACCTGATGATATTTTGCAAGTCACTGTGCAGATTTTCATATAGTCTTACTGTGTAGGAAATAAGAATATGCTTTATCCAAAATCAGCTTAAAGGGAGGTCCCAATCATTTTACTGCTGATCAGAAGATTGAGCTATGGGATGATCATATTTCTATACCCCAGTCAATCCTAGGAGTTACTAATTTCTTATACTATGTAGATAACGGGTAAACCTCATTAATTTTTACTACAATGAGAGTTGTTAGAAATATGGTCAACTTAGTTTGGTCTTCAGATCGGCAGTAAAATGATTGACAAAGCTATCCATTTGTAATGTTTATGTACAAGATGTACACCATAAAAACTTTATTCAAGAAGGCATTAAATAAAAGTCAAATGTGCCCTTTCAGACAACTGGCACCCTTCTGCCCTGAGATTCAAGCTGGAACACTGTAACCTCATTAATTTTTACTACAATGAATAATGAGAGTTGTTAGAAATATGGTCAACTTAGTTTGCTCTTCAGATCGGCAGTAAAATGATTGACAAAGCAGGGCATCCCTTTTAGCCATATGCATGTAGCTATTCATGTATTTAGTTCTTATTTATCCTTGGCTTTCAATGTTTGGATTTGAGTATTCATGATAAATACAAGGATTGCTCCTCATATCTCCACTTTGTTTTCCCACAAAGCAATAGGTGTCAGAAATTTGATAAAAGAATCCAAAAAAGACACTTAGATTTTGTATCCGATTTTTAAGACTACATCAGTACATGCATCTCTTTATCATGTTTACATACAAGTTTAATTACAAAATTAAGCATTGGAGCCGGAAATTTCATTAAAACAGACAAAAAAGTTAATGTAATTTCACTGACTTCAAAAAGTCTTAATCTGATTTTAGAGTATTTTTACATATATAATTTTGAAGACATAATGATAAACATTTCCGACTCCTGTGGTAAAAGTGCATAACCATGTACCACTGTTATAGGGTGTAGCAAAGCATGATTTCTTGTGATAGATAGTATCGTCTGCAGGATAAATCTGAAGCGGTGGACTAGCGAAATAATGCTTCTTTACAACATTTCAATATTTATATTTTCCACAAGAAGTCCAAAATATAAACCGGATGTGTGACATTGAAGGGTAAAATTACAACGTAAACGGACATTGTAAATGCGGGTTTTAATGCAAGTTTTAAATAGTTGTTTTAAAATCCCCAGTTCTCATCTGTATATAAAACTATTAAATTTTAGCTACCCATCACACTGTATTTGTAAATATTTGTTAAGTGTTAAACCTATATAGTGGGAGTGTTCCGATATATAACGGAGGAAAATACCTGTACAGAACAGATCAGAACAGCAAACCTGTATAGCTCACTTGGTAAAAAAATGAGCCATTTTAATTATTATGCGTATTCAATTGTTTCCTTTTTTGAATTCAATTGTGTGTGCCTTTTTGAACATCTTATCTTTGCCAGGCCTTCAATTGGTGCACGTACGTGGTAACTTTTATACTGGCAATTAAAAGAAAAAAACCGCATCAGTATACATGTACGTAAAGTTATAATTTCATCTGTTTTGTAGTGAAGTTGGTACAACTGGGAAGATGACCATGCTTTTATGTCTCTATCTTCCCGATGAAGTAAGGATTTGTATAGTTTTATACATATCCTTAATGGAGTCCATGCCAAACTCCAGAAAAGGGCTTTGGACCGGCACGGAATTTCTAAAGTGTTGTTTTCATTAGGATCAATTTATGAAAATTTATGTTAAAAAACACCTTGAGCTAATAATATCATGAATATAAAATATGTAATAGCCCACGATTCAAATTTCATTTCGTAGCTCACCTGGCCTAGAAGCCTCATCACTTGACATCCATCCGTCCGTCCGTTCGTCGTCGTAAAGTTATAAAAAAAAATATTCTCCTCTGAAACAACTACTGGCAAAAAAGGATAACAATAATTTTTTACCTGAATGTTCCTCATGGTATCTAGTTTAAAAATTGTATTTGGGGAATTGATCCATCAGCAAACATGGCCGATTTTGCTAAAATAAGAACATCGGAATAAAACGAGTTCATGGCTGAACAACCCATTTTGGAGTTATTGCCCCTGAAATGTGTTTTTGTTTTTTGCAAATTTCACTGTTGTTTGGTATTATCTTGAAAACAGATAGAGAAAAATAACCAAAACAATAAGATCTACAGATAAGTCAGCTTGGCTGAAAACGTCAAATGACCCCTTGTACTTAATTGCCTTTAAATATTGATTTTAAGCCCCTTTGCAATAATTTTTAGGAAACTATAGTTGATAAAGATAATCTTCCGATAGTCAAAATGTTGAACAAAATATGATGTACAAATTATGCACTGAGATGGATGAAATCGCCAATTGACCCACTATATGAGTTATTGCACTTGAAAGACTTATTTGAAGTTTATGCTTATTTTGCAGAAACTATAAAAGATAAAGAGAAATTGTAAATATCAAAAGTGTTTTGTAAGATAAGATCTACAAATAAATTTACATGGGCTAAATTGTCGACTGACCACTTATAATTGCCTAAAAAGATCGTGTTTGTCAATTTTCTTATCATTTTTGCAGAAACCATTATAGATAGATAGAATTTAAACCGAATTGAATAACTAAAATCAACGAAAACCATTGTTATGTTCAAGTGAAATAAGGAAACACACATTACCTTTAATTGCGTTTCTTCTTACGATCAATCTAGAGTTTTTAACAAGAATTAATTCAAACTTGCATGGTGTTAATAATGTCAGGGATATAATAAAAATGTGTTAACAAGAAATACAATACAGTATAGGCGTGCCGAACTCGGAAATCCACCATTTCTAGCAAAATTTAATTACCGCGCATTTTGTTACAAAAAGAGGACACATCGGGGTTAAAATAACCTTGGTAACGTCAAGCCAAAGGACAGACGAAAAAGAAAACACGAAGTTCATAATAAAACACTGTACGAAAATAAGATATTGCGCAACAATATCCCAACCAAATACCCTACCTGTAATTGGGAAAATGCTTACAAGTGGTATGCGTATGAACTATCTGGTTTGGTATTAATTTCATCTAACTCTGAAACAGATATGATTGCTAATCTGAACACATGTCAGTGTATACAGTTAGACAAAACAGCCATGGCTCTTATCAAAACTGTTCTTTATAGAACCATATGTTCTGTTTCTTACCAGTAAATTATAAAATGTACACTTTTGGTCTACTTATTACCTTAGATTCACCGAAATCGATGATCAGCATCGCATTAAATTTACAAGAGGTTCCTAAGAGCCTGATTCGCTCACCTGGTAATAATATGCGATTTTTATATTAATTTTTACATTTATTGCAATCAGTTAGGTTTGATTATTTGTAAATCTTATTTATATATTTTTTCTAGAATTTGTATTGATGACAATTTTTCAGTTTATAGTTTCTACCTATATCTATCAAACTTTTCATAATTGGCAAAATAAAAAAAATTTGGTAAAGAGCAAAACACCTTAAAAGGAATCTAACGATTTTGGTCTCGTTGACATGCTAATCATTTTCGCTTTTTAACGGTTCCTCTCTATCTACAGTTTATTACATAATTAAATGCGAAAATGGTATACAGAATCCCCATTCAAGAGCAATAACTCCTGTGAAGAGTCAGTTGTCAATTTCGGCAAAGTTGACTTGTTTCTAGAAATCATTATATATTTGTGCTGACCATTTATGCTATGTACAATTTCCCTCTACCTATTATAGTTTCTGACAAAAAATATCTTGCACAGGCAACATTTCTTCTAGCGTCAATTGACGATTTCGGTAATGTTAACCTATTTGTTGATCTTATTTTGTTTAACATCCCGTACGAAGCTTTGAGGCGTATAACGCCTGGAAATCAGGCGTAAACCAGTCGTAAGTGGCAGTTACGTGTCTATATCATGGCGTACAAGAGCAGGAAACGTAAATTCATGGCAGCAAGGGCGTAGAAAACAGTTAAACTTGGCGTAAATTATAATAAGCTAGGCGTAAATTTTGTTACCAGCGTAAAACAGCTTGAAGGCGTAAAATATTGACTCCCAGAATGCTTTGTTTCAAAGGATTATGGGATTTTTTTTTCAAAATTTGGCTCTCTGGTATTAGCTTGTAAGAGTTGGACTAATGGCGACTTAATATAATAATGTGCTGTTTATCTTTTGTGTTCTTTGGAACAATTTGAAATTGGACGAACACGATTATATCGATGGTCAGTTAATTTAAACATAGGAATGTATGAAATATAACATGGAAATACTTTTGTAAGTTAACTTAGATTATTCGATCTGTACTTGGAATTATGTTTTAACAGTTAAGCCTAGAATTCCTCAGCATGTTCACTTAAAGTATAGTAATTAAATCATCAAGTATTTAAGTGAAATTAGAGTATGAAGTCAGTGATTTTTCAGTTCAAATTACAATTAATGACATGACAATGAATGAATTGATTCAAATTATTAATCAATTCTCATTTAAACTTTAAACTTGTTTAAGCCACTAGCTGTGTCTGGCTCAAATGTGTTTTTTTGTATTTTTTCAATGATTTTATTTCAAGATTAACGTCAATGAGAAATTGTAAGCAATATTCTTAACTTTTGCATCAAATACACATGCCAACGTAAATTATGTACACAGGGTCATGCACTTTTTTACAGTAACAATTAGGTGCAGTATTATTTAAAGACATTACGCCTGGATTTCTTTTGACCAGACGTACTCATTTGCATATTACGCCTGGTTTTCGCCCCCAGTTACGCCTGGTTGACGCTTGGACGTGCATTCTCTAAGCAATGACGGAATAGGTATGAAGATTACGCCTGGTTTCCGTGTTATTTACAGGCGTCACATTTCGTACATGCCGTGTGATATTTGCTATTTACCGTTTTTCTCTATCTATTACATTGTTTTGCAAAAACGCTAATATGGATTAACAGGGAAAACCACTTGGACTATAAGGAGTCAGCTGACAATTTCGGCGATGCTGACTTATATGTAGATCTTTTATAATGGTCAATTGAAGATTTCGGTCATGTTGACTTATTTGTAGATCTTATTGTTTTTGATTGAAGTTTCTTTCTATCTTTAATAGATTTAGTTCCCCTATACCACGATGGAACATTTCATGGTTGATAGAATTTGACCGGCAGATCATTTTAACCCAATATTTATCTAATCCTCGGTTACAACTTTCAAATATTCAGGAATATTCAGTTTATGTTTGGTAACATTTGCTCAAGTAGTTTCAGAAGAGATTTTTTTAAGAGTTTACGTCGACAAAGACACACGCCACGTAATGACAATTGCTCACATGTGAGCCAAAACCGAGACATCAGCATACCTTGAGTGCATTATATGTCATAAATGTTTTACCATTTTGATAGAATACCAATGCCATAACACGACTGGTCATTAACATGTTGTTGTGTGGAACTAAGTGACACCATATCAAACGTATTTCCTTAATTTTAGAAATAGAATGACACAATAAATTTTGAGAGGTTAAGTAATGTGGTCTTCAACTTCGTACTTCATTTTGGCCTTTTTAATTTTTTTTTTTTGTTCGAGCGTCACTGATGAGTCTTTTGTAGACGAAACGGGCGTCGAGTGTACAACATTTTAATGATGAGTTTATTTCCAACTGTTTTTATTTGATAGCCACTGATGAGTCTTATGTAGACGAAACGCGTGTCTGGTGTACTATATTAAGGATGTACTTAGGTGAAATAAAAAAAAAATATAGAATTTAAAATTGATACTTTAAGTAAGGAACTAAATAAGCTAAAAATATTGACAGGTTATGGAGCTCCTTTTCGAGATATTTAATATATAAAAAATGGCGGTAAAAGGCTGACTCGGACTTTTGTCTTATATATTTGCATTGGTATTTTTTTGGGTCTCAAATCGAAAGAAAAGAAATCTAGAATCTGCTTAAATTTTGGTTAATGACCTTTTATGAGCTATTGAAGTCTTATATGAAAAGAAAAATGGGTGTTATGGGGCAAAATATTTTACCATGTATCGTAGGAAAAAAACCAAGGAGTCCGAACATCTGACAAGTACATCCTTAAAAGCTTAGTATATTTGATGAGACGTCTGTTTATCCAGGCCTGTGCCATATGTTTGATACTCATCAACAGATCTCATTAGCCGTAATGAGTGGGACGCACAGTTTGTAGTTAGAGATTAGGAAAGGTTCCATACTGTAACAAACCTTATCCAGTTTTTTTATCTCTTAATTTACAATTTTTAAAAAATATTCTAGGATCCGAAAAGCTGTATCACGTGTATATTCAAGAATATGTTATATTTTCAACTGAAGCTCTCTAAAATACTATCACAGTTAATACGCCTTTTCATTGATCTATTCAAGTATTGAAAGGGAACTTGGTTCGAAGTTCATTTTTTACCTTCTGGAAACACCACCGACATTTAATACACATTTAATATTTAAAAATATCCGCACAAGTCAAGACATAATTTATATGTAATAGCAGTCTATGCAAATAAAATAATATAGTTCATGAATATTTACAAATATGAAAACGTAAAACAAATCTCCAGTTAAATGCTAAAATAGGATAATTAAAAATATACTAAGTATGTCCAGTTGAATGGTAATATATAAGTTTAAAATTTACCAGTTAAATGTTTAATATCATTCTGTAATTGAAGGCAGTGTTAAATCTTCAAATGTATTTCACTTGAATGCTATATATAATGTAACTGATTAGAGCAAAATATACACAGCTAATACCGATGAAAGTTCTACAAGTATCAGGTTAATCCAAAAATACATATATATAACAGATTAGCGCAAACTATACAGATTGGTACACATGCAACAGTAGTTGCCTTGCTATTATGTCAAGTTATCACTCACACTTACTTATATTAAACAAATTCCGTTTAGTTACACGTGTAGATCTTCAATCTGTAATAGTTATACTAGCTGTCCCGACCAAAGCCCTTCTATTATCAAGTCAATCATTAACAAACTCAATTATCAAAGTACGTTCGAACTACATTATTTCAATAATAGATCAGAGACACAGTTCAATTTTGATATCCTATTGTGAAATCCACTGGATAAGTACATGACACAAACAATCAAAACAAGTAAAAACATTAACTGTACCAATTTTGCAGCACCAGATGCATATTTCGACAATTAATTTCTCTTCAGTGATGCTCGAGGCCAAAATATAAAAGTCTTATTAAATATATCCTTTTTAAACTTCAATGCCAATGTCACCAATTCAAAGGTTTACAATGTCTTGAATCAATGGAAATAAAGAATGATTATATGGCATATATTGAAATTTAGTCATATTCTGAAGTACTGTAGATAAACAATTTGTGTTCAACCAGTGTGTAATCGAATGGTACTTCTTTGGAAATAAATGACAATAATGCATATCTGTTCTTACTTGACCTCAGCTGGAATTTAAATTTGCATTTTCTAAAAAGAATGGCCTCGAGTGGCATTTAATTACTAGATATCGTATAGTTGTTTAAAGAATATTTTATCATTATCATATTTTCTATCCAATACACAAATAAATCACATCTTCAGATATAATAGACCGGAATTTATATAGGAGTTCCCATAATGTGGCTAAAAGGAAACTATAATGTTTAATAACATTATCGGTACCGATTTAACTGCACCATACACGCATTACAACATTTATTTATGTTTCGTCAACTATGCTTGATGCTAAACTATTTGAAAATTTAAAAAAACCTATAGAAACGTTGAAGAACTGGCAGGTTTTATCTTCTTGTTAATGTTTAATATTCAGTGCAGAAGAATTTCATTATAAGTCATTATTGAAGTCACAATATTAATCATCAATGCAATGTGTGTAAGTGAGCAATCAATTACAGGTACAGATATCAACTGAGGCCAACTGTAGAAGTTGATTTGTACTTGGACAGAGAATTTTCTTTAGATTTTGCACGAAATTGGCGACACTGAAAATTTTGCATTCTGTGGGCTTATCAATGACAAAGCCAGGTCTTCATTTTGAAGTGATCTGCTTCAAGGAAATCTCGCCACCCCTATCACCTCAATTTACTATTGAGTGACCTAGAAATATTAATACCTACTCATATAATTATTTATCTATATTAATATGTTAAGTCATTTTTGAGGTAGTCAGGCTACTGTAAATTCAGAAATTATTGCGTGCATTTATTATTGCGATTTTTCAAGAATGGCAAAAATGCGAGTTTATTTTTTGCGATTTCGAAAAAAACTGTATACAGATCTATGTTTCAGTTATGAAAATGCGAGTTCTTATTATTACCAACCCAGTCGCATTTTTCGCATTAATAAAATCCTCGTAATAATTTCTGAATTTACAGTATTCTATTGAGAAATAAAGCAAACTGTACAATTATGTGTTTTCAAAACAGTAAGACACTGACTTGAATCGAAAATAATATTTTCAAAGACTTGAAAGAGTTAAAATGTTGAATATTTTTTTCGTTTAAATTGAAAGTAAAACTTTGTAACTGTGCACAGTGATATATCGAGATTACCCTGGTCTAAAAGAAGATGTTGTAATTGTTCAAGGAAGTAAATTAATCGATTAAAACAATTCTTACTTCAAGTAAAATATAGTTCTATACGATATTAAATATCAAGCATTTCGTCCATAAAAATATAAATGCAGGTTGTTACATATAGACGGAAACTTTTTTAAAAACTTGAACATTACAAATAAGACAATGCATTATTTCTGCACCACATTCTATGCAACAGACAAGATGTCCACATGGCAAGAAAACTAGATTTACTTGACGCTGGCCACATATTTTGCAGATTGTCTTGTCTCTCATTTCTCTATTCTGAAGAGTGAGTGCACCAACATCTACAACAAAACAATGTGTATCTGTATATTTACAATCTTTCATGTTGCAGTTATCAATGTTGGTATAAATAATCCACGTTATAACACATTATGTGTCCCCATATTTATTAGTGTCCGATCTGATATTTGTAAATAATTAACCATTACAACTTATAAACGTTTTGTTCACAAAGTACATATATCTAGGTGATAGTCTTATAGACCAACTAAATACAGGATAGACAATGACAAGGTTAGTAAATCAAATATCATACAAGTATTCTTGAATTATTGGTATTATGTATAAGTATATGATTAAACATTAGACACTGACTCACATACTGTTTACTTTTATCCAATATCAATTACACTTTCTTCTTTTTACACAACTTTGTTTTTCTTCATTTCTTTATTTCAACATAACTATATAAGACGTTTTGACAGGGATAATTCATTGTATCTGATAATCCATGTATATATTTTTTGACGAAGTTCTGCTAAAATAATTATTTAAAATATGAAATTCATAAAAAAAATATAAAACACATTTTTTTTTGTATATGTTTTTCATAATTGAACCATTTAATTTTACACCATCCTAAAATATACCGAAAAATATTAAATGACAAACCATAATATACTTCATTGGTACCTTATATGTTGTATTTTTCTACGATGAAAGTTCTAGAAAATTATTTATGCCTGAATAACAGAACATTTTGGGAACATGTCAGTTAGACATCAACATAACAACACAAAGTCCTCTTAGAGTACAACATTTGGTTATAACAATTTATAAACCGTCTAGCTAAGCAATATGTCAAGGTCCAAATTCTACAGAACTTGTGAATACAGGAAGAAGGTAAGGGAGCTACCATTTGATTTTTATAGGGGTCTAGGATGGAATTTGAAAAAAAAGTCAGAACAGGAGTTTTGAGTAAAAGAATAGGCAGGATGACAATTTAGGTAAAAAAAGTCAGGATAAACTAATAAAAAATAAGGCAGGACCGAATAGAGTGAAAAAATAAAAAGGCAGGATAGAGATTACAACTAAAAAAAATATGCAGGACATAATTTTTCATCCTAGCCCCCCATAAAAATCAAATGGTAACTCCCTAAGTTCTACAGCGTTTTTGGCCATGTAAATTGATCCTTAAAATTAAACGATTAGACTAAAAAAAAGGTAGGTTCCTCTAATACTTGCTTACTTTCCATGAACTAGGGAATATCATTTCATTTCCATCCATATCATTTCATTTCCATCCATATCATATTACCCCACAGAGGTTCAAAGGCCAAGATGCCTGTTGATTGAGTAAATAGCTCATAACACCTTTCATTTAGTATGGATGTTTCGAATTTAAATGTGGGCCAGTGTATTCATACCTAAGTTGTTGACAATGTCTGTATTTCCACTAGCCTGCGAAGACTGTACTTCTAATATTGCTTGAACAAGTGACTCCAAATTTATTTCTGCTGGATTCCCTGTAGAATTGGTAAAACAACTATGTAACAATTTTAAAGAATACACAATAACTTTCAAATTCTGTCTTTTATTTTGAAAAAAGTTGGCAAGAAAATAAGGATATTGTGTTATTAAGATTATAGCTGTAAAAAACTTAAGATTTTTTTTTAATTAAGGCTTATATCTTTTTCATGCAAAGCTCTGATTCCTTGACCGGCTTTGGCTATACTTTTGTTCTTTTTTGTTTATAAGCTCTTCATGAAGTTTTTCAACAAGTCTTGAGTTTACTAACATTTTGGCCTCGAGCATCAATGAAGAGACATTTATTGTCGAAATACATATCTGGTCCAATAAAATTGATCCCGATGATGATGGAAGTTTTTAACGACCTTGACTGGCTTTACAGCCCTCGCACGGTCGAAACTTGATACCGTCAATGTTATTTCTATTTAGTTTATACCAATGGGTCGATACCTCTTCTGGTGGACTGTTAGTCCTCGAGGGTATATCACAAACACACTAGCCAGTACTTTGGTACTGGCATGAAAATACAAACATTGTAAACTCAAATTTATATTAAAAAGTTGAATTTTTTATGTGTCTTAATTGTAAGCAAATATTCTTAACTTAAATGCTATAAAACCTTTTCGTTTGCCATCTCACCTAACGTTTTCATGGCCTCACTGACTGAAAGTTGATCAAATCCCATTAGTACTGCTTCTAGTTGCGCTGATGATACAGGACTAGCTGCATGAGCTAAAGATGATGCTGATGCTACTGTTTGGTCCATTGAAACTGGAAGATATTCAATGTCAATTTGATATTGATACAAACATATGGTATAGAAGTACAAACAAGCGAGCAAAATTAAGCATACTAGTACACTAAATAGATATTCTTAAAGGGGCATTAGCTAAATATGATTTTTTTTGTTCAATCATTAATGAAAGTGAAATAGTGATATAAAAATTTGCATTTAGCAGCATGTTTGGTTCAGTTTTGTCAAAATAAGCAAAGAAACAAGTGAATAATTCGACCTTATTGAATCCGTATTAATGTGAACTTCAATTGAACCTCTTAGCTAAAGATGGGTTACGCATGAGCTAGGCGTGTTCAGCTATTAAAAAGAAAAGAATGTCAACATTGGAAGGGAAACAAGGGAAAACCATTTGGTTGACTGATTCGATCTACAAAAACTCTTTGTTATACAGGTAAAAACGATTATTAACATATTTTTTAAACCTATAATATGAAATCAAACAGACCTAGAAAAATCCATTCATATCGGGTTATATGACTATCGGCAGTCTTCGGAGCTCATCTCGATGGTTAATTAGATGGCGTCTAGACTAAAGTACACATGAAATGCTGATACATATTATCGAGTCCGTGCATCGTAAATTGCATATTTTAGACTTTCGCATCTGGTGCAGAAAAATTGGTACCGTTTATGTTATTACTACCACTGGGTCGATGCCCCTGCTGGTGGACTGATAGTCCCCGAGGGTATCACCAGCCCAGTAGCCAGTACTTCGGTACTGGCATGAAAATACGGATCTAGTGTTATTGAAATTTCCTGTTACAAAATGTTTGAAATTATTTAAAATTAAGGAAAAATGTATCTCCCTCGTGCAAAGCTTTAATTCCCTGCCCGGCTTTGGCTATACTTTTTTGTCCTTATTGGCTAATAGCTCTTCATTTTTTAAATAAGCTTTGGATTTTCAAATATTTTGACTTTGAGCATCACTCAAGAGAGATTGATTGTCGAAATGCGCATCTGGTGCAGAAAAATTGGTACCGTTTATGTTATTACTACCACTGGGTCGATGCCTCTGCTGGTGGACTGATAGTCCCCGGGGGTATCATCAGCCCAGTAGCCAGTACTTCGGTACTGGCATGAAAATACGGATCTAGTGTTATTGAAATTTCCTGTTACAAAATGTTTGAAATTATTTAAAATTAAGGAATGTATCTCCCTCGTGCAAAGCTCTGATTCCCTGCCCGGCTTTGGCTATACTTTTTTGTCCTTTTTGGCTAATAGCTCTTCATTTTTTTAATAAGCTTTGGATTTTCAAATATTTTGACTTTGAGCATCACTCAAGAGACATTGATTGTCGAAATGCGCATCTGGTGCAGAAAAATTGGTACCGTTTATGTTATTACTACCACTGGGTCGATGCCTCTGCTGGTGGACTGATAGTCCCCGAGGTATCACCAGCCCAGTAGCCAGAAAATACGGATCTAGTGTTATTGAAATTTCCTGTTACAAAATGTTTGAAATTATTTAAAATTAAGGAATGTATCTCCCTCGTGCAAAGCTCTGATTCCCTGTCCGGCTTTGGCTATACTTTTTTGTCCTTTTTGGCTAATAGCTCTTCATTTTTTTAATAAGCTTTGGATTTTCAAATATTTTGACTTTGAGCATCACTCAAGAGACATTGATTGTCGAAATGCGCATCTGGTGCAGAAAAATTGGTACCGTTTATGTTATTACTACCACTGGGTCGATGCCTCTGCTGGTGGACTGATAGTCCCCGAGGGTATCACCAGCCCAGTAGCCAGTACTTCGGTACTGGCATGAAAATACGGATCTAGTGTTATTGAAATTTCCTGTTACAAAATGTTTGAAATTATTTAAAATTAAGGAATGTATCTCCCTCGTGCAAAGCTCTGATTCCCTGCCCGGCTTTGGCTATACTTTTTTGTCCTTTTTGGCTAATAGCTCATTTTTTTTAATAAGCTTTGGATTTTCAAATATTTTGACTTTGAGCATCACTCAAGAGACATTGATTGTCGAAATGCGCATCTGGTGCAGAAAAATTGGTACCGTTTATGTTATTACTACCACTGGGTCGATGCCTCTGCTGGTGGACTGATAGTCCCCGAGGGTATCACCAGCCCAGTAGCCAGTACTTCGGTACTGGCATGAAAATACGGATCTAGTGTTATTGAAATTTCCTGTTACAAAATGTTTGAAATTATTTAAAATTAAGGAATGTATCTCCCTCGTGCAAAGCTCTGATTCCCTGCCCGGCTTTGGCTATACTTTTTTGTCCTTTTTGGCTAATAGCTCTTCATTTTTTTAATAAGCTTTGGATTTTCAAATATTTTGACTTTGAGCATCACTCAAGAGACATTGATTGTCGAAATGCGCATCTGGTGCAGAAAAATTGGTACCGTTTATGTTATTACTACCACTGGGTCGATGCCTCTGCTGGTGGACTGATAGTCCCCGAGGTATCACCAGCCCAGTAGCCAGAAAATACGGATCTAGTGTTATTGAAATTTCCTGTTACAAAATGTTTGAAATTATTTAAAATTAAGGAATGTATCTCCCTCGTGCAAAGCTCTGATTCCCTGTCCGGCTTTGGCTATACTTTTTTGTCCTTTTTGGCTAATAGCTCTTCATTTTTTTAATAAGCTTTGGATTTTCAAATATTTTGACTTTGAGCATCACTCAAGAGACATTGATTGTCGAAATGCGCATCTGGTGCAGAAAAATTGGTACCGTTTATGTTATTACTACCACTGGGTCGATGCCTCTGCTGGTGGACTGATAGTCCCCGAGGTATCACCAGCCCAGTAGCCAGAAAATACGGATCTAGTGTTATTGAAATTTCCTGTTACAAAATGTTTGAAATTATTTAAAATTAAGGAATGTATCTCCCTCGTGCAAAGCTCTGATTCCCTGTCCGGCTTTGGCTATACTTTTTTTGTCCTTTTTGGCTAATAGCTCTTCATTTTTTTAATAAGCTTTGGATTTTCAAATATTTTGACTTTGAGCATCACTCAAGAGACATTGATTGTCGAAATGCGCATCTGGTGCAGAAAAATTGGTTTATGTTATTACTACCACTGGGTCGATGCCTCTGCTGGTGGACTGATAGTCCCCGAGGGTATCACCAGCCCAGTAGCCAGTACTTCGGTACTGGCATGAAAATACGGATCTAGTGTTATTGAAATTTCCTGTTACAAAATGTTTGAAATTATTTAAAATTAAGGAATGTATCTCCCTCGTGCAAAGCTCTGATTCCCTGCCCGGCTTTGGCTATACTTTTTTGTCCTTTTTGGCTAATACCCTATTTTTTTAATAAGCTTTGGATTTTCAAATATTTTGACTTTGAGCATCACTCAAGAGACATTGATTGTCGAAATGCGCATCTGGTGCAGAAAAATTGGTACCGTTTATGTTATTACTACCACTGGGTCGATGCCTCTGCTGGTGGACTGATAGTCCCCGAGGGTATCACCAGCCCAGTAGCCAGTACTTCGGTACTGGCATGAAAATACGGATCTAGTGTTATTGAAATTTCCTGTTACAAAATGTTTGAAATTATTTAAAATTAAGGAATGTATCTCCCTCGTGCAAAGCTCTGATTCCCTGCCCGGCTTTGGCTATACTTTTTTGTCCTTTTTGGCTAATAGCTCATTTTTTTAATAAGCTTTGGATTTTCAAATATTTTGACTTTGAGCATCACTCAAGAGACATTGATTGTCGAAATGCGCATCTGGTGCAGAAAAATTGGTACCGTTTATGTTAATATTTAATCTTTCCTCCTCATAACTCTGTTGGAGCAGTTTCTGCGTAAGGAGCACACTCCTGTATATGAAGTCAGTATAGTGTGAACATGCACGAGCATAACGTATCAATTGAGATATGTTAACACCATACGACGGAGCAGAGGGTATGTAATTACTGCTGAGAAAATGGAAATTGATAATTGGGAAGTTGAAATCATCCCGTTTGTCATAGATTTTAGTGTGAAGTCGTCCATCTAATATGTCAATATTGAATTTTTATATATATTGAATATTTATACATGTTATATAGCATTGCCTTTCAAATGTTTCGGGTTGAGTGTTCCTGGTGAAGTCCAAGGTAAATACAGAAAGACGGCTCGGAAATACTAACGTTATAAAGTGTTATTTTCGTCTATAGTGAGTGATCAGGGTGCCTACTTCGTGTCAAAATGCAACCGAAAGGAAAAGAAGGAATGTGGTGATAATTCGTGTTACATAATTGCTATACGCAAAGGGAAAAAAATTAAAAACAAAAAAAAAACAAAGGAACATTTTGGTTTACAGTTTGTTGATGGTATCAAAGTCACAGTTAGGCCTCACATATGGAACACGAACTATTGCCTAACTGAAAGTTCAAGATGGTCTCTACCATTGTATTGAGCATAAGTTCTTGCTTTGTGTCAACCACACGACCCATGTGCCATGAAGAAAGCAGCTGCGGGGTAATATCAGCAAATCATAATTGTGCATGTTGTATCTGGCATATAATATAAATAAAAGAATGTGTCTGAGGACACGAATGCCCCCGCTCAAGCTTTGCAACAAAAATGGGTCGGACGGATGGAAAGACGGACAGACGGAAAGAGGAAAAGACGGACGGTCAAGTGTAACACTTAATGCCCCCGTCGACTACGGCGGGTGCATAAAATTATATGGTTAGGTATGTAAAATGCAAAAACAAAATGTTTTTTATTTGTGTATTACAAGGATTTTATGTACTGTGTTAAGTATTTGTCATGGTAATGTATTAAAGTATTTAATATCAACTATATTTTAATACGTTAGACCGAAGAGCTTAGAATTCAATAGCTAATATAACACTTTCTGAATAAATCATTAGAAGCAGAAAATAGCTAGAATGTTTGTGAGAGATAAGGGAGTTGTTGGATAAGAAACGTCGTTTCGTAAACAAAAGTTTTACATGCAAGGGTTTTAGTTTGTTCTGTCCAACATACTACTACTACTACTACTAAATACAATTATTATAATAGATATTCTTATGTAACTGAGCAGAAACTTGGAAGCCGCAAATATACCCTAACGTACGACTAATTCGTTTTGACTAACCTAATCTGTGTCACAGATGACCACGGATGTTCCACTTGTTGTAATATAAATCCCGTCCTATTTTCCTCGATCGTATAAGTACCGCTTGCAACTTATAACCATATTTTTGCGTGCAAGGAGCAACACGGTGGATGCCACGTGGGGAACAGGAACTGCTTACCTTTCAGGAGCATCATTCAATTCAATTCAATTCAATTCAATTCAATACTTTATTGGAAAGAGCTCAATAGAGGCGTGATCCAAATACAGACAATAATATATTCAACAATAACATCTACTATATAAATGAAATAAAGATCATAAGTGAATATCCGGTTCTTTATAATGGTTGGTGTTCTTCAAACTTTAGTGTTCTGTGTTGTTTTAAGTTGTTGTTTGGTCTTGTCATCTTTTTTTTATTCGATAGTGTTTTTGGTGATTTACGTAGTTTATTCGAAATGAGTCGTTCTTATATCAACTCCTGTTCAGCTCTCACCACTTAGCATAAGGCAGAAGTCTCATACAAATCAAGACATCTACGACTCCATTTGCTGTTTATGCGAATCCGATAGTTTTGTCCGCATAAAATTCTTATATCTGTGTTCAATGACAAAACGTCTTGTGTTTCAAGTTGTTTTAAAGATTGAAATTTAAACTAGTCGTCTCTATCAAAATTCGTGAACGATGTACGTCAATATGTTCTTTTTCAATAATATGTACTGTAAGCTTTTACTTACCAATTTAAACCCTTTTAATAGTGATAACAAACAGGAAGTAGAACAAAGAAAAAACTCAAGAGGCGCTCCTACGAGCCTGAATCGATCACCTGGTAAAAATATGCCATTTCGATATTACTTTTCACCTTTATTGCAAACATTTACGTTAATTGGTAGATCTTGTATTGGTAATGATTTCTGCAGTGAACAGCTTGCAACTATCTATCAGGAATATGACAGTTGTTTTCCATTCGATTGATGTGCTCGAGCTTTTGATTTTGCCATTTGATAAAGGATTTTCCGTTTTGAATTTTCCTTGGAGTTCCGTATTTTTGTTATTTTACATTTTTTTCACAGTTTTCTAAATAATTGAAAAACACAAAAAATAGTCACAAATTGTCATTTTAAGGGCTCCTTAAGAAGTCATCAAATGGTTTCAGTTCTATTGGCATTTTTGAAGCGCTTGTAAAGCTGATTAATTTTATTATTTCGTCAAGATGAAACTACTGTTTGCAAACAGAATTTCAGTAATGATTTAAATGTATTGGAAAGCGTATGAAGACCTGTTACATTTTGCATCTTCTTTTCTTCAATACATTTTGATATCATAAACTTATTCTGAATGTTTTTTTTACCATAGTGTCATAATGATCAAATAATAAGACTAGAACTACATTTGATTGTTTTCTGTTAACAGTGTGAAATTTAAAGGCAAGCAACATACAACTACTGAGCAAAGTAATCGAAGTTAGCCGGTCGAGATTATCAGTGAACAGCATGAAATAAAGCTAAGCATGAAAGATTAGTCCAAAGACAAACAAGATGTGAAATTAGAAACAAGGCCACATCAAGACCATGGGTTATTTTTCTAAGTTATTTTGTACACCTCTCCATTTCAAAATGGTTTACATAAAGTTAAGAGGACAATCGTCTTTATAATTAAGACTATTAATGACTTTGAAGTACTGTAAATAACCTATTGGAAAATTCTTTCTAAAGAATTTCAACATCAAATCCTCAAATTTATTAAATTGTAAATGTTATTTATTGACCCATTACTTATTTACCAATGGGAGATAGGCCTCGGTGGCCAAATGATCTAAGTAATTCATCTACAGTGATCTCTAGCCTGTTCACACAGAAGTTGATAGTTTAAAAAAAAACCTCTGCCCTACGTGGCAAGGTGCGTTCGACTCCAATCTTAATTGACTTAATTTCCAGTTTTCCTACAGAGTGTCGATGGTTATCTCCAGGTCCTCTTGCTACCATGAAATCGGCAAGAGTGATGAAAGTTGCGTTAAACTTAAACAAGCAATCAATCAACCAATGTGAAGTCTGAACAAAATTTAGAGCTACTCATGTCATGGCAAATTTTCTAATTGAACATATTATTAACAGTTAAATACAAAAAATATGTAAAACTTATTGTTTGAAACTTCAGTGAGATATGTCAGATGTACATGTAGGACAGTAATTTGAACTCTGCTGTTATATAAGATTATCAGAGCAACTCACCATTTTGCACAGGAATTCCTTGCTGGACATGCTGAAACAAAAATGTTTCTGGTTTTATTTCTTTATTTCAGAATTACATAAAATATTCCAATTATTTTTTAAAATATAAAAATCCCAGTTGGAAAATTTATTAACCCTAAATCTACATTCTACATTACTAAATCATATTAAAAGAATACTAGCTTTAGTAGCAGATACAAGAAATATTGCACAAAATAAAAATAACATGGTTAAAGAAATAGATAAAAATATTGATAAACATGTTATCAGTTAGTCTGTTTTCTCATGAATGAACTAGTAATATTAAGTTCACTGTTGTAGTCAACATCTAGCAGAACCTTATTTGTCACTTATTTCTAAGATGAAGCCCTGAAAATCAAAAAAATTATTTTGTCTTTTAAATCTATCTCAGCTATATTATGCCCATAATTGTGTGTTTATTGGAAGACAGTTTGGAGTTAATTCAAGAAAAGTGAAATAGCAAGAACATTTACGTTATTTTAAATTTTTTTAAAAAGCTTGAAAATATAGGTGTTGAGACCACTCTTCCATTTTATGGTTCTTCTATAAAGATTGTATTGTGTACATTCAAAGCCTGAAATTGCATATTTTAAGTTTTCATGTAGATAATTTTGATAATTCAAAGCCCTAAATCTAAAATTTGGAAGGTTTTTTAACATCTTTTTGAAAAAAAGCCCAAAAAGTAAGGGTTGGCAAAATTTGCTGATTTTTTCAAAAGTGAGGAAATACCCATTCAATCTCCACCTTTTCCATACTTATCAATGATTTGGTCTGATTCAATTGAAGCTTTATGAGTGTGGATTTACTGCCTCTTACTAATGATTATATTATGTTTCATCTTGACAAATTTCATGGCTGTTACTCTGCTGTAGACATGGCAGAAAAAATATTTATTCAAATTGCAAATGCCATGCATTTTTAGGCTGGTCGCTCTTCGCCCAAAATAAAAAAATACCAAATGGAAAATACTGTTTTATCTGTCTAGCAGAAGAAAATTTAAGTGTCGTCAAATCTATTGTTTCAATCTCTATGTATACAATTTTCTTCTTTATTATTCAGATATCAATTAATACTTTAATGAAATATGTATCACAAAAAACAACATCCACATGAAATTACCTATTTATAAATGATCAAGATACTAAGCATACAATTTAGAATGTCAAACATGACTTTTATTTACATAAAACTTATAAATTGTGATCATATCAAAACAGTTGGAAGGTAAAACCAATTATTACAAGGTTAAAAAGTATGTGTTCATAGTACACAGATGCCCTACTCGCACTATCATTTTCTATGTTCAGTGGACCGTGAAATTGGGGTCAAAACTCTAATTTGGCATTAAAATTAGAAAGATAATATCATAGGGAACATGTGTACTAAGTTTTAAGTTAATTGGACTTCAATTTCATCAAAAACCACCTTGACTAAAAACTTCAACCTGAAGCGGGACAGAAGGAACGGACGGACGAACGAACGAAAGCAAACACAGACTTAAAAACATAATGCCACTAGGTGGGGCATAAAAATGATTGAAAATTGAAAAAAAATTTGAAAGTTGTGCTAAATCTTGCTAAGGCCATCTATAGAAAGTCTGATACATTGTTACAAATACATTTTCTGATATATACCAATACAATCAGATCATACATTGTTGATTTTGAAGCCTGTCAAAGAAATAATTAGTTTTCTGAAGTTGTGTCATCACATAAATGTACAAGTTTAGCATTTAAATCCTTGTCTATTTGTGGTATTGATTCCTCAATTCTTTCTTATTCATTTATAGCATCATGTTGCAATAATTTATACGAGTATAACGAGTATGTATTTTGCATTCGGAACACTTCTGGTTTTTGTTTAATCTCTGTGCTCAATGGAAACTGTGTGGGAAAAATCTTGATGAACCAATTTTTTGTCTTTTCATTAGACTTTTCAAGATGATAAACACAAATGAAAAAGTTGTTAAAACTATGACTTAGTGGCATTAACTCCTGTAAGGGGTCCCTTGTTGATTCAATTTATTTGACTTAGATGTACATCATGTGTTACCCACCATTGTGCAGTTCAAAGTTGCAATCTAGGTATCATATTTTTTAGGATATAGGGTGAAAAAAAACCCACTAAAATTAGTCTAAAATCAACTGATTATTAAAGTCCTTTATACTTATCTTATTTTGCTAATAATTTTTGCTATCAACAGTTTTTTCTTTCTCCTATAATTTCCAGCAAAAACACATAAATATGTAAAAATCATTAATCAAAAGCAACAACTCCTCAAATGACACTTTCTGACTTTTTGTTTTCTTCTTATTTTGCTTATCATGCTTACAATTTCTCACTTATTACTGATAGTTTATGCAAAAAAAAATACACAAACATGGGTAAAAATCATCATTCATGGGCAACAACTCCTATAAGCAGACAACTGTCAATTTTTGAAATCTTGTCCTGTAGATGACTTTGCTGTTTACAGTTTGTTTATTATAGCATTTTATCACAATGTACAATTTTAGCCTTGGTTGCCATGTTAGTTTGCAGGCGAGATCATCATACCCCTATTGGTGAAGTTATATCAGTTGTGAAGAGTTTTGTAAAAGTTAAGGGCCAAAAGATGCCAAGTGTTGAGAGAATAGTTCACTTAACCCTTTGGACCAGGTGAACTAAAAAGAATTAAAAAATAAATTACTGTGCAGTTTCAATACCATGCACCTAAACAAAATTTGTAATCATTTTCAAATGACCTATCATGTGAAATTTGTTGACTTTAAGGTATATATGATGTCAATACTAATAAAAAACAAGTGTGAAACCAATTTACGTTATCATTACACTATAGTTTTTGCCTTTTTGGAATAACATTCATTTAGTATGGTGAAGTCAAAATTTAACAAAGTCAAAAATATAAATTACTACTATGATGATGTTCAAGCTGTTGTTTTTCAAAAGTTCAGTTTTGTGCTTTTTTTTAACCTATATAATCATGATAAACAACTTTTTAACTTAAATAAACCAACATATTTAAGGATGTAGTCAGGTCAGGTTTAGGAATATTTGTCAGATGTTCGACCTCCTTGGGTTTTTTTCTACGATACAGGGTAAAATATTTTGTCCCATATCACCCACTTTTCTTTTCATAGAAGACTTCAATAGCTCATAAAAAGGTTATTACCGAAATTTAAGCAGATTCTAGATTTTTTTCTTATGATTTGAGACCCAAATAATGCCAATGCTAAATATAAGGTAAAAGTCCAAATCGGCCTTTTCCCGCCATTTTTAAAAAATCAAACATCTCAAAAAGGAGTTCCGTAACCTATCAATATTTTTTAGCCTCTTCTGACTTTTAGTATCAATTTTAAATTCTAGATTTTTTTAAATTCACCTAACTACATCCTTAAAGTTCTTCTATAATTTAAAATATTTTTTCCAAAGTAAAAAGGATACAAAAAATTCCTTTTTTTTTCTTTGAACTTATACACAGAAGTGATTTTGTAAACTACCTAATTCTAAAAAGTTTTTTGACATGCACATACATCATTGGATATTTAGATTCTAAATATAATAAATGCAAAATAGTAAAATACATATAAAAACACTGATAAACGACCATATAAAAGTTCAACAAATAGTTCATCAACTGTCAGTGGTTCTCAATACACCTAAGGTGTAAGGATTCAATTAAAAAATACCTCTTGCTATTGTTCAGATGACATTGTGGATAAGTGGGAAATAGGATAACTGATAGTAAATGAAGGTAATAAAAGAGGGTCATAATGGTGGTACCTTTATGACAAATAATTGTAAAAAAATCTTGCCAAATGAAGTCAATGGTAATTTTTGGTGCATGACGATAAAATGTACATTTTCTTTATGGTGATAAAAAGATATCTGATTTTGACAAATCACGTTAAATTCTCTCCCAAAATAACGTTAACGGATAATTATTTAAGATCTCTGACAAATAATGATAAGAATATTTTGACGAATCACAATAACATTTTTACCAATTTGACGCTAACAGTAGCTGAAAATGACCATTTGACGCCAGACGGTAAAGGGCATTTCTACTCTCATGAAACAATTTAAGGGTTAATAGGTCACAAACGTCAGTATTCACTGACAAAAATCACCAACATTAGCTAGTGTGCTTTTAAAATTCGGATTTATAGACAGATCCCGTGTCTACTCTTTGTTTATAAGTATCTGACAACACTTCTTTCTACTTCCTGTTCTGGTATTAGTTACCTCAACAAATGAAATTTCTGTCTTCAAATTTTTGAAGGTGTGAATCATTATGACAAAACCAGAGGATCTGGAAAGGTTTTTCCAACAGAAATAAGAAAGAAGTGTCAGATCCTTGTAAGGGAAGCTTAAATGTTAAGCCTTTGTAAAACAATCTTTGCAAGTTTGTTGAATACTTTAGAGCTGTTTTCAATTAAATGTTGACTAAAGAATGTTTGATGTCGACAACTATGACACAAAATAACTAATGTGTTCCCTATGATTGCTGTCAAGATACACAACCATACCTAATTGGCGCCAACATCATAATACCAACCATCACCCATTTGAAAAGGATGGCAAATTTCTAACAAATATTTTTTCTTCAAAATTATAGCCGTATATAGCATGTGTACTTCTACTTCATATTCAGGCTCTTTTTTGTGTGTAAATACTGTACGTTTTGATGTATACAACTTAAATTGTGTATATAATATTATCAATTTTTTTTTTTTCATAGATATAAGAAGATGTGGTATGAGTGCCAATGAGACAACTCTCCATCCAAGTATGTTGGTTTTTTGTTTTTCAAGTCTTTTATAAATGGAATACTTTTCTTTCATTTGCCGCCTAAATGTATGAAATCACAATCTTTGATCTAATCATGCTAATGAATAATAATAAATCAACCATATTAGTTTTTCAAATAAAATATTTTCTATGTTCATGATGCTTGGTCCATATTGAAATATAAGAAAATTAAAAACAACATCTTGCATACTTATATCTCATATTTAACATGTTTAATGAAATGCAATTTTTGATGCAAAAAAAGTACTACAATACAACATGTACAAGCAAAGATACAGTGAAAATGTGATTGTGATGCACATGTATCGAATCACAGCCTCAAGAATAAACAGGTAAAATGCTTTCTTTTATAAACTTCACAAAGTTTGCATTGCCCCTTACCACATTACATGTCTTAAAAAATGCTTATGAGATTGCAAACATCTAAAATATTTTAATTTTCACACCTGTTGAATTCTTTCTACAAATTCTTTTCCTTTTGATGCCGCTAGCCACTGACACTGTGGAAAACTTTTAGCATGCTCTACAATTGGAATGTCATTTGCTTCCCATTCAGACAGCATACCTCCACACCAAAAACATTTTGCCTTGTCCCCTTGACCTGAAAAGAAAACAGCATTTGCTAAACCTGTCATACAATTTGATGAATCTGAAACATATAATCATGATATATATAAAAAATATTAAAAAAGTGAACTGTACATGTTCTTTGACATTGTACCATTATTGATCATGTTGATGATTATAAATACAGTAAACTGAACGTTTATCTTATAGATAAGATGTAGAAATGTACCATGAAAATGAGGTCAAATTAAGTCAGACGAAACCTGCCAGAGTGACATTTACAACTTACAATCATGCTTTACTGCCTAAAGTATCTGAGAAACAGACCTTATCACGTAACTTTAACCTTGATCATTGATCCATGAAATAAGGTCAAGGTTAGGTGAACCCTGTCTGACTGACATGTAGACCTTGCAAAGATCCAATATATACCAAATTTTATATCAGTATCCTTTTGCTTACAATAAGTAAAAATTCACATGAGAAAAAAACATACAGTTTTTATTAACAGTCACTGAACCATGAGAATGAGGTCAAGGCTTACATGGTACTCCATTATTGTTTGGCTACTGCTTTTCTGTCTGAGCTACCAGTTTTGAAATTCTATTTTAATAATAATAATAATAATAAATTCTTTATTTAAAGAGGGTAAACACAGTTTGTTACAACAAAATAATCTTCCCTGAGGCACATAGTTAATTTACAGTCAAATAGTTCACTGTATTATTATAAACATGATAAGAGATAAAACTATTCAAGAGGTACATGTAGTAAACAAGAGTGCACACGCTGAAATGTCTCGCCTTCTTTACTAATCATTGATATTATGTTGATAGTCCTAAATATAAAGTTTTATTACAACTGTCACATAAACTTAACATTAACCAAGTAAACTAAACATTGACCAATGAACCATGAAAATGAGGTCAAGGTCAGATGAACCATGCTAGGCAGGCATGTACAGCTAACAATTCTTCCATACAACAAATATAGTTGACCTATTGCTTATAGTTTAAGAAAAACAGACCAAAACACAAAAACTTAACACTGAGCAATGAACCTTGAAAATGAGGTCAAGGTCAAATAAAACCTGCGTGACTGCCAAATAGATCATAAAATATTTCCATACACCAAATATAGTTGAACTATTGCATATAGTATAAAAAAAACAGACCAAAACACAAAAACTTAACTATAACCACTGAACCATGAAAATGAGGTCAAGGTCAGATGACACCTGCCAGTTGGACATGTACACCTTACAGTCCTTCCATATACCAAATATACTAGACCTATTGCTTATAGTATCTGAGATATGGACTTGACCACCAAAACTTAACCTTGTTCACTGATCCATGAAATGAGGTCGAGGTCAAGTGAAAACTGTCTGACGGGCATGAGGACCTTGCAAGGTACGCACATACCAAATATAGTTGAACTATTGAATATAGTATTAGAAAAAAAGACCAAAACTCAAAAACTTAACTTTGACCACTGAACCATGAAAATGAGGTCAAGGTCATATGACACCTGCCAGTTGGACATGTACACCTTACAATCATTCCATACACCAAATATAGTAGACCTATGGCATACAGTATAAGAAAAACAGACCAAAACACAAAAACTTAACTATAACCACTGAACCATGAAAATGAGGTCAAGGTCAGATGACACCTGCCAGTTGGACATGTACACCTTACAGTCCTTCCATAGATCGAATATACTAGACCTATTGCTTATAGTATCTGAGATATGGACTTGACCACGAAAACTTAACCTTGTTCACTGATCCATGAAATGAGGTTGAGGTCAAGTGAAAACTGTCTGACGGGCATGAGGACCTTGCAAGGTACGCACATACCAAATATAGTTATCCTATTACTTATAATAAGAGAGAATTTAACATTACAAAAAATCTGAACTTTTTTTTCAAGTAGTCACTGAACCATGAAAATGAGGTCAAGGACATTGGACATGTGACTGACAGAAACTTCGTAACATGAGGCATCCATATACAAAGTATGAAGCATCCAGACCTTCCACCTTCTAAAATATAAAGCTTTTAAGAAGTTAGCTAACGCCGCCGCCGCCGTAGCCGCCGCCGCCGCTGGATCACTATCCCTATGTCGAGCTTTCTGCGACAAAAGTCGCAGGCTCGACAAAAATCGAAAAATTAAAAATAAAACAAAAATAAAAATAAAAATAAAATAAAAAATATACAAATCAGCTCAGCTTTTGGCTTAGGAACCATCAGATTACCTTGAGTAACACCTCTCAGGGAGTATAAGGATTATTATCTTATTTCAGTTCAAACATTTGAACTAGATACATTGGTGCTTCCATACACACACATTTATATAGAAGTAAATATTTTTGGTATTTAATTCTATTTTTAACTGTCATCCACTCAAGTTCTTTAAATAAGGGGGCTGAAGGGGATAAAGGATCTGTATCTAAAATTCATTGTGCTGCCCTTTTTGGAATTTTAATTTCCTTGTTATCCCTTCATTTTTACATTCTCCCCAAATAATACAGCAGTAGTCAATTACGGGCAAAATATACCCCATTAAGCGCTAATATATCTAAAAATGTCTTAATTTTATTAGCACAAACTTGGTCAATTTGATTTCTCAAGCTTAGTTACATGTAGCTGTCAATTTTAACACCTAATAATTTTTCACATAAAGAAATTTGTAATAACTTTGAATTTATTATTAAGTTCGTTGACAAGTCTGAATTGATAGTTTCTGCTTTGTTCCAGTAACCAAACATTTTGTTTTATTTGTATTGATGAACATGTTATTCATTTTGCACCACTCTTCAACATGTTCAACTCTGTATAAATCTTCTTGAACACCATCATGTATATTTTCTATGTTTTCCCTGATTTATGAAGAGTGGTGTCATCAGCATACAGGTGGACCAAGTATAGAACCTTGGGGGACACCAAATTTTACACTTTGTTATTCAGAATAAACATTACAAATGTTTACCTGTTGTGTTCTGTTATTCAGGTACAAAAAAATGTATGACATGAAGAAACTAACAATTGCCTCACAAAATCCATAAATTTTAAGCTTTAAACAAAGAATGTCATGATCTACCAGATCAAAAGCTTTTTTGGAGTGTAATAAAATTGCTAGGTTTAAATTACCATGCATCATTCATTTCTTGCAACCATTTGTAAATGATAAAACAATGCAGTTTGACAAGAATGCTGTAGCCTGAAACCAGATTGTGTAGGATGTAAAAGTTTAAGTTTAGATAAGTATTTGTACATGTTATTCTGTTATTTGAAACATATGTGCCTTTCTATTAATTTTGATAAAGTTGGAAGAACAGTTATAGGTCTATAATTTGTTGCTTAACACTTGTCCCCATCCTTGTAGACTTGTGTTCCCTTATAATTAGCATTCTTCGGTAAAGAAGGATATATATACCAATATCTATATGCATTATTCTGTTAATAGCTATAAGAAGATGTGGTACATGTATGAGTGCCAATGAGACAACTCTCCATCTAAGTCAAAATTTATAAAAGTAAACCAATATAGGTCAAAGTACGGTCTTCAACACGGAGCCTTGGCTCACACCGAACAGCAAGTTATAAAGGGCCCCAAAAATTACTAGTGTAAAACCATTCAAACAGGAAAACCAACGGTCTAATCTATATAAAAAACGAGAAACGAGAAACACTTATGAACCACATCAACAAACGACAACTAATGAACATCAGATTCCTGACTTAGAACAGGTGCAAACAATTCATGCAATTGCAGTGGGTTTAAACGTTTTTATGGTACCAAACCTTCACCCTTATCTGAAACAATAGTGTAACATCACAACATAGAAAGAGACACTATAAAATATCAATTGAAATGGCTTAACTCAATCAAAAGACATATTATCACTAGTGAACATACATTGAACAAATAAATTTGATCTATGATACAATGCAAATACAAAATAAATAAATATATATATGTGAGAGGTGCGAATGCAATAAAAGGGGCACTTAATCTTAGGATTTTGGGTCCAATGTTATCCATACCAGATGATTTGTTTTGTTAACTCATTAAATAGCTCATTCATGATCACTGGTGGTATAGAAAAAATTTCATGTTTATGTAATTCATTTTTAACAAATTTACTAAGATTACTGAAATCTGCTTTATCTACAGGTGTATAACTTCCTCTCTCAGTTTTTCAGCACAGGAAGTGAAAAGATTATTAAAAGTACATGTATCTGCTACTGATTTTTTTACTTTTAGTTGCAATGTTATTTTCTGTGAATTACTCATATGGTGTATTTTAAACTTTTGGGTTCAGACTGTGAAGACATTTCCATAAAGTTTTATGGTCAGTGGAGTCCTTTACCATACTTTTGTAATAATTCTTTTTTGAGCTATCTACACAAATGTATAATTTGTTAAGTTTTATTTTTCCAACTCTATACTCACTCCATTAACCAACGTAACGTAAACTCGATTCAAACCTAAACTTGATATGTAACTCATCATAGTAGACACATATACTAACTAGAGGCTCTAAAGAGCCTGTGTCGCTCACCTTGGTCTATGTGCATATTAAACAAAGGACACAGATGGATTCATGACAAAATTGTGTTTTGGTGATGGTGATGTGTTTGTAGATCTTACTTTACTGAACATTCTTGCTGCTTACAATTATCTCTATCTATAATGAACTCAGCCCAGTAGTTACAGTGGAAAATATTTTGTAAAAATTTACAAAAATTTACAAAATTTATGAAAATTGTAAAAAATTGACTATAAACAGTCAAGGGTCTAACTTAAATAAGTTATTAGAGAAAAATAACATACATTTGTTATTGAGGGCTAAAAAATCAAAAATCTGTGATAACATATGTATGTTACATGTTTCAAAGGGGCATTAAACATCCTTTATTTTGTTAAATTGTGTACTAGTTCTATTGATATTATAATTATCTTTATGTATATTAAACTTTAGAAAGATATAACAGCCCATAGTTTGCCAATCATGCATAACACACCCATGTTATTACAGAAAAAATATGCCTGTAATAACTAAAGGGTGTTATTACAGCTTCTCTACATCTCTTCAAAGCCTTTTCTCCTACATATATCACAATGTATTTTAATTCATTGTAATAAATAATGATAAGAGCATGTAATGAGGTTCTGCCCAAGCTTCCTAGTCATTCCCAAGTGTCTCATGTAATAAATTAAATGCCTGTAATATCTAAGCCTTGTTATTACAGCTAAGTTATCACTCAAAAGCCTTGTCTCATTGATTTACCATGGTTGATCAAAAATGTATTAATTGAATTGGAAAATTAGTTTTCAAGGTTATGTATTTAGTTACTGAGCAAGTTTCAAGAATTCCCAAGTGCCCAATGAAAATAAAAATATTTATGGTACATGTTACTACAGATTAAGAGAAAGTATCCGTAATAACACATGTATGTTATTTCTCTCTAATAACTTATTCAAGTTACACCCTTGACTGAAAAAAAGGCAATAACTCCTTAAGGGCTCAATTGACAATTTTGGTCATGTTGACTTATTTGTAGATCTTACTTTGCTGAACATTATTGCTGTTTACAGTTTATCTCTATCTATAATAATATTCAAGATAATAACCAAAAGCTGCAAAATTTTCTTAAAATTACCAATTCAGGGGCAGCAACCCAACGTGTTGCCTGATTGGTCTGAAAATTTCAGGGCCGATAGATCTTGACCTAATGAACATTTTATCCCTGTCAGATTTGCTCTAAATGCTTTGGTTTCAGAGATATGAGCCAAAAACTGCATTTTACCCTATGAACTATTTTTTAGCCATGTCCGCCATCTTGGTTCGCGGGCGGGGTCATCGGACACATTTTTTAAACAAGATACCCAAATGATGATTGTGGACAAGTTTGGTTAAATTTGCCTTGTAGTTTCAGAGGAGAAGATTTTTGTTAAAGATTACAAAAATTTACAAAAAATGGTTAAAAATTGATTATACAGGGCAATAACTCCTTTAGGGGTCAACTGACCATTTTGGTCATGACAACTTATTTGTAGATCTTACTTTACTGAACATTCTTGCTGCTTACAATTATCTCTATCTATAATGAACTTGGCCCAGTAGTTACCAGTCAGGGGTGCTACTTAAACAAGTGATTTCATCATCACTTATTTCAGTGATTTGATAAATTCAGTTATCACCTATTTAAGTGATTTTAGTGTTTTCTTTGATCTTCAAATGCTAATTTCATTGATTTTCCATATTTTCACAATCTTTTCTATAATTTTCCTACATAAATCAATTATCCCTTTTTCTTTGTATATTAATTTCACCAGTGCGCTTGGGCAGTAAGTTAGTGCGCTAAAGCTTTTAAAAGTGCCCTTGGGAATTTTTCTGTAATCAAAAATTCATTAACTACTCTTACTATCAGACAAAGATCAACAGTATTAGGTAACCTGATTGGTTTTCTTTAGAGTTAGAATGATCTACTTCAAGGTTATGACCTGATCTACAAACTATTCCAGTTTTTGCATATTTTAAAAAAACTGTAAAAGTGTCAGGCTTATCAAGCAAAAGACAATTTCTGCATATACATAGTTGTTTTTTCAATGGAATTGTTGTCTTTTTACCAATAAAAAAATCAAGCTTGTGGAAAAAATATCAAGAAAATGTTATAAACACTTATTAAAGTGATTACATTTTAACTTCTAAAATTACTTGTTTCAGTGATTTTAAAAAGTCTGTGTGAAAATTTTTAATATTTCACATCCAAAATCACTCGAGGGAGTGATTCTGAAATCACTTGTTTAAGTAGTACCCCTGACTGGTTACAGTGGAAAATATTTTGTAAAAATTTACAAAAATTTACAAAATTTATGAAAATTGTAAACTAGAGGCTCTCAAGAGCCTGTGTCGCTCACCTGTATTTACTGATGCTTTGGAAATCATGTAAAATAAGGTTAATATCATAATTAATAGTATTACATTTGTAGATATTAGATATTATAATGATATCTAAGATAATTACAAAAAACTGCAAAATTTTTGTAAAATTACTAACTCAGGGGCAGCTACCCAACAACGGGTTGTTGGATTCGTCTGAAAATTTCAGGACAGATAAATCTAAATCTGATGAACATTTTTGCCACCTGTCAGATTTGTTCTAAATGCTTTAGTTTCAGAGATATAAACCAAAAACTGCATTTTACCCCTATGTTCTATTTCTAACCAAGTCGGCCATGATGGTTGGAAGGCGGGGTTATCGGACAAATTTTTTAAACTAGATACCCTAATAATGATTATGGCCAAGTATGGTTAAATTTGTCTCAGTAGTTTCAGAGGAGAAGATTTTTGTAAAAGATTACAAAAATTTACAAAAAATTGTTAAAAATTGACTATTAAGGGCAATAACTCCTAAAGGGGTAGACTAACAATTTTGGTCATGCAACTTATTTGTAGATCTTACTTTTCTGAACATTATTGCTGTTTACAGTTTATCTCTATCTATAATAATATTCAAGATAATAACCAAAAACTGCAAAATTTCCTTAAAATTACCAATTCAGGGGCAGCAACCCAACAACAGGTTGTCAGATTTGTCTGAAAATTTCAGGGCAGATAGATCTTGATTTTACCCTATGTCAGATTTACTCTAAATGCTTTGGTTTAAGAGATATAAGCCAAAATCTACATTTTACCCCTATGTTCTATTTTTAGCCATGGCGGCCATCTTGGTTGGTTGGCCGGGTCACCGGACACATTTTTTAAACTAGATACCCCAATGATGATTGTGGACAAGTTTGGTCAAATTTAGCCCAGTAGTTTCAGAGGAGAAGATTTTTGTAAAAGTTTACGGACGCAGGACGAAGGACGCAGGACGCCAAGTGATGAGAAAAGCTCACTTGGCCCTCTGGGCCAGGTGAGCTAAAAATCAGCTCAATTTGAGAAGTTGTTTAGAAAAAAAAATCTGTATAACTGTTTGTTGCCAAATGACAGAATGACAGAAAGGCGGAATGACAGAATGACGGAATAACATTAATTATGGAGTGACAGATCCATAAGGGTAAAACTATATGGCCCCAACAACTTTGTTGCGGGGTCATAAAAAAGACTTCCAACATTGCCCAAGTTATAGACATGAGAAACTAAACTAAAATTTTACCTAAGTAAAACAACCCTGCTTCTGCTAAATCATCAGGCTTTTGTCTCATTTGTGGTGGCCACCCAGTAAAACTTGCTTTTCTTGTAGATAAGTCTCTATAAGCTGCCATTTTGTATGGAGATTTCATCATCGGACACTGAGGAAAGTTTCTCTTATGTTCTGTTAAAATGTTATCATTTGGTTCCCAGTTGCTCAATATTCCAGCACAATATACACATTGAACACGATCACCATTACCCGGACCAAGAAAATAAAATCCTTGGTTCACAAGTTCATCAATAGACAAGAAATTTTTATCAGGAGGCCATCCATTTTGAAATGTTTCTCTCCGTAATTTTGAGTCGTTTCTAAGAGGTGCTAATCTATTCCGTGGATGATCCATGGCAGCCACGGATCACATCTATTTCCCTGGCATGATGTAGACCATTACATTATTCTTTATTTTAACCTAAATTTTAAAAATATATCATTTTTAGCAATTTATCAGATAATTTTCAGAAGAGGCTAGCTTGGCACTCTTACCATGCTTACCTGAAATTAGGATTTTCTACATGTTCTATTTTGAGTCAATGTATAATATAAATATATATCATGCTTTTTCAAAAATGATAATATAAAGATTTTTATTTCTCATGAAGCTTGTTCACACATGTACCATGTGTACAGTACATGCAGTATGTGTTGTGAAAAATAAGATTGTTTTCACATGCATGGAAATTATTTGTGGACTCCACTTCCTGTAAACTGCATAATCTTGTGTCTGCAAAAGATTTCATAACACAACTAGTTGAAGTAGTTCCTATCTCTTTTATTAACATGATTAATGTCTATCATGTCTATTGATGTTAAAATTTCTTAGAAAATCAAATCAAATCAATTATTTTATTTGATAAAGCACACATATTACAACTGCATGATATAATAAATATGAAATTGAGTAATCAAAGTGTACAACATGTACAACATACAATGACATATAAATACAACATGACACCATTTATCACAAATACATTTCGCCTGATTCTTGTCTCATCAGTATTATAATGATTGATACCAAATGATTGGAATTCCAAAGAAGTTAAAAGTTTTAGAGCAGATAACAAAGCAAATGTCAGAAACAGTAAATCCATAGCATTCTAAATTGAAACATACAATATCATGTATATGAGGTAAAAATTGTCTTTTTTGTGTGTGTTTTTTTCTATAAAAAAGACCATTTGTATTTCGGTCATTTCTATGTTCACTGCAATTAATCTGTTCCTTGTGGGCACTGTGATTAGCAAAATAAAAAGTTTGTACTGAAGCAAGACTCAGTCTTTGAATTTCAATATTTAAAAAAAATAAATCATGAGAATTAACTAAAATAAGGCAGTGGTTTGTGAGTGAAATAAGGTATCAGGAGAGAGTCAGGATTTTACAGTATTTACCGCCAGAGTTTCTGTAGTCTTAAGCAGCCCCAGACCCTTTGCCGCAAAGGCCATCTTGCTACGAGAGGTGAAAGACCAGCCTTGTGAGTCTAGTTCTATAACTTTTTCACTATCTCCTGGCACTAAAACTATCTATTGACATCACTGAGTATGTATTCAAACCCAGGGGAAAGGCTGGGGAGGGGGTACATGTATAAACTTCCTGTATATTACATTTAATTTGCTACACGAGGATGTGTCAACATTTTGGTATACTTTTCAGGGAAATTGAGGAAAAAAACAAAAGAAAGGTATTCATCGAAGTTTGCAATTGTTAATATTAGGTCATATTTATATATGAGTAAAATAATGTGTCTGTTATTGATGTGTCTTGTTAAACATGAAGGACACAGTACTTACTAGTACTAGTGCAATAATGAAGTGTAAAATTTTTTTTTTATATATATATCATAAAAAAATTAGAAGATGTGGATGATTGCCAATGAGACAACTCTCCACAAGAGACCAAATGACACAGAAATTAACAACTACAGGTCATCATACGGCCTTCAACAATGAGTGAAACCTATACCGCATAGTCAGATATAAAAGGCCCCGAAATGACAAATGTAAAACAATTCAAATGAGAAAACTAACGGCCTGATTCATGTACAAAATAAAGAACGAAAAACAAATATGATATACAGCAACAAACGACAACCACTGAATAACAGGCTCCTGACTTGGGACAGGCACATACAAAATGTGGCGGGGTTAAACATGTATAGATGTTTAACAAGAGTGCACACGCTGAAATGTCTCGCCTTCTTTACTAATCATTGATATTATGTTGATAGTCCTAAATATAAAGCTTTATTACAACTGTCACATAAACTTAACATTAACCAAGTAAACTAAACATTGACCAATGAACCATGAAAATGAGGTCAAGGTCAGATGAACCATGCTAGGCAGGCATGTACAGCTAACAAATCTTCCATACAACAAATATAGTTGACCTATTGCTTATAGTTTAAGAAAAACAGACGAAAACACAAAAACTTAACACTGAGCAATGAACCTTGAAAATGAGGTCAAGGTCAAATAAAACCTGCGTAACTGACATATAGATCATAAAATATTTCCATACACCAAATATAGTTGAACTATTGCATATAGTATTAGAAAAAAAGACCAAAACTCAAAAACTTAACTTTGACCACTGAACCATGAAAATGAGGTCAAGGTAAGATGACACCTGCCAGCTAGACATGTACACCTTACAATCATTCCATACACCAAATATAGCTGACCTATTGCATGCAGTATTAGAAAGAAAGACCAAAACTCAAAAACTTAACTTTGACCACTGAACCATGAAAATGAGGTCAAGGTCAGATGACACCTGCCAGCTAGACATGTACACCTTACAATCATTCCATACACCAAATATAGTAGACCTATTGCATACAGTATAAGAAAAACAGACCAAAACACAAAAACTTAACTATAACCACTGAACCATGAAAATGAGGTCAAGGTCAGATGACACCTGCCAGTTGGACATGTACACCTTACAGTCCTTCCATACACCGAATATACTAGACCTATTGCTTATAGTATCTGAGATATGGACTTGACCACGAAAACTTAACCTTGTTCACTGATCCATGAAATGAGGTCGAGGTCAAGTGAAAACTGTCTGACGGGCATGAGGACCTTGCAAGGTACGCACATACCAAATATAGTTATCCTATTACTTATAATAAGAGAGAATTTAACATTACAAAAAATCTGAACTTTTTTTTCAAGTAGTCACTGAACCATGGAAATGAGGTCAAGGACATTGGACATGTGACTGACGGAAACTTCGTAACATGAGGCATCCATATACAAAGTATGAAGCATCCAGGTCTTCCATCTTCTAAAATATAAAGCTTTTAAGAAGTTAGCTAACGCCGCCGCCGCCGCCGGATCGCTATCCCTATGTCGAGCTTTCTGCGACAAAAGTCGCAGGCTCGACAAAAACACAATCTTACATTCATCATTGTAGTGCTCACCCAATAGACTTAAATTTGTGCCTAATTTTAAAAGTATGATTTTTTTTATCCCCTTTCATAAAAATACCTGCCCTTTTGCCAAATGTTTGTGTGACATATAGCATGTACATGTATAGTAGGAAAGGTCATCACAAAGTTGTAAATTTATGTGTCAACCAACTTGAAATTTTGATAAAATACTTCAATAATAGAATGTTTAAAGTTGTTTTATCTTGGTCATGTTGGTATAATTTGTAAATTTATTGCATAATTTAAAAATATGTTTCATACTATTTATTTATAACATACATGTTGTAATGTACATGTGATGTATGACGAAATATTAAAGTGAACTCAAAAGGTGTATGTATGTATGTTACATTGACATCCTCACATGATCATGTAACATACATCATATATATATAGAGAGATTGTATGCATAATGTAGTGTTTACATTTACATGTACATTTATTGTCTGTACAAAAAGCTCCTGCATGAGAGTTTAAATTGTTTTAAATATAAAAGATAAGGAGGTGTGGTATGATTGCCAATGAGACAACTATCCACCAGAGTTCAAATGCCTACTTCAAATAAAGATAATATATATATACAATGTACTTTCTTCGTTACACTACTAAATTACTTTTCATCTCTATTTCTTTTGAGGGAATAATTCCTCATTTGAAGGTTTGTTCCAAATGGACAAAAATGGCTGTTTTTACACCTTAAAAAAAAACTCTAGAGTACAGACAAACATGTGGAGTTTTAAGATTTAATGCCTAGCATCCACTAGATATAAAAAAGTTAAATGCAATTTTTTTTTTTATGGAAATTTTCCTTTATCTCTGTCATCATGGTCATTGTCTGTAGACATAGTAGAAAATGAAAAAATAAACAAGATTGTTATGTTGTAGCAAAATGTCCTCCTCGCTGCATAAATGAGAAACTAAATCGTGTGACACAATGTGTCATTGTGGTACAAAAAATATATGATAGTAAAAAATTTGGTAAAAGTCACATAACGCCATAAAAATGGTCAAATCAAAATGACAGTATAATATCATGAATATATACAGTCAACTTCACATGATTCATTGTCTTATTATCACAATACTAAAAAAAGTCAAAGTCCCATAACTCCCTTCATAATGGACAGATCAGAATGACTGTGTAATATGGTCAACTACACACATGATACATGATGCCAACCAATCCTATCAAATATGAGAGGTTTCTGAAAAACAGTCTCAGAGGAGTTCACAAGGTGTTGTTGTTACAATACTTCAACAAATGGGAAAAAGTCCCACAACTTCTATGAAAATGCAGGTCAAATAATGGCTGTACTTAACTACACATGATAGCAAACAATTATAATAAGTATGAGAGCTTTCTGTCACATGGTGTTATTGTCACAATATCCAATACTGAGAGCGTTCTGTCACATGGTGTTATTATCACAATATTCAATATTGAGAGCTTTCTGTCACATGGTGTTATTGTCACAATATTCAATACTGAGAGCTTTCTGTCACATGGTGTTATTGTCACAATATTCAATATTGAGAGCTTTCTGTCACATGGTGTTATTGTCACAATATTAAATATTGAGAGCTTTCTGTCACATGGTGTTATTGTCACAATATTCAATATTGAGAGCTTTCTGTCACATGGTGTTATTGTCACAATATTCAATATTGAGAGCTTTCTGTCACATGGTGTTATTGTCACACTATTCAATACTGAGAGCTTTCTGTCACTGAGAGCTTTCTGTCACATGGTGTTATTGTCACAATATCCAATATTGAGAGCTTTCTGTCACATGGTGTTATTGTCACAATATCCAATATTGAGAGCTTTCTGTCACATGGTGTTATTGTCACAATATCCAATACTGAGAGCCTTCTGTCACATGGTGTTATTGTCACAATATTCAATACTGAGAGCGTTCTGTCACATGGTGTTATTGTCACAATATTCAATACTGAGAGCGTTCTGTCACATGGTGTTATTGTCACAATATTCCATATTGAGAGCTTTCTGTCACATGGTGTTATTGTCACAATATCCAATATTGAGAGCGTTCTGTCACATGGTGTTATTGTCACAATATCCAATACTGAGAGCGTTCTGTCACATGGTGTTATTATCACAATATTCAATATTGAGAGCTTTCTGTCACATGGTGTTATTGTCACAATATTCAATACTGAGAGCTTTCTGTCACATGGTGTTATTGTCACAATATTCAATATTGAGAGCTTTCTGTCACATGGTGTTATTGTCACAATATTAAATATTGAGAGCTTTCTGTCACATGGTGTTATTGTCACAATATTCAATATTGAGAGCTTTCTGTCACATGGTGTTATTGTCACAATATTCAATACTGAGAGCTTTCTGTCACTGAGAGCTTTCTGTCACATGGTGTTATTGTCACAATATCCAATATTGAGAGCTTTCTGTCACATGGTGTTATTGTCACAATATCCAATATTGAGAGCTTTCTGTCACATGGTGTTTTTGTCACAATATCCAATACTGAGAGCCTTCTGTCACATGGTGTTATTGTCACAATATTCAATACTGAGAGCGTTCTGTCACATGGTGTTATTGTCACAATATTCAATATTGAGAGCGTTCTGTCACATGGTGTTATTGTCACAATATTCAATATTGAGAGCTTTCTGTCACATGGTGTTATTGTCACAATATCCAATATTGAGAACGTTCTGTCACATGGCGTTATTGTCACAATATCCAATATTGAGAGCTTTCTGTCACATGGTGTTATTGTCACAATATCCAATATTGAGAGCTTTCTGTCACATGGTGTTATTGTCACAATATCCAATACTGAGAGCTTTCTGTCACATGGTGTTATTGTCACAATATCCAATACTGAGAGCTTTCTGTCACATGGTGTTATTGTCACAATATCCAATACTGAGAGCTTTCTGTCACATGGTGTTATTGTCACAATATTCAATATTGACAGCTTTCTGTCACATGGTGTTATTGTCACAATATTCAATACTGAGAGCTTTCTGTCACATGGTGGTATTGTCACAATATTCAATAAACTAGTCAAAGTCCCGTAAAAATATTCAGATCAAAATGACAGTACAATATGCTACACATGATGGCAAACATCAGTACAAAGTACATGTATGAGAGCTTTCTGTCAAATGGTACTAAGAGGAGTTGGTTTCACCAGGTGTTGTTACAATACTCCAAATAAATGGAGAATGTGTCCATGGGACACAGATGATGCCCCCTGCTTGCATATAATGCTATAAAGGGACATAAATGTACATGTAACTGGAGAACTGTAAAAGTGACTCCACCCAAAATCGAACTTGATCTGTGTTTTGTTGTATTGTAATAAGTATTGTGTATAAGTTTCATAACATTTGGTTCAGGCAAACTAAAAGAGAACAGAAACGAAAAATTCAGCATTTTTTCCATTTATAATTATAAAGGGGCATAACTCCAGAACAGTTAAAGTGACGCCACCCAAATTCAAATTTGATCTGAGATTTGTGGTAATAAGCATTGTGTATAAGTTTTATAACATTTGGTTGAGGCAATCTTAATTTAGAGAAAGGAAACCAATTTCGGGATGTACAGACAGGCAGCAAACAAGGGTAAACCTTAATGCCCCCTCGGCCACAGCAGGGGCATAAAAATAGTCAAAGTCCCATAACTCCAATAAAAATGCACTGAATAAAAATGAGTGTATAATATTGAAAACTACACATGATGACAAACAATCATACCAAGTAAGAGAGCTTTCTGTAAAAAGGTCTTAGGAGTTGTGGGGAAAACAAACAGCTGAATTATATTTGATACATGTACTGTCCATTTACATAAGTGTCAAAGAAAGTTTACATACGATTAAAACAAATTTATAAAAAAAGTCAATAAATTACAATTGAGCATATCATTAATATGATCAATTTTGATAAACATATATACTTATTGGTAAGTGAGGTATTAGAAAGCAGGCGAAAACCACTAAATTTGGAAATTATATACATTTGTAGTAAGCTTTTTGCTTTTCTTAAGCATGTTAAGCTAGATGCTGCGTTTGGCATTGTACAAAGCTGAATTCTGACGCACCTGTCCTACAACGTAAGTCAGGAACCTGTTGTTCAGTGGTTGTCGTTTGTTGGTGTGGTTCATAAATGCTTCTCGTTTTTTATATAGATTAGACCGTTGGTTTTCACTAGTCATTTTGGGGCCTTTTATAGCTTGCTGTTCGGTGTGAGCCAAGGTTCCGTGTTGAAAACCGTACTTTGACCTATAATTATTTACTTTTACACATTTTGACTTGGATGGAGAGTTGTCTCATTGGCACTCATACCACATCTTCTTATTTATATTGATACAAAATTAGACAAGAATCGCTATACAATAATATATATATATGTCATGTACATGTATGTAGAAGCTTGTGCTTTAAGCTGCTTGCTAGACGATATCAGCTTCTAGATATCATAACCAAGCCTAGAATTATTAAATACAAAATGTAACCTTCCGTTATATGAACTCATCCCACCTTCCAGTGTTCAATAAATATCTGTTTAGATTTTACATAATATAACTACTTATATAATTTGTCTTATCTATCTCAAAAACCCTGTACTTTATTCCGAATTTTAAGTGTAGATATAGACATTCTGCCTGATACATACCAATGTTCACAATCGTGAACGACAAATTCAATGCAACAAAGACAGCTACAAACTTTCTTTCTTTTGTCAAACAATTAACATGATTAAAGACTGGATCAAATTATCCTTTGACATAACTAAAAACACCACTAAAGAAACCTTCCAGAGTGCGCTCAGTTGCGGATCCATAAATTTTCATAAGGGGGGCCCACTAACTGCCTAAGAGGGGGCCAGCTTCAGTCATGCTTCAGTGATTCCCTAAGTAATCAACCAAATTTTTCCCACAAAAGGGGGGCCTGGGCCCCCTGCCCCCCCCCCCCCCCCCCCCCCAAATCCTAAATCCGCCTCTGGCGCTCACTCACAATGTGCTCCTTGAAACTTATCCAAACCTGAAGTGAACAGGCAATCATGTTTTTATCTTAAATTAAAAAAATACAAATAAAAAATTAAATATTAGAAAAATAAAATAAAAATGAATAACCTACATGTAATAACCTAGAAAAATTGTAAAAATTGATAATCATAATAAAAAAAATTTGACATTACAAAAATATCTATTATGGAAAACCAAGGATTTGTATAGTAACAAATCCTTGGGAAAACTAAAAATTTTGTTAATCTACGTTTAATAATACTTACACTTAATAAATTATAAATTTTGAAACATTTACCCAGGCATGTGCCGTAAAGTAAATATCAGATCAGTATGTTGATGGTTTTTTTCAAACTGAATAAGTAGAGAAGAAGAAGAAGAAAGGGAATCATTAAAAATACGGGTGATTTTAACAAGTCTTCAGGTTATAGGTGTACCTTTGGTGGAGAGTCATTACTAACTCAGATTACTGGAGGTGTGCCTAGACTGGCAAAAGATAGATAATACAGATATACATGTAGCTTGCATGTTCAAAACATTATATCTCAAATTGTCTTTTTCAGTATACGTCTAATGATATATTATATGTATGAAATGAGGTTTATTCCATCAATCTAATGGTTATTTTTGACCTATTTTACCTATGTCCGGGAGAAATTTTAAGGCCGCAATGATTGCGACGTACCTGTTTAACAGCGGTAAGTTGACTCAAAGCGATGTAAAAGCTACATATTCATATTTTTTTATATCGCTTTGCACGCTGTTAGTGTTACCTTGACTTCTTTCGCCAGCTACTTTTTCCAAGAACTTAAAACAAAAATTAATAACAGGAAATATAGTATTAGTACATAACATCAAGTTCATCCCGGAAAGGTACAGTATTTTTTTCGGTATTTCATAAGTTTGGTTCTCGACTGACTACACACCATAATAAGCGGATTCCAGTTTGTACAGAAAAAAAACCATCAACTGGTTGATGATTACTTTCTGGCGCATGCCTGGTTTAACAGTATTGTTAATAATTACAAATTTATTTTTCTAATTTTATATTAATATTTTATCATTTTTTCAATTTTTATATTTGTAAGTACTATTTTTCAATTTGTATTTTTATTTTTTTGGTATAAGATAAAGTTTACTAGTTTAGGTATTTCAAGGATTTGTATAGAATTACTATGAGGGTCCTTATGGAGTTTGCAGAATAGAGAATAGTGGACAAAATGTGCAGAATAAATTCCGTGACAAAAAAATATAAAGAATAGAGAATAATGAGAAAGGAGAAAAATTATCTTAAAAATTCAAGAATACAGAAACGAAAGACCCCATACTCAGAACCTGTACTATACAAATCCTTGGGTACTGTTTACTTATCTTTTTTTTTTTTTATATAAGAGTATATTTTATTATTTGAACAGTTCACCAAAACTAAATTTATTTTCTTAGAAAAAATCTGCAAGGAGTGAGGACAGCGGTAGGTAATTTCAAGAAAATCATAAAATATTATATCTAAAATTATGTAACATGTGTAAGGAGTAAATTTTATTTAGGGTCCTCTTCGCGGTCAGCACTTAAACAACTACAAAAAAGTTTGGTAAAGTAGAGGGATCGAAGATTTCAGCATCATGTTAGATTATTAAAAGATCTTCTTAGTACATCAAAACAATAATTAGCTTTATTTAATTTTTCGCAGAATATATGTTTATTGAAGGTTAGATCTTCATCTATGACCACGCCTATGTCTTCCTCTTCTTTGCGTCTGCTTAGGCCAAAAAATAATTATGTGTCAGTCCAATATTTCTAACTGTTTCAGGTTATTTTGCAATATATCATGTTTGTTCTCCATGTTCTCGTCTCATGTGATTTTCAATATTATAGTATATCACCAGAGAATAAGTAAGCATCCTTCATCTAATCCTTCTGTCCATTTTTTATGCAGCCAAATTTCAAAACCAATATCCAGCTGATCCAGAAAAAAATTATTGCTGGTTAAATTCAGGAAAGTTTTATTACATATTATTTTGAAACTTCTGTCAACCAAATCGGAAGAATCACTTAAAGCACGTTATTTATCCAAAACAGTCAAAGAGATTTATTCACTCTAAACATTACATTTTCCATTATTTCTTAATGCTTTCGATAAAGTAAAAGTCTTCAACACTACATGTATTAGAGGATAACAAATATTTTGTTTTTATATTCACCAGATCTTTCAATCTAAATCAATAAAAATAACAACATACATAATAAAAGAACATGCTCTTCTAAATACATAACTTGACAAAAATAGCATATAGCCGATGAAAATACTGGTACAACCAGAGACATTTTATCATATGTCTCTGGTACAACTGAAAGAACACAAAATAATACAATACTTTGGAATGATCGAAGCAACTGAGGGAATCCCTATAGGTACTAAACCTGTTCTTCTAGAAATTGTCACCACATATATACACCAATAACAGTACCAATGACGGTAAATTAGATTTGTTTGATTGAATGTTTGCTTGGCGTCAGCTGGAAAATACGTAATGCATGTTCATGGTGGTGTAGATGGGGGTTTACAGAATAGAGAATAATTGACAAAAAAATATGAAGAATAGAGAAAAGTGGACCAAAAATAAAGAATGGAAAATAATGAGGTGCTAAAATATAAAGAATAGAGAATAATGGGCAAAAAGTATAAAGAATAAAGAAAAATGGCCTAAAAAATTAAAGAATACAGAAATGAAGGACCCCATCCAGACCCTCGTCCATGATGAGTACAATTTTTACAGTATACCAATTAGGGTAACGTTGGTCTGCACAAACATATATTCGATGTGCGGTACGCATTTATTCAAACAATAACAAGATACTGAAAAATGTTCGAAGCACTATTTAAACTCCCTGTTCTGGAAATTGTCACCTCCTTCATGTACAAAAATATCAGCGACTGAACATTTAAATATTGATGAATTGAATATTGCGTAGCGTCCATAACAATAGACAGCAATTTGAAATACAGGATATGACGGGCAGAGATACACATTTTGCCTGTAAGGGTCATAAACGGACCCTTCCAAATTTTATCAAGGATTTTGAACGAACAAAGGACTTGACCTTGTCCAACAAGTAGTTTCATATTTGAAATCCCAATTTAGATCGACAATAAACTATTGCTGTGTTTTTATACATCCATCACGACGAAAAGACGGACTATCTCAACAAGGATCATACTGTCGAAAGAAAAAAGGGATGGTAAATCAGATTATCGAACTTTCCTGAGAATACATCACCCTGCTAAGTTGTTCTGAAATTTTCATATAACGGCTTGGAGACCTCATCAGAATTTGTCAGCGACTACACAATGTATGAGGATGAGTTACCAGCGACATCAGAATATAACCTTATCGACCTTAATAACGTTAGGAAAACCAAGACTCACGCACTCGGCAAGAGCAAAACTGTCAAAAAGAAGGATTTACTCCATATTAAATAGCACCATTAACATATTATCGGGTTTTCTGCGCAAAAAAGATCTACGTTGTGGTTGGATGATAACGGTATCAATGGGCAGGAATCCCGATAATCTATACCCACATTTTATGCCGTAAGCACACGGGCTCGTATTATAGATGTTTTTGGGGCGGAAATATATGCCTGTCGACTGGTATGCGTTCTACATTGTGTTTATAGCGGACGCTATGAGATAGAAACGTTTTTGGCCATATTTTAAAGTGAGAGATTTTACCTTTAATCCCAAAGAACACAAGATTTAGCAACATTACAATTATTTAGGGTTTAACACACGGAAGTTAGTTCGAGGTAATACTGTTTTCTTTTGGTTTGTTTGGGTTTAAAAGAAAGGCGAAGGATACCAAAAGGACATTCAAACCCGCAAGTCGAAAATAAACTGACAACGCCATGGCTAAAAAGAAAAAAAGACAAATAAACAACAGTACACACAACACAACATAGAAAACTAAAGACTGAACAAAACGAACCCCACCAAAAATTGGGGGTTATCTCAGGTGCTCTAGGAGGGTATGCAGATCCTGCTCCACATGTGGCACCCGTCGTGTTGCTCATGTTAGTACACACCCGGTGATAAGTCTTATTCGGTAGTTCACATTCGGGGAAAAGAGGACGGGATTGTAGTTACGACAATTGGAACATATCCGTTGTCATCTGTGAAATTTAACGCTACGTTGAAAGACTTTTCTAATTATCATGGCGCCCAGTTTCGACAGAAAGCTAGATAGAACCACAAACCTTTGGTATGAAATACTAGCAATCCTTGCCAATTTAGATTGGAGTCTAATGTCTCGCCACTAGCGGGTTTCGAAATTACAACCTCAGAGTTGACAGGCTAGTAATATCTGTAGATGAATTTCTTAAATCATCACGGCCATCGAGACACCTCTTTCGACGTGTTTATATCCTATTTACAGTACTCAAGTTAGATACATTTTGCCTCATGTGTCTCTATCATATCAATATCTTTTTATTGATAGCTATGAACATTTTATGAAATATACTAGGATATTAAATGTAACTGTTCTGAAATACTGGATTATTTTTTAACACGGTATCTTCTGCGATTAAACAATCAGTTATGTACCAAGGCATCGACAATTCGTCTCCTTGGGGGAAGAAGGTGTATGTTATTGAAAAAAACTGGTTTGTAATAGATTAATGTTGTAAAAAAAATTCCCCGAGACTCACCCCTGCCCTCCGCTTACACACACATAACCAAGGTTGAATGTTTGTTGCCTTAATGCTTAATGAACTAGTGGTGTCATGGACTATCTATTGTAATTTTGTTCTTTGGTTTCAGCTTCTGTATGTATTCTATATATAATTGAGGGGCCTGATGGGGGGGGGGGGGGGGGGTCTCATCACGATTCACAAGTTGATTTTTTTGTCAATCACGATTCACAGAAAATAAATTTCCATGATCACGGATCACGAAAATATAAAAAAAAACTAAATCTGTAGAAAAACGGATCACGATAGCAAAAATGCGCCGATCACGAAGAACGAAAATAACCCATCAGGCCCCTCATAATTTCAATGAACTTGAATTTTTACAACCAACAGTCTTGACTAAATAAGGCAACCTTTAATATCTGTTCAGCGTCTATAGCGTGTTTGTTCTTTGCTTCTTTTCTAAAATCTATAGATATGTTTCGTCTGAAAGGATCTGGCTTATTTCAAGATTTATTCTATTTACATCTTTATTTTTGCTATACCTAAGTGATTTTAGTAAGTTTTTTTAATCTGTGGAGTGCAATCTTCAAACAAATGATGAAACTATATTGCCGACAATAACATTAAAAATGTAACTCACTTTTCCTCTGTGAGTTATTTCATCTCTGAGTATATCTATCAAATAAACTTGTTTTCATAGAGAGTGTTTGATCTGTCTGATCAAATCTGTTTTCATTTTAAATTCCGAAACAGTTTTTATTTAATAATGATTAAGTGTAAATTCAAGGTTGGTGATAACATATTTAGAGCATATATTATCAAAGTATTCACATAGACATGATAGAGACAAAATAGCTTTCTGCGGTAGATATAGAGATGATGGATTCATCTTATTTGATGGTAACAAAAACGAACTCCAAGAACTTTTCATAACGGCAAACAAGGCACACAAATACCTAAAATTCACCTACGAAATGTCGTCGGAGAGAATTATATTTTTAGATACTGAAGTATATAAAGGCAAAAGATTTTTGGACCCTGGAATCCTAGACTTTAAGACTTTCAGAAAACCAACAGAAACTTTTCAATACTTAGATAGAAATAGTTGTCATTCTAAAAGCGTATTCAAAGGCTTCATTAAAGGAGCGATTATCCGTA